ACAGAAAGACTGAGAGACACAAACTCTTTTTCACGGGGGTCATTAAATACTTCAACAACTTGCTCAACGCGACTGTTCGCTGTGAGATCATCGCTTCCAACGGTGACTCGAACAGGATTGTGCTGGAAAGAACTTGCCAACCGACGAACTGCTTCAGGCCATGTTGCACTGACTGAGATTGGAATCAATAATAAGTGGAAGCGCGAAATAGAATGGAGGAAGTGCTTACACATCATGGTCTGGCGCCCCTCCCCTTGAATAGTGTATGAAATAATTTTCGTGATATCATTTTCGAATCCCTTATCCAACATTCGATCAGCCTCATCTAGCACGAGATAATTCACTCTGCACAATTCCCAAGCAATACTTGAGATGTCGATGTCCCGTTGATGAATAACAAGCTCACCTGCTGAGGTCGCAGACACCATCGTTAACTAAGTCGATTATGCGTCCGGGCGTTCCTACAACAATTCTGGTGATCTTCCCATCCGTATTTCCATTTGCCAGTGCTTTGACCTGTGGGTCCTTCGGGACACCACCGAACACTGCGACACTAGCAATACCAAATGGTGCGCCCAGCGCAGAGAGTGCGTCATGAGTCTGGATCGCAAGCTCGCGTGTCGGGGCGACGACAAGTACGGAGATCGTGCTTTCTTTCTTCTTAGGCTTTCTGGGTGAAGCTATGAGCTGTGCGAGGGCAGGTATTCCAAATGCCAGAGTCTTCCCGCTGTATCCAAACATAAGCATTAAGGTGCAATGGTAAGCAAAACTGCAAATTCTACCTCCCCGTCTCCGCGATACCTACTACGTCCTTCCCTTTGAGCGCAGGCGGCCATGTACACGCCTGTATTGGAGTAGGCTCATTGAAGCCAGTAAATGCGCTACGTAGGCCATCCGGTATATCGAGCTGGTCGAACGATATTACAGGTACGACGGCATCACTGTTTGTCTGAGTACTGATGGTGATATTGTGCTTTTCAAGAAAGGCTTCCCCTTCGGCAGGAGAACATAGTTTTGTTGAGGGCTGTGAGGATGGGGTAGCTGACGACGGTTGTTGGGAAGTCATAGTAGCGTCGGCAGATGGGGTTTCGGCTTCGCGATCGTGCTTTTTCTTTTTGTGCTTCTTGGAGGGGCTAGGTTTGTCCGCTGAATCTATTTCTTGCGCGCCATCACGCTTGCGCTTTTTGAGCTTTTTTGAAGTTCTTTCACCATCTAGTGTTAGGTATGTAAGGACGGAGGAACGCCTGAGTGTACATTGATCCTGATTGATCTCACCAGGAATTGAATCTGCATCACCTGAGGCTTCAGTGTGGACTTTGTGTTTCTTTTTCTTGTCCTTGGGCTCTGGGTGACATTACTTCATAAATTCGAGAGGATGAAAAAAGTATACTAACCAGATGGCACATCAACAGCAATCTCAATGGCAGACTCCTCGACGTTAGAAACAGACTTCTTCTTGTTCTTGACACGTCCTGTGAAAATGCTTAACTGTGCAGGCCATACCATGATGCATCCAGGACACATACCTTCTGGAGGATCTACATCCATCTTAGCACCCTCTGAAACAGCAGTAATAAGCTCGGGATCATGATTTTCTTGGTGTTTCTTCTTCTTGTGTTCTTTGTCCTTCTTTTCAGCTGGCTTGTCGTGACAGGTCAGGAGGGGTACAGGTTGTAATGAACTATGCAGACCTCTGGGCTCGTCGCTGGCAGGATCCGCAGACTTTTTAGCCTTTTTCTGCTTCTTGTCCTTCTTGGACCTTTTGAGCTCTTCCTGGGGTATTATATCCTTGGACATAGTCCTGTCTAGATCTATGGAAGTAAATGAAGAGAGCTGGTTATTTTGTGTCCCACGCTTGACTATCAAAAACTTAAACTCGGACAAGTCAAGGCTAGCAGTGTACTAACTGACACCCATCACTTACTCTCCTTTTATCGCGGTGTTCACGAAAATTAGGTTTGTGCTCACTGCAGGTCTTTCCAGCTAGGAAGTTTCCATAGCTCTCATTCCATCCTGGCAAACCCAGCATGGCATAATTATTACTTGAAGTCACGAAGTTTAAATTGCGACGGCTTTCCGACAGATGCCCGTTTCATAATGGACATTTAGTGCACTGAGAAGTGTAATATTCATGTCGTCATATTTCCCCTACACAAGGCAGGAAGAAGGCGTTCCTTCGTTCGCATCTCAAGCCACGTCGGACGAGCAAATTCTCTGATCGTCAGTCGCCGAAGTCAGTAACACGTGATAGGACGCGTCGCGGTCGGGCATATAAATCTCACTCGAGCTCGATGTTCCATATGCATACTCTTGGCTAGATATATGATGTATTCACTCTGGGCGAGCATATCCGTCATGTATCTCAGTAAGTTTCGCTTGTACTTTATGTGCTACGTATAATTCCGCTAGTTATAGGCGATGTACACTGGTTGCCAGTTGGATATATACCACGAATATCTACCAAAGAAGGATGCTCCCAATTAAGCTGTAGGAGGCTGTAGGGAGGTCAATGTTGAGGGCCGGAACCTTGAATCCTTCCCCTCCAAGAAGATCAAGATCACACGATGTCAACGCCTGGAACCACGTCAATATCCCCGCACCATCCCACTGCCGAAACACGAATGTCAGAAATTTCTCAATCCAGGTGTTGTGCCGAGTGATAGCAACTTACTTCCATCCATAGATGTGCCTGACTCCATTCTTAAGCGCCATCTGCCTTGCAACTCGAGTCTTGACTCTTTCGGCATGTTCTCAAACGGTCGCCAGGCTCAAAAGAGCATCCGCGTGCTAATCTGCCAGAGACAGGAACAGGAACGTACCGCCCTCAGTGTCGCTACCTGTCATTGTGAAGAGAATATGCAGACTCAAAGGGACGCAACCATCACAGCTCACCGAATCTGGACCCGCGATGGTAGCTGATGACGAGCCTGAATGAACGCCAGTGACCCCGGTGTCACTATGCCTTTCTACACAGTGCGACTGTCAGAACCTGTCAGTCTGGGCCACGCCTTCGTTGCGATCCCCACGCTTGACATTCAATATCCTGTGCTTTCTTTGGCTGGCGAGGGTGAAATGTTTGCGGTTACTCAACTGAATAGCGACCTTAGAAGCAACATTTTCTCTGATCGCTCTATCGGTGAACAGCATACTTTCATGATTTTTAACACGGGACGCAAGTTCCTACATGGTATCTCGACTCAGCCTCCTATTCTCCATGCGATTTCTGATTCATGGATGGGCAACATCTTTGCCAATGAACGAGACCCATATAAACCTCCAATCGCATCTGATATTTCGATCTTTGACGATGTGGAAGTCAAACCCATTTATATTTGCATTCTGACTTGCGAATTATTTTCGGACACGACCCTATTCAATCCCTAATCCCGAGTGACGAACATCGTGGTATATTTTCATCGGACTCTGTGCAACTGCGCACCCGGCGGAGTCGAACTCGATGTGCAACATCACTGCGGACGGGCCTTGGCGGAAACAGGCGATGCCACAATGATAAGGCATTTGTGTTCACCCGAGACGATATCTCCTAGCCGAAATTTCCTTCATCTAAGATGGTCTCTTCCAAGCCAGTCGGATCTCCCGAGAATTTCGATTTTTGTCCATTGAGAGTATGTACTCTAGTACCTGCTAGCCTAGGAGCCCTTGTTCTCCATCGTATCTCTCAAGTCGCGGTGTGAGGCGTACCCCCACTCCTGAGTTACTTTCCAACCACAAAACTATGTTAGAGTCCGCGAGCGAAGGTTATTGCAGTGTGTTTAGCTCCGAGTAACAATCGAACCCACCTGGCACAGGTAAATTGTGACATTACCGCGGGTTGACCTTCGATTTGGTGAGGAATGCAATGACGAGGGAGGGGGTTTCCACGACGCTAGTTCCTGCGCAAAGGTTCCTTCCTTTGACAAGGTATCTCCCGATCAATCAAGTTTCGTCCTTCATCAGGAGTCGCTTTTGATAGGCGTAGATACCTGTGGAAGATTCTTTCTCATTCAAGTCAATGTTAGAAGTAAAGCAAGATGCCTTCGTTATGTGTTACTTCACTAATACTTATGTCTAGATCCTTTATGTCCAGAGTCTTCAAAGCTGATGTTGTCCTTGACAATCAAGATAATGCTCAAGGTGATGATGTACCGGAAGTCTGTAAAAGCTCAAGTAGCCGAGTCGAGTCCACGTACACCACGCATATCCTATCGACACCATGGCCGCCCCCTAGCGAAACCAGAGATAACTTATCAGCGGGTTGAATTGTGCTACAGAATACTGCAGAGCGCTCTGTAGCACTCTGTAGTGAATTACGTTTCCCTGATCTGAAGGATTATTTGGAATGCGATCTCTCCATTCTGCCCGACAGCGCTCTCCACCTCATCACAGCCTCGAATGATCAAAATGTCACCCCAACTCCCAAAAAAACGGTCACCAATGGAATAGCTGACCCAATAATAATATTGTTGATTCAGATCACAAAAGGGAGATAGCATTGCAGGTGGATGATACGCCCGCTGCTACACATTCATCTTGCACTTCGCACTCGCTCATGTACTAGTAGGTCAATCGCACCACATGGTGCACAGCGCCGCCTCACAGGAGGTGAGTTCTTGAATTGTGACGGCGTATACATATAAACCTACGGCTGACTTCTGACTTCTTGTTTACAGTCTATACTTACCACCAGTTCGCGACGCGCTACTATCTGGGAAGAAGGCTGCAGCTCATGGAGCGTCTCAGAAGTCCTCCTCGTATCAGTGCTAAATGCCTGTTGGAATCTCACAAACCCACACCTGCGTTTGTTAGGGTTCCTGGTCGTGGCATGAGCGTTTCTTTGCCCACCGCCCGTTGGAACCTTGTAGATCTGTGACCACTGTACTGCTGTTCTCCATTTCTAGTAATACCGATGCTAGCGCTCACCACGCATGGGAGTGCGGCGCATTACCGACCCTTTTTCACAAATACTTTTTTTTTGGACTTGGGCACTACTAAGACTTAGATTGTGTTATTCTCGGAAGTGTTCAGATTTATGCTCATACCTTAAAGTTGTACAGCAAAGTTGGATTTATAGACCCCACATGCAATTTGTGCCAGACATGAAACCGCCTAGTGGCTTAATCTACAAAAAGTAACTCAGGTGCTCAGTCCACCTTGGCCCGTTTCCCGTAGTAATATGTAGCACGACCGACTCCTGCGAACCAGGCAAGTCTTACAAATGCGTTTGTGAGAAAAGCCTGGTGGTGCATTTTCTCTTGACGTACCTTGCGCTCAACAAGAATATCACAAAAGTGATATTGCCATGGGTCATGGGATTCCACTTGCCATACGAGTATTTGAGCTCATCGGGGAGGCCAATAAATGAAGCAGCAATACTGAAACGTGTTGCGTGAGGCAAATGCTTGCAAAATACAAAGACTTACTGTGTTACCTACGATGCAGCTCATTAGACGAATGGATAAGTATGAGAAACGGAGAGAACCCACGTCTGCCAGAGCAAGCGCAGTGAAACTTGCTCCAAGTATACGCTCCTGAGCCTCCGGATTATTTGGAAGAGCATCTCGGATAGCTCTGAAGACCAGGGACGAGATTAAACCCAGCAGAAGGTAACCTAAAGATCTTTCAGTTGGGTCAAATGGACAAAGTAGACGTGGAAGACGTACAATTTCCCAACTGCCAAATAGCCATCGTAGTCCTAGCATCTAGCGGTCCAGAAGCAGCAGTGGTAGTTGGTATCAGCTCATGGTGGAACCAGGAGGCGCCTGGAAAGAACCACGCCAAGATGGCAGGTGATACGGTGGACACTGAGCACGACCGTGATTCCGTCGTTCGAGTGTGGGCTAGGTAAGTGAGAGGGATACTTACCTGGCTCAATGTACAAGAAAAGAGTACGGTAAAAACCTGGCAAGGCTGCAAAGTTACGAACCATATCGTTTGCCGCGAAATAATGTTAACGTGATATACGTTCAATATATGTAGAGGCTGAGCAGAGGGCGTGGGTACCGCAGTAATGCGCCGGGTTCCACGGCAGTGTCGTTGTGAAGTTCGAGGACATTTAAATTCTTCCTACTGTGATTGCTCAGACTCCAGAGCGCATGTTCGTATTGACTGACACTGGCCAGCACTTGCCAGTGAATACTATAACGATGGTTCCAGTGAAGCAGTTACGTATTGCTCGTGACAGTGTTGAACGAAGGTAACGAGTATAAGTAATTAATGTCACATCAGCGCCTATGTACGTACATATAACCTAAGAGCGTAAACTTTTACTCAGGTCGGGTTCCTTGAATCTGATCTTCGTTATTGTATACCTCGGGCATACCGTTTCCTCGTTGTATCGTTCTCAACCTGAATTCCGAGCTGAACATTTAGTACTGTTGAATGGACAGCTCGAATTCATCTGTGTTCGACCTCCCACTGCAGCCAGATAGCACAAGGACAACATGGAACAGACACGATCCAACACTAGTAACTGATGACCATGAGCATTTCCAGAATGAGCCTCATGTGTCTGACGCCGCGGCAAGTTCTCGCTCAAAACCGTCTTTCCTGGTGATATCCGGTGGTTCGGGCGGGAACTCCATATGCGCTGCATTCGAAAATGCATGTTATGTTCTTCCGGTCTCTGACGACGGTGGATCGTCCAGTGAGATAATCAGGGTACTCGGTGGACCATCTATCGGTGAATGGCACTTCGCGCTCAGATTGAGAAGTGCTCATGCAGATATCAAGGTGACATTCGCTCAAGACTTGTCAGATTGATCCCTCCGGCTCCTCTCGGTTCGCCTCTCGATGCCGTGCGCACCCTTTTGTCTCACAGATTACCCTCGAACGTATCCGAGAATGAAGCACGCGATGAATGGCGGGCCATCATCGAAGGTCAAAGTCCTCTGTGGTCGGGCATCCCGAACGACCGGAAGGAAGTCATCCGAGGTAATGCTGATAATGGATGCCAACTCCGGCATGTTCACGGCTTCAATTAGGTTTCCTGGTATACTTTGAGAACGAAGTCCTCAAGCGAGCACACAAACACTTCTCCTTCCTAAATGGAAGGTTGGTCGTAGTTGTTCCTGGTCCGATTGTTGGTACTGACTCAGACTTGCACTCCGCAGCATAGGTAACTACTTCCTGGCAGGTGCGCAAGGCTTCTTCCGGTCCTTGCCGTCCGCAATATTTTTGTTCTCCACAATAACGAATAGCCAGGTGTGTTTGTCATAAAACATATGAATGAATAAGAAGCATATCCCTGAACACGATTCTAAGGCGAACATTTTGCCAGTCATCGTGACGAATCATATCACTACCATTGCAGTGGAACTGGTTCGTGCCAATACCCAGATCGGGGTTTGTCTAATTTGACATGACTTGTAGGAGGATGGCACGCAGCTGCTGGGTCAATGTGAAATATCGCATCCAGTGGCTCCTGCAAACTCCTCTGACTCAGAGCTGCTGTCATTGGATCCGCTATCCCCCATAGATGGATTAGGCGAGATCATACCGCAGAATCGGTTTAACATTATGTACAGTCAACAAGCCAAAGAAGGCGGATATGAGCCTCTCCATTCTCGGATATGCAGTGAGTAACCTTGTTCAGGGTCTGATTCGCGGCACCCATCCTGGATCAGGACTCTACTATATTAATGGGTATGGCCACGAAGTGTACCCGAAACCAAACCCTCAATTTATCAAGAACCTATCAACTTCGGAGGTGTTAGTGTACTCATGTGGATCTTTGTGGACGAGGCGAGTGCGCGATCCAGGGACTCCAAACATCTTCCTAACGGAGAATGCTCAGCATCATTCCCTGCCTGGCTCTCCGCGGCGTAGCATCTGCGATCGCGGGATCTCGGCTCCTACGTGTCAAAGCGCTTCTTTGTAGGTCCTGCGGCACTGTCCGGTGACCTAGACTGAGTGCAGTCATCTCCAACAGTGAACGGCAGTAATGATAGAGAAACAGATGGATACACCGCCGTCGACTATATCAGGTGATTCCTTATTTTGCCCTGGGATCTTGATCTCAAACAGCGCAGAGCTATCACCTCGGTGTTGAATTCGCAATACCCGCCAAACGGGCTAGGAAACGTTCCATTGTATCCGATCTCAGCGTTCATCACGCATCTGGTATATCTCGAGGGGACAAATGTAGCAGTAGATGTCGAAGCCATGACCGTGAGCCGCTGCCTCATGTTTCTACCCCTGGCCACCATCAGTCTTATCGTTTCCTGTTCCTACAGGCACTTGGTATCAAGTGTATTTTGGTCGGACAAAGATCCGAACGCACGCCCAATTCTGGAATACCTCAATACGATGCTGCCGTGGTTCAGCAAGCCGTTGAGGAAATCTTATCAGGACAATAGTTACATTACATAGCACTAAATTATATAGATAGATCGTTACTGCCAGTATACATGAATAACTTTCTCGGTTTCCTGGGACCTGTCTTGTGCCTATGTCAAAATCTAAAAACCGCAACTTCCGACACATGTGGTCATTGGTTGTCATAAACAAATTGTACGTGGCACGTGAGCGGAAATATGCTACTATCTATTACCTTGCTATTACCTCACCAATCGACTGCGACCAAGTGCACTTGTTTCGTGCTTTCCCCACACAGATACCCTCGCATGTCTCCCGCGAGTATCGCAGCTAGCAGTACGCTCAAAGCGGATATTACAGCGATGCAAAATGGTGATAGGACCCAGGGTGATACTCAGGGGAACCTGGCAAGGAGCCGCAAAAGCCAAATGAAAGGTATGTGTATATGAAACTTCTGTCCTCGTCAGACCTCACGCAATATCTTCTCATTCTGGGTAATCATTACGAATTGATTTCTCAGATGAATCAGTTATCATGCCTAATCAGCTGCACAGGCAGGATAAAAGTAGGGACCCAAGGGAAGCATGCGGCCGCCACAGCATCACTAGTACATTTGATTCCGAGGACGAGGAATGCTACGAGGACACGATTGATTTCATACGTCGTTCTAAACAAAGATGTTCATCTGTCGATGGACCTCGACCCTATGTAAGCCTGCACGTTGTCACATGGAATCTGGGGTGCTCAGTTAGTCTCAATGCATTGAACGTAGTTAACAGTATCCGGAGATGACCCTCAGGGCTCCAATGATCGATCCAGCCCACGGGTCCACTTTCGTTCTCGTGTACGCATAACTGCTGGCATGCGTCGCAGGCGGCTTTCTGATGGCCTGCCGTCGGGTGCTTCGTCGATATCAGGTTCACCTTGTTCATCTATTTCCGCACCATTGCGCTCTGCGAACGCTGCAAGTTCAAAAGGATGGGGTCCACTAGGTCAGCGAGTAAGTATCCTTGCATCTCAAAACTATGTTTCAGAGCCATCATCGCCTACTGGTCGGCGGAGAACACGACACAGCAGCAATCCACCAGAACCATATCACAGTCCTGTGAACGAACACACGCCACTCTTACGACCCCCTTGCAGGTACTCGTACGTAAGGGGATATGACGAAGATCGTATGGTGGACGAGGACGTGGAGAGGCAGCGAGGACGTGTGATAGATGACACTTTCGGCAAGTGGCCCGGGAGACTGCTAAACCGCCACGTGAGGAGCCAAGTCGCTTGCGCAGTATGGATCGCTCACGTTCTTTCAGTGGTGGTGGTGGCAATTTGAATCACTTGTTTGCTGCCTCTGCATTGATTGCTCTGACGACGAATAACATCAGAACACCGCGCGAAATCTCTTGATCTCAAACGCATGTAGGAGATACCACTCAGGCGTGGTGACGTCGTTGGTGACCCTTTGCTTTCGCGCTATCTTGTTCAGACTACATTTGTATATTAGCATCAAGTCATACCCAACATGTTCTTGCTGAAAGATATCGGTCTATATACTCTATCGAGATCTTCGTTCTATTATCAATGCGATGGCATCACCATGGTGGGTGGGAGCGTTGTGATAGGAGGAAGTAGTCCAGCGGCGGTCTTGCGTGAGTTTTGAATGAGCAGCTGGTCCATGACGACAATGGCTGCCATGGTCTCAACGATGGGAACAGCACGAGGGACAACACAAGGGTCGTGACGTCCGCGAGCAGCGAGTGTTCCTGGTGTACCATTGTACTGTGCGGTGTGTTGTGCTTGTGATATGGTTGCAGGTGACTTAAATCCGATCCTGCAGTAGCAAAAAGTTAGTGAAGTATGACCTGAGAGGCGGAATTCTGTACCTGAAGTAAATGTCTTCGCCATTGGTGATACCTCCTTGGATACCACCACTCCAGTTAGTGGAAGTGCCGAGTTTACCATCTTTTATGATAAACGCGTCATTGTGCTTGCTTCCGGGAACCTCTGTTCCTCTGAAGCCTGAGCCAACCTCGAAAGCTTTCGTGGCAGGGATTGACATCATAGCTTGGGCAAGTTTCGCTTCGAACTTGTCGAAAACTGGCTCTCCAAGACCTGACGGGACATTACGAATGACGCACGTCACCGTCCCACCAATAGAGTCCATAGACTCTTTAGCACGGATGATGCGCTATTATTGAGCGATCGGTCACTAATCACGACAGGTATCATGGGGGAGATGATGCTCACCTTCGTCATCCGTTCCGCAGTTGCTAGATGAGGGCAGCGTGTGGGATGCTTGTCGACCTCCTCCCGAGTAATCGTGGCTAGTAACTGTCTAAATTCAGGTGTTAGCGCATCCGCCACGTCATCGTTGTCCTCGTCCCCGTCCACTTCCGTGAGGGACGGCGGGGCTATGTTAGACGGCAGGTGGATCTTGCCGACTGAACTGACAAACGCGACGATTTCAATGCCAAACACCTGTTTCAGGTATTTTTCGGCAATTGCACCCGCTGCAACACGACCTACGGAAAGAAACTTCATATTAGACTCCGAGGGACGCCACAAATTAGACAATTTTACCGATAGTTTCCCGTGCACTGCTACGTCCGCCTCCACTGCTAGCCTTCACACCATACTTTTCAAGGTAGGTGTAATCTGCGTGACTTGGGCGAGGGTACAAATCCGTCTCAGAATAATCCTTTGGACGTTGATCCTCATTCTTTACGAGGAGGCCTATAGGAGTTCCAAGGGTTACACCTTGCTCGATGCCAGATTGCACGTGCACGAGGTCCTTCTCATCTCGCTATCGCAGACTTCGGGGTGAGAATATGATGCACAAATAGAAAAGAACCTTACCGGTGTGGTGAGATTGCTCTGACCTGGTCTTCTGCGACTCAGTTGCACCTGAATGTCTTGTGGAGATAGCTCCAGTCCCTGCAGCATATCGTGAACTTTGATTTATATTACGAGCGGAAATGACTCATACAGGAGGACATCCATCGATGATCGCACCTACAGAGGCGCAATGGCTCTCGCCGTAGGTAGTTACGCGGAAAAGGGATCCAAAGGTGGACATAGTTGGTTGAAGGCAAGAGGCAAAATGAGAAGCTCAGGGATCGTATGAGATTTCTATTTCTATTTATCTGCGACAGCATATGGCACTAGTGAACCGAACTTGTCGCGATTAACAACGCTTTAGGCTAGTAAGTGTTTCTAAACCGTGCAACAGCCTATCCGGCTGGGCTAGTCCTGCAGAGCCTTGGACCTTGGTCTAGCAGTTGTTAATGAAACAGCTCCAGGACTAACCGAAAAGATAAAATGATAAGCGCCGTGGGAACATCAATGAGACTATGAAACTGTTAGCCTAAGTCTGCAGTCACATCGTTTCAAACCAATTTCAAAATATGTCTGCGGTAGCGACATTATCAGCCAACGCCGGTTCAACATCAGGCTCACGATCACGTCCTCAGGCTCGCAAGAAACCAAATGACGATGCAGCCTACTTTGGAGTTGCAGGGACTAAGAGACAGGCGGCCGACAGGGCAGAGGGAGAGCCACGCGTCAAAAGAAAGAGAGTAGAACACGGCGCGACAGTCAGCAGAAGGGCAGATAAGTCTGCGGATAATGACTTAAAGAGCGCAGTGAGAGCATTCTGCGACACCTGCCACCATGACATTGACGTATTCTACGTTAGATTGACTTCAGAAACATGCCAACTGCAGGACTTTATCGTTACCTCTCTCATTTCAATCTCATTCCACCCGTGTACCCATCACCCTTGACCGCAGCAGATCCACCATCTCCCGATTCTCTCCTTGACCCTGTACGACAGAATCCGCGAGGCCTTAGTCCATTCACGATCTCTACTTCTGGGAACAGGCCAAGGAGAGATACAAAAGATCCAAGCCGCCGACGAAGCTCTCGCTTGCTCGAGGAAAACGAGAGCCGCACGCCCATCTTGGCGGACATCGCTGAGATCCAAGCAATCTTTGCTGCCATTGCAGAGAGACATTTCCAGGACCATGCGGTCAGTGAAATAGACACGCTCGCATCATTCATGGTAAAAACGTCTACTAAATATGAGTAACGCGTCTGCTGTGTAATGATTTATTTTTACTGTGTTTAATGTTAATATACCCGGGACCCCTCAGCATAAATGCCTCGTACCAGGGAACGGTGTTTTTTTGCGAAACTGCCCACCAGATTCAGGCCTCAGGTACCGATGACTCTTACGTGGCTGTCAATTTTTTTTGTATGTATGATACGTGTCTTGTCTCGTCGACAGTCTTCTGAAAATGTCCCCCTCCTCCCATTCGGACAACCCACCACGTTCATCTTACAGACAAGGCTCATTCTTCGTGGGTGGTACATTCCCTAGGCGTTTCGAATTCTGGTCTCCTTTGAGGTTTGCGGTATTCGTGGACTCCCTCATCATGATCGAAGGTCCTTTGGTATTTTCGATCTTATCAGCACTACTGCCGCTCTTGACATGTTGCTGACAAAGCAGTTGCTAAACAACAACACCTGTTGCGATGTCGACATCCCCGATTTGGCAGTGAGTCCGCTACATACTAGTGTATGTTTCACGGCGATCCTTTTCAAAGGGTTTCTTCAGAGCACTTTCTTCAAAACTTGCTGGAATTTGACATTGCCGAATGGCTGTCGCGATGCTGTCGTGGTCTTTGTATTTGTCGCTCGATACCGCTCGCTGCAGTTCCCGTGGTGACCTTCGAAGTTAGGAGCACACCGTCTGCAGCATACAGTATAAATGTCAGACCGTTCCCTTCATTATCGTTTTTCTTTTCTTTACCTTCTCTTTAGCAGCCGTGCTGCTTTATTGTGAGTGTCACCTTTTTGCTTTCCTTCGTTTAGGGAGATGATTAACGTCAGAGCAGATTTATAGGACCCTTCCCCTGATCATTCTTTCTCGGCTTCTGCGAAGCCTGTTGTAGTTTTTCTTCGAAATGAAGCACTCTTTCCGACTTCTTGTTGTCCTGCCTGCTTTTGCCTCGCTGGTCGTTGGCTTCGCCGTTCCTGGGTCTGGTCTAGTTGTTCGCCAGCGAGGCGGCGGAAATGGTAACGGAAATGGAGGTGGGGGCGGGGGTGGTGGAGGAGGGGGTAGTGGCAGCGATCCCCAGAGCTCCCAGAGTATGCTTTTTTGTTTTATTTTTTTGGCGCGATGTCTTCATCTGTGTTTCCTCAGCTCTCGACCCCGCGGTCATCGCGACGGGCTTCGAAAACAACGGTCAAGGTCAACCTACCGCTGGCCAGGTCGCATCACTCACCTCATCGAATAACTTCATCAACTTCTGCTTGACGACCCCCAATGCACCGATCACCAATGGCCAGCAGATCTCTGGTGGGTCATGCAACCCCGCACCTATGGGTTCCATCCCTTCCACGGCGAATATGCCCTCCGCCAAATTCACCAATCCGAAGAACCTCGACATTATCCCGCCGAACCAGGCGTTCACCGTCTCTCTTGCCATCCAAGGCATGCAGACGGGGAGTTTCACCAATGCCCAACAAAACTACTTTTCCGCACCCCAGCAGTTAAACGCACAAGGGCAGATCCAGGGGCATTCCCACATTGTCATCGAGCAGCTGGACTCACTTACGCAGACGACGCCAACAGACCCTACGAAGTTCTCGTTCTTCAAGGGACTGAACGACCCAGCTAATAACGGCATCCTCACTGCGGACGTGACCAATGGTCTTCCTGAAGGGACATACAAGATCTCGACGATCAACAGTGCTGCAAACCACCAGCCAGTCTTGGTGCCCATTGCACAGCATGGATCTCTTGATGATGCAGTCTACGTGCGTTCATTCCCGCGACACATGTTTGGCATGCACTCATCATCCATGTAGTTTACTGTCAGTAATAATGCTAACGCTAACGGTGCCGCTGCCGGTACTGGAAGTAGTTCTGCAGCGCCTTCGGCAGTTGCGAGTGCAACAACGACTTCGACAAGCTCTGCTGCTTCATCCACTGACACCTCCGGCCAAGGTAATGGAAGTGGAGGTAACGGAGGAGGTAACGGAGGAGATGGAGGCAACGGAGGTGGAGGTGGAGGGCAAGGAGGCAATGGAGGTAGGGGGCAGGGAGGTAATGGCGGAGGCAGGGGAGGAGGAGGCAATCGGCGCCACTTCCTTTCTCGCAACAACATGCATTAGTGGCGAAGATCATAATCACTTAATAGGTCCGTGCACGATGATTTGGTGCCCTGCGTTCTTTGTTTCTTCTTGGCAAGTTATTTTTTTCGTTGATTGTGCCGCTATCTGTAGCATTAAACTCCCTGTATCCATGCGTGCGGTGTTCCTTGTACTGAAGTAGTTGGTCTCGCTGGAACTAGAATCAACTACGTCGAACAATTTCATGAGATGACATGTGGAGCTATATTGGGCTATCTATTGGGTATACTCTCCGTAATGTTGGCTCTTCCATTTGATTATTGGGAAGGAGATTACCTGAGATCACTGCCCCCTCATTCAATTAATATGTAGCGGTTGACACCAGGTTGCTCCATATGTCCTGCCATATACCAAGGGTCCTGCCACCGAGCGGCGTCATAGTTTCATCTATCTCATCGTCTATCTCGTCACATTCCTAGAATATGCCATCACCGTGAGGCCAACCTCTGAGAGCAGTCCGTTGCTTGCTCCCTTGATCAATCGTTCTTGCGTATGATCCGGCGGGATGATCACTGGCAGTGCAGGGGTGTGGTATGCCAAGAGGCGCTAAAAAGCCACACGAACCAAGCTTTTTATACGAAATACATATATCATTCCAATGGTTATCTATGAGGAAACAGTCGGCGGAATGAGGGCATCCGCGTAGCTAAATATGCTTTGGATGACACAGATCTAGGCCAGACCCTGGACCTGTCCCTCGGTAGCATCCCGCCAAATTCCTGTGGCCCGATGACATCCGCAAGTATTCGCATCAGCGGATCGTGTGGGACCAAGGGGATCTCACACGAAATAGCTGTGTTAAAATATCGGTGAAATGCTGATAAGGCATGGAATCTGAGATCGCGGGCGTGCCTTGAGGTTATGCTGCGGCGCACGCACGGCGAGCATGGAACTTTTCTCAAAAGGCGAGGCCTGGAATGGCAAAGGCTATTTAGTATTCCCTTATTCGATCATGATACTCATCGGGTACACTCGCTCAACCATCCTGTGATCTATCCGCGTTAATCTTCACGTTGGGTGACCTACGTATCCTATACTGGCATGCAGGTTCGCGTGGGTAAGAAGGGTAAGAAGACGATCCAGGTCCCGACACGTATCCCACACGTCGAGGATCCGCACACCCTGCAAGAGAGTTATATGTAGCTCATACGCACAATTCGGCATGCACATTTCACTCGAAGCTCGAAAGGATACTTCCGGCATTTGAGATTAATGGACGACTGTACATCCTCCGATCGAGATGACTGTGCATTGGAACATGTTCACAGGGGTTTTCTCGAGGCCACGAGAACGCGCGACGGGAAATATCAAGCCTCGAGGAATGGATCAGCATCCATAATCTCCTTTACAACTGTTAGCATCTGTGCATCCAATTTGGAGAGCACCATCGCTTCAATTCATGTCATTTAGATCTCTCAAACCGACCATGACAAAGTCATTACTGTTGTTAGTTTATGCAAAATCCTAATGAAGGGCATTACGCCCTCGACATAACATGTTTGCCAGATAGATCGATTAATTGGAGGGGCCGACCTGGGAATTTACCCTTGACGATCACCATTTTGGAAACGGGGATCTGCGGTCTCTTTTTCACAATAGAGGTAGGCGTCTTCAATACCACATAGTTCAGGGAGGTGACCTATCTAGAAACTTACAGCATTGGTTGCATCAGTCCATTTCACGTGTGAGGAAAGCCATGCCATCCTACCCCATCACCAGCGAAGATTACACGGGCGTAGACAAGACTACAAAAAAGGTGAAAGGGGCTTCCATTGTGAACTTCATATCGCGCCCATCTGGGAGTAGAAGGGCTTTAAGTTCGTGTACCATCCAAATTTGAATCGCCTTCGGAACTTGGTCTCTTCTCCAGAATGCCATCAACAATCCCGAAGTTAAGAGCTTCTTGTGCTAAAAATGTTCTGTGAGAGATATGTCGTCATTATATATGAAACTTACCCGTCATAAAATAATCGCGCTCCAGGGCCCTCTCTGAATGAAAAGTCAATATCGCCACCTAGCAAACGAAGAGGGGCTTACCGAACCGCTCCAACCCCGATGCCTCACTCTCCTCTACTTTGGCACAATGCCGCTGATATATACTTGTCAGTAAATGTCTCACGCGCAAAATCTCCTTAGCGTGGATTGCAATGTCAGAAGCTTGCCCAGAGGCGCCTCCAGAAGGCTCTGCAAGCGAGTAATATGAGTTATTTGATGATCGCCGCCGCCACTATCATCACTCACGGTGGATCATTATGCTGGCATTGGGAAGACAATGACGCTTTCCCTTTTCACCTAGACCACAATGACACCTCTTTGAAATGAAAAAACTCCAAGGGAACATACCCGCTGCTAATAATAGAGATCCCATGGAGCATGCCTGTCCCACACAATATGTATATATGGGCGAAGAGACGTACTGAAAGCAGGCAGGCAGGCGTCAGACGCAAATAATACCATCCCGCGGAGTCTCAAACCTGCATCTTTGAAATGTTAGTTTTGGCTAGCACAGACACAAAACAACTCTCGTACTGTATCATATATGGCTAGTCCTGCGGTCACGCTTCCTCCAGGAGAGTTTATGTATAGGTGTATTGGTTTCGAGGAGTCTTCAGCTTCAAGAAACAAGAGTTGCGCAACGGTCAGGGCTGAATCTGTGTCCCGTATCTGGAAGCCAACGTCATGAATTAATTCAGCCCGAGGCTTGGTGAGAACGGCAGACGTACAGATCCATACAACATTATTACACGTTCACGCAATAGGCGAGAGAAAATGTCATACGATCGCTCGCCTCTTCCCTGCACGCATGAGGTGGGGTGCTGAGCTGGAGACAACCGAAGAATGCATGTTAGCTTACTGTCTGTTCGATGACTATGGGCACGAGGTTTGCTGACGGGGATCCCCATGTGCTGGAAATATGGTGCAATGTGCGTGAAGACGGTAGTAGGCCTGCTCTTGCTTGTCTTCTAGTCGTTGCCAGTGCTGCCCTTAACGGACCAGCTCTCATTGTTGACAACATCGAGCTTAATGAACTCGGGGAAACCGTTGTGGAAATAACTGTCTATCACGTGATGAAAACTTTTAATGAATGTGATGGACAAGTTTGTAATTGTGTGACACACGCGTCGTTGTCACGCTCGTGTTGCAACTTGCACTCAACCCGTCAGCGCTTCAGCTGCACCGTGGTCTTTCGCACCTTACCTGTTTGACCACGTTTTGTGGCATTCGGTTCACAAGGCGCTCTGAACTACATAGCAGCGGTTCACTTCTGCTAACGCATACATTATGAGCACTCACACGCATACACAGAGATCGACGGAGGCCCCAATGGACTTCCAGTTTACGTCTCGACCCAGCAGTAATACAAAGCCAGTCTGGGCTAATAATGGCTCGAATCCACCCCGAAAACGTGCGTTTTCATTCTGTTTGAATTCGAACCTTAGTAACAAGTTTCAGGTCCATTTGATGACCTTCAACCCACGAGTCCGGCAATTCCTCAGCCACCTCAAACTCCCATATTTGGAGAAAACCGCAACGTGCCATTCATTTTTCAGGCTCCAGCACTGCAGACTCCTCCAGTCTACCCGTGGGTGCCTCCCGTGAATTTCTCACCTCAGAAAGCGTTTCCTGTGCAAGAGCTGCGCGATGTGGACATGTCCGAGCTTAGTCCTCCTAAATCCGAGGCTTCTGAGAAAGAAAACGGGAGAATAGTTGCCACAGGGGCGCTCAGAAGGGTCTTCAACTCGAGGCAGAAGGCTCGTACAAAAAGCCAACACGTTGTATCATTACGTGACGACCTGGGGTACGGCAGCGAGGAAGAAATTGATGGCGATGTAGATCATGTACCCGTGACACAAAACACGTCAAACCACTACACACTCAACATGCCGGCTAACCCAGCGCCACGAACAGATACGCCACAGGTTCTGTTAGGGTGAGGCCATTTGTATTTACTCTCTCCGAGTGCGCTGATCATGCTTCTCAAGATATTTACAGTTCTTCTTTAACCTGTCTTTGGTCATGGTGTTTCTTTATCTCCTAGTGCAGTTCATTCTCACAGTACAACGTGATGTTGCACACCGCATCTCAGAATACTCAATGGGTATGATCTTCATCCCGGTGAATGCGTCTACTAAAATGAAATGTTGGTCAGATATCGTGCAAGAGATCGGCATGTGTGCGACACAATACAGGAACAACCTATGTGAAAACAACCCTGTGCCTGCCATGATCCAACAATGTGCATCTTGGAAAACATGCATGGATCGCGACCCAAACATGGTTGGCCGTGCTCGAGTAGGTGCAGAACTCATTGCGGATGTCATCAATGGCTTTGTGGAGCCTATTAGCTGGAAAACATTAGTTAGTACACGCGAATCCCTGCCGATCGGTGCACTGTACTGATTACATATTCGTGCACAGGCTTTTACGTTGACGTCACTAACTTTCTTGACTGTCTTCGTGAATTCGTTGTTTTCCCTGTATCGCTCACGTCACGAAGCTGGTCATTCTCGGCCAAGTTATCCAGTCGCCCCTCAGTTTCCTCATCATTACCTTCCTTCGGCGCCGGCACCTCGGGGTTCTGGGCATGACGATATCTTCGGAGATGCGCCTCGCAGAAGGCGTGGAGAAGACGGGCAGGCGATTAAAGTAAAATGACTGGGTTATTTCTCTATCATTAAATCTACGGGGACGGATCATTGCATAGTATAGACCCACATCAAGCATTTTTTATTCTTTGTGATTTGAACGTTCCTCCGATCATGTAGTGGAAATAAGACGCTAATACTGATTTGGGCAGACGAGCTAGTAGGTTAAATGTACTAGTGAGTTACTCTTCTAGCGGATGTGAGTCATGAGTCTAGTCTCCGAACCAGACACAGCAAAAACACCGGTGCAAGCGCTTACTAATTTGTCCGAATTTATCCGGAGATCCGGGCATTACAGGAAGCCCAGTGGGCTATGGGCTCCCACTGGATAGTTGCCCGAAAGAGATGGATTAGGTGGCCTCGAATGACGGATGATCGGAACAAGCATGAAGTCCGGGTGCTTCTGTCGTGGCCCCATCACCCACGGTGAGCACGCAGGATGATATCACAGCATCCGTCAAGTGTGGACCTGCCATGGGAACAAGGTTTGGCAAATATTCAACCATTGACTACTGCGTGTATGAAATAGGCATAATGGATCCCGTATATGGTTTGTTTCTGTTTCGTGATTTGATCGCTGATAGCTCGCATGTTTAGCAAGGTTTCAGGGAGATCCAGCTGGAGGATTTTGATCAGGGCTGGTTGAGCATAGAAGCTTTTTATCTAATCCCGGTCACCCGGAGCCCGTTCTCCTGGTAAATATAGAGTTCATTTCGATGTGGGGCACCCTGGTCGATTTTAAGTTATCTCACTCAGACTGGCATTGGCATTGGCACTGGCACTGGCACTGGCACTGGCACTAGCACTGGCTGGCTGGCAGTGAAACGGCGCCCCTTGTCAACAATGTCTTCTAGCTGTCATGAGAATAGAGCATTATGTATATAGGAATCTAATATTTGATACCTCCGCAATCGATATCTCAAGATCTGAATCTCCTGAGCCCCCATTACATTGATTTGGGGCCCGGCCGCTTCTTAGTAGGGAGAATCCGAACACCTGATCAAAGGCCATGATCTGACTAATCGCCCCAATGATCTGCGTGCGATTATCTCATACGTCTTGAGAAGGTCCCGCAGAAACAGTCCCCAGCCTGTGGATACTTCCAGTGTTGCGAGGGAGTCTTTCACATCGTTTATGATAGAGCTTACGAATACATGCAGTTGGTATTTGATATAGCTGGGTCCAAAAATTAATGTAGCCCATCGCGTATGTGTCGCGCAGAGGTTGAGATCAAGACGATACATATCAAAAAAGCTATGGAAGTAAGGCAAGGTATTGAAGATGATAGACGCTCCCACCAAGTCCTAACTGATAACGATCACAGACCACGGTCAGGGATCCGAGTCAGAAGACCTGACCATAGGTTCGTGTTATTTAATAGTTTTTGCTGCGTTTGCTGCGGCTTCTGTGGCCTTCTCTTCGTCTCGTTTCTGCGATCAGGTAGAATGAGCCGAACAATACGAGGGTGGATGGTACAACTGAAGGGTCATGCCTTCTGCTTCGCTCTTAGAATCTCTGCATCACTGCAAGGGAGGTATAAGCTCGTCGTCACTTTCGACGATATGAAAAGTGACACATACGCTTCTTTGCGCTTTGCCAGCGATGTATTACTTTCCTTTGCTTTAGATTTGTTCAAAGCAGCTTGCTTTTTGGCGGCCTTTGCCCGATCCGTGTCTCGTTGATTTCCTCCTACAATGACAATGCGCATGAGATTATCAGTGAGATCAGCAGCATGACATTGCAAAAAAAATAATCAGTGACTCACTAGTCATCGCAGTAATTGAATAGCAACTGATCAATGTAGTGGTATTAAGTCTTTGGTGTTAAACACAGGGTTTATAAACAAGAACAAACAAAGCGTGGAAGAATTGTCTATATTTGACTTTTGTTCAGGGCTTTCAGTTCCGAGACACCGCAGGCCACCACGTTCATGATCATCATATCGCAAGCTGTCGCATCTCTCGAGATCTCTGGTTGAGTCAGCTAAAGAGGCAATATCTCATGATGGGCTTTTCATATCTGCCAAATGACCACGGATCTTCCCTAGGCTTCACGCTTGTCTATCTTTGGTGTCTCAGTTACTTACTTCTCCGCCCGAGCTGCCCTGTTTTTCTGGAATGACTCGGATTCATCCCGTTTACCGCCACAGCGTTTAGGGCTCGAAGTACGTGTCTGATTAGGAAGGAGTGGCGTGCACGTTGCGCAATCAGTATACAAAGAGACATTCTCGTAATTACTACGATAGTCTAGCGCTGCATGATGTACTTACTCTTGTCCTCTGGCGTGCTGATTACGAGTTATCGGTTATCTTTGGATTTGTTCTGTCAAAACGCAAACCTGAGATTTAGATTGCAACGTCAGCATGTCAAGTGTTCCCCATGTTCTCACCTTAGTCACCAGGCCGTAAAGTGTGCAGTACATAGATACAATATATGTATTTTCAAATAGTCGTCGATATCGCACGGATACGTACGCGTGGTCGCTGTCGACGGTAGGCTGGCCATGTCACCCTATTGCGACAAAGTGAAAGCGAGTCGGAAATTGCCAAGTTCATACTGAGATCTTGACCAGCTGGCCCCATTCCCTCGATCGATGGCAAAGTTGGCGGCATCAAGTTCCCGCGTTACAACTCAAGAACCGGTCGAACCGAGCCAATGTGAGCGTTCCCAGAAAGGACATTTATAACCTTATTAATGAAATCAGGCGTTTGAAAAGCTGTGAAACCCCAGATATATATCAGCATCAAGCTACATACATACAATGAATGATTGCATGATCAAGGGCACGGACTTTTAGCAAAGCGTGATGTATGATAGGGCCGTTGGTTAGTCACATGATCTCGATGAGCCGTTGTATCGTCCAAGCTTACCTATTTTGTCACGATGGAAGATCAACTTGGCCGCAGAAGCGCTATCACTGAGAAGACCGTGGGCATACGTAGTCATACGTTCGTGGATATCTTTTTCATCTCCCGCGGACTGTCATAACGAATCTTGGTCGGGTGCATTCTGGATGTGGTAGTAAGCGGTGTATCCGTCCCTGCAATCAAGAGCTTGAACGACGTTAACATGTTTGCCGGGACCCTGTGCGGCGCCGCTAAAATTGATCTAATTCCCATCGGTGCATGTACCAACCCGTCGCATCGCATTTTCGTGCGTTGATCTGTCCAAAGACGCCCCCACACCGCAGCACACCGCCCCCAAAGCTCCCCCAACTTACAAAAATGTGCCTGCTGGCACGCAAAGCTTCTTATTTTCCAATTAGTTCTCTTCCGAACTTCGCCGATTGGCAAGTCTTAGTCTTATTCACCGGTCCGATAAGCCTGACGATCCTTCGCACGGTGAGTCGAGCGCTCGGTTTGTCCAACGGAAGTTCCATGCTGCAAAGCTTTTTTAACGTAATGGCTGGATGTGATGCATTTTTTTTAGATAGGGTCAGTGCTATTATGAACTTCTAGCGTTGGAGATATGAATGATGACTGCGCAAATTATTGTTACCACGGCAAAGAACGATTATTTACAGGGGGATCAGTTACTGATGAATCCGAAGCGCACCGACTAGGACGGAGGAAGATCTATCCAGTCGGAGGATCGCGTTCATTCATGGTTGTGAGGCGATCAACTACCAGCGCTGTGCTTGAAACGAAGTCAGCGGGACGCTCAAGGAAATATGTAATTACCTTGTTCGTCCAACGCTGCACGTGGTCAATTGTCTTCTTGGAGAAAAAAAAATGGAAGCTTGAGTGGGAGCCTCAGTGTTGGCATAATCGCGTCACATAATAGTATGTGTATGGCCTTAGGGTTGACGGAGATTGGTATGAACCGAAAAAGAGGTTTAGGCTACATACCTAGTACTACAGCAGTTACAGTTAGTGGTGGTGATTCCGCCGGTTATACACGTACTTTCCGTGACATCGCATCATATCAACGAATACGTTTCGTCATAATAAAGGAGTAGTATAGTTGAAAGTTGATTGAACACGTGGAGATTACGATGAGATCATGACGGATGGAAGTGAACTGTTTTAGCGAAGCGAGAGATGCGGCGGCGGCCAAGTTAGTAAGAGACCAGAAGCAATGTGAACCTGCCATATTTCATTTTCCTAAAGTGACAACAAGATCAAGATTTGTCATACGCCACTAAGCTCTGACAGGAGGGTACCTGGCTATTGTGAAGGGTAAATTAGAATGACCTCTTCCAGAAGTGGTATGAATAGACCCTGGATACAACGAAAGCTAGGCTGACAACAGCATTCATAGTAAGTCGGATCCAATATAACGGTACTTTTGTATCGCCTCCGAGATCGTTCCAGATCTAGGACGTCAAAAGGGGTTGCCGTAAAAATACCGAAGTTGGCACGGCATTACGCGGATTGGCATTTCAATCAACTTTTTGAAAGACAGCGATTAATTTTATTACTACATTTGGATTCGACCGTTAAGCTCTTTAACTCACGCTATAGTCCAAGATTGGAAGTACTTCCATGAAAACTCCACATGCGAAAAGAGCCGAGATCACTCTGTTACTAGTACGTGAAAGTAGCCGACGGCCAAGGCCCTGATCTCCCCTCTCCCGCAGTTTCATATATAATACATCATCCTCCAAGGTTTGACAACTTTCCCCTCTTCGCTTCTGTCTCCAATCCACTTGGCGTCAATCGCCTCCCTCTACTATCATGTCCCATAGACATTTACAACGTCAGTCTGACAGGGACGTGCGCATGCACGAGCCACCTGCCCATTCTCATCCTCATGCTATCCTCACACATCCACCACCACCTCCACCTCATATCAATGGCAATGCAGCGGCCTTGCCTACTACACCAGCACTTTCAAATGGTTCTACTCATGCACAGATCGTTTCACCTGTAGTAATCCCAAACGCTCCCGCCTCAAACGGCGTTGCGCCACCTCAATCAAGCGTCATTCACAAGTTGGCAGTGGCAAACGAACAAACGTGGCTTTTGATCGGTAAGTGTTTTTCATCCAAAGAAAAATCGGTTAATGAGTTTAATGCTCTTATTCTTCCCAGGGCGTGTCGCGGAGCAGATGGGCGACCTGGAACATGCGATCACAGCATATGAAAACGCACTACGGCATAACCCGATGTCCCTGTCAGGACTTACACAAGTTGCGGGAATCGCGCGGATCAAGGAAAATTATCCAAAGGTAGGAAAAATCCTTGATGCTATTTCGTGCCAATCCCGCGTCGAAGCCGATGTCCTCCGAGGATATTCCTTTGGTAGCCTATCTATCACTTTTTCGTTTGCGCCCATCCTTATCTCAGATCTAATTTCCAATCTAAGATCCCCTCACGTGGCAGAAGCTGATGTCATCCTCTTTCTTTTTTAGGCTGTTGAGTATTTCCAACGTGTTCTACAATTACAAGAAGACAACGGCGAAGTATGGAGCGCACTCGGTTAGTTCATCTTACCTTACATATCCGTATGTGCTCATCCCCTTTGTTCTATTACAGGCCATTGTTATCTCATGCAGGATGATCTGCAGAAGGCTTACTCCGCTTATCAGCAGGCCTTGTACCTCCTCCCAAACCCGAAGGTATGTCAACTCACTCATATCCCCATCAGTCCTCATGTCAACCAACCACTAAGGAGGATCCCAAGTTGTGGTACGGTATCGGCATACTCTATGACCGGTATGGCTCCTTGGACCACGCCGAAGAGGCGTTCGCTTCTGTCCTTAAGATGGACAAAGGTTGGCCTTCTTCTACTTCCCGAAGCATCTTGGTTGATATTCATTCCGCAGAACTAGATTTTGACAAGGCAAATGAAATTCTCTTCCGTCTCGGCATAATCTACAAACAGCAGGGCAAATATGAAGAATCACTCAGCTGCTTTGATCGCATACTGCGCAATCCTCCAAGTCCTCTAGCCCATGCGGACATCTGGTTCCAGATCGGGCATGTCTACGAGCAACAGAAAGACGTAAGCACCATACCTATCCTGTACCACAGTTTCTGCATACTCATCATCTTTTGAAGCATGTCCGCGCAAAGGACGCATATGAACGTGTCGTTGCTGACAACCCTGGGCACGCAAAGGTTCTACAGCAATTGGGGTGGTTGTATCACCAAGATGGATCTTCTTTTCAGAACCAAGAACTTGCCATCCAGTACCTGACCAAGAGCCTCGAAGCTGGTGGGTTATTGTAATTTACCTATCTTTGCCTCCGTACCGATGCCGTCACACAGACCCTTCAGACGCTCAAAGCTGGTACCTCCTCGGCCGTGCTTACATGGCCGGTCAGAAGTACAACAAGGCGTACGAGGCCTATCAGCAAGCGGTCTACCGCGATGGCCGCAACCCCACTTTTTGGTGTTCTATTGGTGTTCTTTACTTCCAGATCAACCAATTTCGTGACGCTCTTGATGCATACTCGCGTGCCATCCGCATCAATCCTTATATCTCTGAGGTCTGGTTTGATTTGGGCAGCCTCTACGAGAGCTGCAACAACCAAATCTCAGACGCTATCGATGCTTATGCCCGTGCCAGCGAACTTGACCCTGGAAACCATGTCATTTCGCAACGTCTCCAGCTTCTAAAGAATGCTCAAGCGACTGGTGGTCAGCTGCCTGCTGCACCAGGTCCTCAGGATGTGCACCCAACCGCTTATGCTAGCGCCGTCGTTCCTCCCCCAGGACTCACCGGTCCTCCTCTCCTGCTGCAATCGACATCAACTCGTCCCCCAATCTTCCGCCCTCAGTCAAATGGCCCACCTAGCGGTGACAATCTTCATTTGCCGCCTCCTGCACCTGCACCCGCTTCTAGATCATCACCTGGTCCGTTCCGAGGTGGTCCTCCACCACCTGTAGTGCTGGACGAGAGTCGCCACATGCCTTCACATACACCTCTAGCACCCATGGACGTTGATCGTCCACCTCATCCTCGTGACTACCCTAGTTCATCGCGTGAGGGTCCAAGTCGTGGGCCAACTGGCCACCAAACTCTACTCCTCCATCATCCTGTTCCTCAGCAGCAAGTGCAAACGGAAGAGCTTCGTAATTCCGCCGTCCATGGTCCTGGTCAATACAATGACCACTTCCCTGGCCGTCCACTCAGGGTCCCTTCGACATCCGCGTCGCCACCGCCACCACACAATTCACGTGTCCGGTCTCCAGGTCCTGGGTACCCCAATTATCCTCCATCAAACAGGCAACCTGTGGGACCTGCCCAGCCTAGCCTGTCACAGCGTTCGCCGCCTAATTACCCTCGTGAGGCACCTCGCACAGAGCATGACATGGCATGGGATCGTCGCGGGCCACCTCCCGAACATCATCGTGAATGGGAACGTGAACGAGAGCGTCGAGGACGTCCCGAGTACCCCTCGCATCCTTCGCAGCAACCCTATTATCCATCACGTTCTCCCGTCCCTCGTGGACACAGTCCAATGGAGACATCGCCTCGCTCTGCACACCCGCCCGCACACCCATCTCGTGCATACTGGGACTCCAAACCTCCTGGCGGTCCTCCTCACCCTCGTTCACCTGCACCACCAGGTCCTCCTGAGGTTGGCCACTGGCGATACGACCCTGCACGCGATCAGGAACGAGGGGAGTATGAGCGGGAACGTCACCTGCATGAGCAACGTAGGCAGTCAGCGAGTTTTGCTTCGCCGGAAGGCATTCCTCATGCACTTCCTCATCATATGGGGGCTAGCTCTCGCCCCTCCGAAAGCCCGCGACCCACTCCTATGCCTGATGCACGCGACCGCAAACGGAAGCAAACGAAGGATAGCAAAGATTCGGACACGCAGAGTATTGTTGGTACTGGTGTGATTGGCGAGGCGCCTAAGAAGGAGAAGAAGCGAAGGCAGCGACGCGCCAAGGATGACTCTGGTCGGTCAGATTCTAATGGTGTTCCTTCGAACATGCCTGCTACATTCAAAATCGGCTCGTTCTCCGCAAAAGAGGGACCAGAGACATCTTCCTCAGGAAGTAGGTCATTGCAGCCTTCGCCTACAAGTGCGACGCCTCGTCCACCATCACGTGTTGTAGATGATGACTATGACGAAGGCATAGAAACGTTGCTTCATCTCTCGCAATACCGACAGGAGGTACAATCTTCATCGACAGACCGTGGCTCTGTCTCTTCTTCGCGCAGCCGTCCTTCACCCCCCGAAGTTTCAGGCTCCCTGAAGCGCCCTCTGAGCCCGGTCCCGGATGAGATGGACTCGAAGCGATCTCGGGTTGATGGTGGCAAGCGCAGTGGGTCATCATCAGGTTCACGACACACACCCATACCTTCGTCGCGACCATCGCCTATACCCTTCCGTACCCAGCCCTCGCATTCTCCAGAGTCACGTCACACAGAATCTCACTACCAAACTAGTCCACCACAGCTGGCCGTAGTGCTTCCGCCTCATCCCCGCCCCATTGGACCTGGCCATGCATTACATGTCAGTCCATCTGTTCCTATCGCACTTCCTCCTATTGCCACTCTGTCTCCTACATCAAGCATCCCTTCACCATCTGATGACCGGATGATTCTCGACTCGCACCGTTCTTCTACTCCTCCATCGCGAGGCAAGCTTTCTGAGGTGATGAACCCAGCAGCGGGCTCACCACCAATGAAGGCAACCACATCTCCTGCTCGCTCGCAAGAAAGGACTGCACCTACACCTCCTTAATATTGCTATGTTTTTGTATGCGTTTGCTATTTAGGCTTGAGGCTTGAACCAACCCTATTATGATTGCATTGACGAGGCAGAGTAACGCATAATACAGATAATTATCCACACACTCGCATGTAAAGATACATTGAACACACTTGTCTGACAGCTCGTTGAGCTACGAATACCATCTTTTGTGCATTGCATCATGACTCTCTGCCTTGGATTAGTTATAACTAAGGTATAAGCTGCTTGGGTTCCTGAAGCTTGAAGGGACGCCAGCCCATCCGAACTGGAGTCCACTGGTCAGTTACGTCACGGTACTATCATCGGGCACCGGAAGAAGAGTCGGAGCCTCTAACTCCTGTGCTCAGCTGGGGGTTTCCTTCCAACTTGATTCATGATGATAGCGACGCATTGATGGATTGGAGCACCTTCAAACCGCTCTCTGAACGCGGAAGCAGGCATCGTTCTCAATCGATTCCACGATGACAGCCAGTCTACTCGTTTGGCAGCCGCGCGCCGTGCTACGTAGAAGGAATGATCTGTTTCTTCTTAGGGGAGATTGATGGAGAGAACACGCTGTATGACTGAACCTTGTTTGACAGAGCTAGTAGATCATCGAGAATCCTGTTCTTCTGATTAGACCTCGACAAGTTAGGCTCGTGACCAGACTCGATGCGTTAGGTTCAGTTCAGACTGCGTGAGCGTACTGCGCCTCCCTTCAACTGATCGCAGCAAACCTTTGTATATATATTGACTGCGTTCACATAGGTTATCGTCACGCGACATTTGCATTTGTATTCGCTTGCGCAAGGAGAGATTCCATCTCATCCTTTTTCCCTGAACGGGCTATTCAAGTCGGTGGACCTGATCTGCCTGTCACATGTCACCTTCGCTCGCGAGTCGCATATCGTCTTTAGATGGAAGAGGTACGCCCATTGTGAAACCTTCCGAGGAGGCATCGCAGCTATCATCCCGCTGAGCATCTACATTGACTTCCACAGTTGATTAGGGGTAAATTATTTGCCACAAATTCACTGCTCGTCGACGGCGAATATGCTTTGCAGCCATGCCTTGTTGGGTTTGGAGGCCGCAAGCTGATTAGGTTTGGGCGCTCCTGGCAATTTTAAGTTGGCGCTTTCAGTTGCAGTAGCTCCGAAACCCAGCTATCTTTGGAATCTCACAGATAGAAGGTTCTGCAAAACTTTGTGATCAGTTTTCTGATCATGTCGAGAGCTGTGCCTGCGATCTTTGCGGAGGCCACTGCAGGGTCCTGTCGTACTTGCAAGGATGGGATTGCTATAGATAACGTTAACCTAGCTAGCTAATTAGGGTGACTGGCATTGTTTGCTGGATCATGGGACCAAGTCCGAGTGAATGAGAGATGCATCAATATTCATGAATGGTTGGACAAGCACCAGCCAATAAAATATGCGGCGAGTGATGTAGAATTGTTGAGATGATAAACTGCAACCAAATCTATTTCCGCTTCGAAGCACCACGCCGCTCGTCAACTCCAATTATTGGAATCAAAAACTTCATTCTATATCTTACATCTACCCGGAGCATCACTCTCTCAAACTGCCCGTTATTGCGCTCAGTCTTTTATATTGACTCACGCCTGCAAGTAGCCAGCTTCAGCGTTTCTCAACCTTGCATACTCAATGCGACACTGACAAGTCATGACATCTCTTGAAATTCCCATGAACGATGAATCGACATCCCATACACATTCCCAACAGATTCTTTCATCCACAGAGTCAACAACTCACAACCCGCAGTCGTCTTCTTCCTCCAGCCTCGTTGCTCCAGCGCAGCTACACGTCTCTCAAGCAACCTCGTGGACTCGCATGGACTTGGCCAACGAGGAAACTTCAGGGGCAGAGCAGGTCGAACTGGAAAAATTGCATAGTTTTCAAGTGAACCATAGGGACGACCACCTGCCACTCAGCCCACCACTCACTCGCGTACCTACCACAGACAGCACGAGCGCACGCATCCTAACACCGCCACTGGAAAACGAGGAACAAGGCCTGGAGGAGGTAGACATTGTTGACCATGAATGGCATCCACTTGCACGCGCAGAGTCTGCAGCCAGAGTTGATGGCTTGTCTTTACACGACCGCGATAACCTCGGTATCGGTTCAGAGACAGATAAGAAACCTCGGAGGCGAACGAATCGCAAACCAACACATCTAAACCTTGAATTTAGGGAGCCTTCACCTCAGCCTTGGGATATCATCGATCCGCCACTTGACAACAATGACGGTGCAGAAAATGAAAGTTACTCGCCTCTAATGTACCCGGCTCAGCATACTGGGTATGTCCTTATTTTTATCTGAGCCATGTTGATCTTGACTTTTCAACATAGACATCGGCGACCCTTGATCCCCCACTCATCATACTACTATGGACCACCTCCATCAGACTCGGCCTATGGAACGCCCCCAGTGGGACAAATTGGTGTTCATCATCCTCGAGAAATCGTACGCATTGAAAGGGATTATGCTGGGGGGGAACTGACCCAGTTCTCTTCAATATATCCTATTGAATTTGACGGCCGAGTACTGCTCCTATCCACCCCTCACTCTAGCTTTCTAACCCCAACTTGCCAGATAACACCGACTCAATTCATGGAGACCATCAATGACATCAACGAGCTTCTTATATCCGCGCATAGCGCCCGCCACTCTTTTATATACAATTTTCTTGCGGTTGCTACCCTACACCTCTCGACACTTGTCTTCACGTCACACTACGATAAGGTTTGTCTTTGTGCTCCCGTGTGGCGTACCTGCTGAACAAAGTTTACACAGGAGATGCGGCGGTTAAAGGAGAAGATCGAGGGAATAAACACCCAAATATATAACCCCGTCGGCCTCAACATTCTGTGGCCCCGGAACGTGGCTTTTCTTTTCGTGCGTATTTTCGTCACTCCAGGGTCCTTGTGCTCATCATTACTTCATAATGATCCGTCGCTTGACGACAACAGCTAGAAATTGAATACTATGTACGTAGTTTATGCGCCGTCGCTGCATTCTCATATCCGCTAAAGCTAACCTTCCTTGTGCTTTAGTGACCTTTTCGAGCGATATTGATACCAGACACATTCCAACAACGCACTTACTTATTGTACATCATTCTGCCTATGTCACATCGGGTACATGGATAAATTTAATATGCTGAAATAAGGAGCATCGGTTTGATAATTGTGCTAACCACAAGTTGAAAAATGCTGCCGAAGTCAACGAGTACATGAAGACAGGCACAGGATTCACTAGGAATGTTCGAAAAAGTTGATCTGATAAAATGGATAATTTAGAGTACAATCGGGTCGGCGTCCGAGTGGCCTGTGCACGGTGCACCTGTGGGTGTCTCTTTGATGGCAATCAGGTCCGAGGGGCTGGAAATCACGCAGTGGCAGTGGAATACAAGTGATCATTGTTCCACGCTGTCCCCGGGCCGCGAGTCAAAATGTTTCCTACAAGAATGAGACAAACATAGTATGTCTCGACACAAATAGATGTACAAGTGAATAAAATGTTGTTCGTGTGTCGGTATTGTACACAATGCCTTGAAGCTAGTCAATCTAGCAGCCAATGGGAATACACGTGAGCGAGTGATCAGCCACATGTCTCTAATGCATGTGACATTGGGGAGCGATCATGATCGGTTGATACGCTTCAAGTTGGTGGTGTCAGATCAACCCTACAGTCATTGGTGGGGGGCTAGAAGGGACTCGGATCTTCGGTCATTTCAACCAGAGCTGGGGTTCCGATCAGAATCAGTAGTTTAGGCGTTTGAAATGAGGTACTACCAGTATGTACATATGGAGCATGCGCGTCCCTTCTCACCTTGATGCGGCGACCACGGCGGCCCAATCCCAATAATGGCGGGCGACGGACGACGGTCTCTAACCCGACATTCCTGCGAGTTCCGATGTTGTGTGAACCAGAATTTCCATGGCTTTTGTTCACCGACGAGTGACAATTTATACACCGACTTGACACAGGTCAAACTGTCGAACAAACCGTGAGAGGAATGATCAAACCATTTCGACAAGGGACTGCGGAAAGCGGTAATAAAACGGCATTTGGCTGCGGAAGAAGTTGTAGCAGATAACACTTACAGGTTTCACTTGTCCCAAAAGCGCAAGTTAAAATCGGTCAACTCGGACGAGCGCAATGGTGGCAATAAACTAGCGAGACAAAGGGTCGGCAAGAAGCGGTCACTATCAGGGTAAGAGACAGTTGGTGTGCATGTGGAATTGTGCTGGGGAACGAGCTTGGGAAGAGCAGCTCAGGTTATCGTATAAGTGAATTTGCAGAGTGCTATTCTGGGGCCGCAACCCTCTACATACGATCATTACCCGTAAAGGGAAGCTCTGAGCCAGGTACTCAGTGAAATGCGATGATCCTCGGGGGAAACCCTAGGGAAGGAGCACCGACTCCTTACCTAAATCAAGAGTTGTGGTTGGTGCATACACCATCAGGCTTAGGCTAGGACCTTGTGGCGAAAAGAAGCACAGCGAAAGTTGTGTAGCTGTGAATAAGATTGAATTCGACCCCAACCCCAACTTTTTGAATCATTTCATGGTTACTACGGTGAGAAGGTGAAACCAGAAGCTTGCATAATGCCGCATTGACCCAATGATTGGTTCGAAGACCCGGATGAGACGGATAGAAGTGTGACGAAACACAGGAGACTGTCTTGATATCCATGGAGGTCAGAGGCCCATCGGAGAGTTGAAAGCACCAACGCAGAAAAAGACTATAAACTCTGATAGCATTAAACATTGATCCGACGTGGGGGGGTGGGCTGGAACAGATTCGGTATGCGAGGCGGAAGGAACTTCTTACACCTTATTGCAAAATCACCGAAGAGTAAATCTGTGGTCATGTCATGGGCCTCATTCATCGAAAGTATAACGGCTAGGCCGGTGTACTGTGTAGTAGCCTTGGAAACTCGGTCATTGATACTACCCGACAAGCGAGCTTGAGTCAAAGAGTGTGGAGTACCGCGGGCCCGCACGTGCAAGGGCAAGTTGGCTATGTGCATGATTACCGTCACATTTTACCATCAAACTCAGATTGTAACGATCAACGCGGAATTGAAGTCAGCAACCAGACGACCCCCCAATCCATTGCGTCACTATCGCACTGACGAGTACATTTGGCCGTCGGCAGTAACACTGGTTATTATTTATGTAAAGATAAATTAAATAAACTAGGGGGGGTGTAAACATGATTTGTCATAGCAAGACTGAGGATCACCGACGCATACTCCGTATCTTATTCTCCTGACTCGACTGCTTTAGCTTCATTCTCACTATCAACATTTCTCTTTCGTCTTTACCATCGTTTCCAGCAGCGGATTCACGACTTTTGGTACCGTCTAGCTTATCCACCCTATTCTAGCTCGTCCAAGGTTCCATAATCTTATGGAGTTCCCTACAATGAACAACTTCTGGGATCTATCGCAAACACCATCTCAGTTCTCTCAGCTTGGCGATGACGACTTCCTAGCTCTCCTTCAAAAACAATACCCTAATACCGTTCCTGACGTCAATGCCACTGACGTTGGCGCTGTAAACCCCCAAAGCATACAGAAAGCTCCTTTGCCAAGTCAAACACCGCCCTCTGATGATAGCAGCCCAAGCCCACCAAGCATCAACAGTATCAATCATCCACGCTCAAGGCACCAGTCTACCTACTCCCGTGGAAATGACAATGAGGAGTCCGCGCTAAAGCGCAAAGCGAGCGATGACGACATGGAGGAGGGTCCAAGTTCAAAGAATCAACACACTGGTCCGTGACCTATCGTTCTTCGTGTTTATCCATGACGTCTAAGCCTCTATTTTCATAAGCAGCTGATGACCCGAGCAGCACAAAAAAAGGGTCAATATCTAGACGAAAGTCGGGAGGGTCTCAGGTTCGTGGTCCCTCGGCTTCCAAAGCTACAGTCAATTTAATTCACATCATCTTCAAGGATGACACACGGCTCCTGAAGCGAAAGGAACAAAATCGTGCTGCTCAACGCGCTTTCCGAGAACGAAAGGAAAAGCATGTCAAGGATGTGAGTCAACTGATTCATTTCGTTGCTCTTGCTCACGGCCCGGTTTTTAGTTGGAGGATAAAGTGGCTGCTCTTGAGGCAAAGAATAAGGACGCGCTAAATGAAAATTCTAATTTACGAGATCTTCTCGCACGCCTTCGGGAGGAGAACCTTGCTCTTAAGCAAGCCCAATTCACATTTTCAATGCCGAAACCAATCGATCATTCACAGGCTTCTTCATCAGCATCACCTCCGACCGTCCAAGCACCATTTAGCTTCTTTGGCTCCCCTTCAGCAGTTCCACACCCCACACCCCCCACATTACGCACCACCTCCCCTAAGTCATTTAGCGACATTGATTGGTCTACATCGATGACATTCGATCCCACATTACTCGCTGCAATGGATGACATTCCTTCAGGTCCAATGCAAGTCGATTCTTCAAATTCACCATATGGCCAATATGCCCTTCCAGCTCCCAACCAGTACAAGACTCTCGCCACTAATACATTCTTCATGTCGTTCGCCGACACCGATTCCAATTCATTCGATAATGGTCCTATCAGCAACGAGACCGTCAACAACACTTCTAACGGTTTGAATCAATTCCCGTTCAATTTCCCTTCACCTTCGAATTCCTGGAATAGCACAAGAAATGGCCAATCCCAAACAGAATTCTCACAATCTTCAGCTCATTCCGACTACATGCAAAACCACAGCCTAGACGAGCTTTTCGGCGGGACGTTCATGAACGGCCAAGGATCTGTTGACTTTGGCACGCTGATGAAGAGTCCGCCCGCACCCACCGTAAGTCCCGTGACACACGCAAACGGGAACGGGAACGCGCAATCACCATCCGGTAGTATATCCTCACAAAACTCCGTGGCTTCCCCCCTTTCTGCACATCCCATACCATCACCATCGTCGGCTAGCACGTCAAACGGTCAAAGTCCATTCAGCTGGACGATGTCCCGACAAGACGCCGAAAGTCCACCTTCGGCTTCCGAGTCGTCATCTAATGTAAATCCCGGGGGGCCTATCATATCGAGAGAGGATATCGCCAAGCATATAGCTGCATCCGGTGACTCACCGTTTACGAGTCCACCATTCTCACAGCCTGCGGTGCGCAAGACAAGCGAATTCTCTCAAGGTGGGAGTATGATCTCTTGCGAGGGCTCACAATTTCCGAAGACGAAAGAGAATCCGGCGAATATCGATGTTCTGAAAGCGTGGCGGACGATCACGTCGCATCCTCAGTTCAAGGTCGGCGTCTAATCGTTTGGTGGGATGGCTTTTGTTAATTCAAATTCTTTAGGACGCCGACATCAATCACCTATGTACGGAGTTCACAAAGAAGGCACGATGTGACGGGACAAAGGTTGTTTTAGAGCCAGAGGGCGTGCATCATATCTTGGAGACATTCAAAGCAAAGTCGTTGGCACACCAGCAGCAAACATCTCCCAGTTAATCGAGCTAGCACGCGGATTCCCATTTGTATTATGCATCGCTAGATCATCATTTATCCTGCTTTCTCACATTTCGTTCTTGCGTTCTGCTATATTTTTCTATGTAGTATTTCCTTACTATTGGGAAGAGGAGTGGTACATAATCGTCCGGCTTATTGTACAATGTGCAGTCTCGGGTTGTTAAATGAAAGCCTTCGCTTGTAGATGTCAAATACAAGTTTCTCAATGATTCGCCGTGCGTGCCTTCTTCCTGGACACACGTCAGTGCGAGTGTCACCAGTGAGAGAAAGACTCAAACTCACGAAATCATATTCGCATCTCTGGTCCCGACTCATTAAAGGAATGGTTTCGCTTGTAGATTCCAGATATGAGCATACTCTCCCTCTTTCCTCATCAGTTCATCGTGTGTGCCCTGTTCCTGGACGGATTGGTCCATGTACCTGCGAACCATGTCAGCACGAGTTTTGGCATTCAATATCCAAGAAAGACCAAGACTCACAGAATGAGATCCGCATGTCGGGTGAGGTTCCCGAACCGGTGAGTGGAGAATATCACGGTCTTGGTACCCTTCAACTTTCGCAGATTCTCGAAGAGTTCTAATTCCAGCAGGTATGAGATTCTCAAACTTGGCTCAGGAATGGGGAAGCACACCGTTTTCAGCTGTAGGGTCCAAGGAGGCGCTCGGCTCGTCGAATAACAGCATGCCAACGGAAGAGTCTGTATCGGTGACCAAGGAACCCATGAATGTGCGTGAGCTAGTCAAACAATTGGTAAACAGTCAGCACCGGCACCCGAGAGCCCAAAGCATGGTCACGTACACTGCAAGCCGCTGCTTTTGCCCACCACTGAGGTCTGAAACAGTGGAAGTACGGAGACCCCCCATATTACGCACATTAGAGTAGTCGACGCCAGAGCCTTCAGAGAGGTCCGGGTAGCGGTCATCTACAGGGCGATCAATGTAGGTGTCGAATCCGTCTGGGAGCTCCTCAATGAAGTTTCGTGAGCCACCCATGCTGGCGGCTTCGCGGATATTGTCATCATCTTGCGCGAGGCCGGGATTGCCGAGTCCAATGTTCTCGCGTATCTGAGTATGCTTAGGTATATTGGGCTTCTAAATTGTGTAAAGATTAGACTCACCGAAAGGGGAAAGTGCGTGTAGTCCTGGAAGAGGATGGACATGGCAGCACGGAGGTCAGCAAGTTTAAGGGTTTTGATGTCGCGGTTATCGATAAGAATCGTACCCTCTGTCGGGTCGTAGATGCGGGAGATGAGGTTCAAAATTGTACTTTTTCCAGAGCCATTCCCTCCGACAATTACCTACGGTCACAGTTATAAAGGAGATAGAAAAAAATGGAGGGACTTACGCAAAGCTGACTAGCCTCAATCCTGAATGAAACATTCCGGAGAGCATACCTCTCTTCATCAGGGTACTGGAACGATACATTCCTGAAACATCATATGCCTCAGAAAAGCCTACATGAAGGAACGAATGGTGGAGGTACCTGAACTCAACAGAAATGCCATTACTGAGGGACTGCTGGTTCTCGGGAAATTGTTCCGTGCCATCTACCACTTTGTTCTGTACGTTCTTGAGCTCATATATATTGCGTACGTCGGTAATCATTCTAACAAGACCAAAGATTCTGTACGGCGAGAGGTGTGTCGAAATGAATGAATTGAATGTATGTTCAACTAGCACGAGTGACATAAAAGAGGAGGAAATCGTCGTTGGCCTTCGTACGGCGCGCAGCATGAAGGCAATCTGGTTCATTTGGTCAGGTTCATCAACTGCCCTGTCAATCTTGCCTACCTGAGGCAGCTCGTCCAATGTTTCACGGAGGATGGAGGTGATGCTCGGGAATTTCTTCATGAAATAAGCTTCACACACTTCGCGAAAATCGCCCGCATCGTCGCCGACGCGCTGAGCGGATTCGTGAAATTCTGGCTCGTGGTAAGTACGTCAAATGATGTTGTCCTGGAAGGTATGTCGACATACGTGAAGTGATATATTCGCCGAGGTTGCCTGCAACAAGCTCTTTACGGTGTGAAGAGACCTGATTGAGGATCTTCAGGCCTTGCATGCGAATATAATCATCATTGGTCGTGGTCGCAGCCCAAACTACACGTATTTTTGGCTCAGACGAGTATATGGAGCGTCGATTGTTGACCTACCTCCTGACATACTATACAAGCCGTCTGCTGATAGTGGTGGTGCTGTCCTATACCAGCGAAACAGAGATTGCGAGAAGCCAAGAATCACAAGAAGTGGCCCATCCTGCTGCTTCCGCAAGACTGTAAACAGAACAAAAAGCTGAGAAAAAATACTAGTGGTCGTCGCTGCGAGGTTCGCCAACTCCGCAGCAACTTTCCATGCAAGGTCCATGCCCATGTCCCTAAAAAGCGTCACAGAATTAAGCTGCTTCAGGACAGCCGAGTCTGTAAAGGTGGGTAGGTCGATGCGGGCCATCGAGTGGAATATATGTTTAGCGTAAAATTGCTTGATGGACATCCTTAAGGGGATTTCGATGCGTCTTTGGACATGTCTGAGAAGGCGCGACGCGACTGCGCATGTAACACGCCCTACTGCGACATGAATGACTACCGTTGTGTCAACAGTACGTCTCTCCATCACAGCCTCCACCTATGTTCAAGATAAGTGTGAAGTAAAAGTGGAAACAAAAATAGTACTACAAGTTGGAGCAATTGTCCATCATACCTGCACAAATACGTGATGAATATATAGGGGATCACCTAAATCTGTGACATACCATAGGCAAACGGCAGGTATAAGGGAGTCTAAGACTCGCACTATCAAGAATGCGGGAAGAAGCCTCCGGACTTGTCTGATATTGAATATTTCCTTGAACATGCGGATCACGTAGGGCGTATTATCGCGTATCTGGACCAATGCCTCCAATATTGATGAATCCGATCTGCGTGGTAACTCTTTTCCACGTTCCTCATAGAGGTCCCATATACCGATGCGAGTGTGCGTGACAGTGCGGAGGTCTAACTGTCTTGAACCTGTTGCCATTAGTATCCTTTCCGATGTCTGACTCTGATGGGAGAACAGAAGTAAGTTGAAGAATTATATGTAGTGGTTTAAGAGGATGGCGCTAGGCAAATCCCACACAGAAAGATGAGGCTGTGGGCGTCGGGTGGAATGGAAATATAAAAATGGGATGGGAATGCAACATATGCATACTCATGGATAGGCTTTCTCAATGTCTTGCTTGTCCCTAGTGGTGGTCACTGGTGGCGCATCGATACTTGTGTGAGATGCGGCGACATCTCGCGCTCACCGCCTGCGTACTTATTGGAGAATCGAGAAAGAGCATTGACCCTACGGACTACACTCTCGCAAGAGCATCACAGTGGGAATCGATGTGAGAAGTCGAAAAAAATAGTGGGTCTCGGTCCTCGGACTCAGAGGACTGGCGGCCGTACCGGCGGGAGTCTGGTAGGTTGTACTGATCATTGAATGTCCGTTTTAAAAGCATGCAAAGCCGCCCACTTGTCCAGGGTCCGTCGGAGTGGCAATTGCCGCTGTCAACAACACCCTTCATAGTTGCGCGTCTATTAATACAATTTGTGGCTGCGGAACAGCATAAAACATTGAGTGCTGCCAATTGATACCCACACTGTCTATCATCCGTGCTCGAGCTTCACCACAATGGAAGAAGAAACAGTGCAATCTATCACCATAATCGACACGCCTGATCGAATATTTGAAAATACCAATACCGTACTTGCAGTCGCAGTGTTCCCTGATCAACGACATATGGTGACAGGCTCTGCAGACGGGATGCTTCGTCTATGGGACTTAGGGAATGGGATCAATGTGTTGAAGAAGAAGATGGAAGGGCATCGCGGCTGGGTGCGGGCAGTGGCAGTATTGCAAGACAGAAATCTGATAGCAAGTGCCCACCACGGGGATATCATCATCTGGGATAGAGATACTGGCGAATCTCTCACCCCTACTGGTACACCCATCAAAGCCCACCTTACTGACTCATATATTTACTCGTTGGACTTTTCGCCGGATGGAAAAACGTTGGTGTCTGGTTCATCGGACCATATGACGAAACTGTGGAATACAGATACGTGGCAGCAACGAGGAAATCCAATCAACTGTAATGCGAAAGTTTATACCGTTCGGTATTCACCATCAGGCGAACTACTTGCCATCGCGACAGCCTCTGATATCCAAATTTGGAATTTGGGGACGAGGGAATGCAAAGCAACCTTCAAGGATCACATGCACAAAGTCTATGTAGGAACCACTTTACCACTCACCTGGAAGCCCGATGGCACAGGGCTTCTCTCAGGTGGCTGTAAATCGGATCCAACCATACGGGAATGGGATCTATCCCCTGGGCAGCAGGTCGGCGATTCTTGGAAAGGCCATCGTCACGAAATCAACGCCATTGCCATGAACTCTGATGGTACGCTGGTCGCCTCCGCGTCTACAGACCATGATGTTCGCCTCTGGCGGCTCTGGGATCGAAAAACCATTGCTATATTCCGACACTCCAGCAGCCAGGTGCACTGTGTTACATTTACTGCAGACGGCAAACGCATCCTCAGTGGAGGTGATGACAAGAAGGTCTCAGAGTGGTCAATACCTGAGCACGCTTTGGGTGATGTTAAGGTATGTGTCTATGTCTCGATTTATGATTTCATGTGACGTTTGCTATGTAGATGCTCACTATAAACCCATGCATAAAGGGGAAATTGCCTGCAGCTGAAGAACAGCTAACAAGAGAGATCAATGCTGATCACAACAACTATAAATCGTATGCTAATCGTTCGTTTGTTATGGCACGAAAGGAAGACTGGGACCGCGCGCTTAATGATGCCTCCAAGGTCAGACCGACCGACCCATTTCGACCCGCATAACGAAAGCTGATTTTGGTCATGACACAGTCCCTCAGTATTCAACCCTCGCTGACAGGCTATATTTCCAAAGGCATTGCCCTCGGCGGGAAAAAGCAGGTCTGGGATGCGATCAGAGCATTTGATCTCGCGTCTATGTTCACGAATGGAGATCTGAACGCCAATCATCTCCTTCTCTTGATCAAGGCAGGTTTGATGATTCTTACACAGTCCATGCTCCATTGTTGTTTTCAGGCTGTCGTACTTTTTAATGCAGATCAGCATGAGGAGGCACTTTTGCGCGTGCAAGAGCTCGCTAAAGCTTGTCCCAGTGCCGATACTCGTGCGTGTTTAATTGTGGAAGTGAGAAAAATGCTTCATCTAGCCCAGGCCCGCGCATTAGTACTGATTTTTTTTGGAACTTCGCACACCAGGCATATCTACATTTCCAGCTCGGAATCCACGCCTCGAATAATGCGCATCACGATAAGGCTATTGACTACTTCACTACTGCTATCAAAGCCAGCGGTTCCTCAACCAAATTTGCCATTTATTCCAAATATGATGACTTTGTCATGGTGCGTTACATAACACAACCGAAAATACTTTTCATGATCAATCATATACTTGGCACAGCTTTTCGGGTGGGACCTCCAGACCTTGTGGCAGAATGCAAACCAGAACCTGTGTTCTGCACTTCTTCAGGCAAAGAAACTCGAACAAGCCCTCGAGGCACACCAAAACATGATCGACAACGGTGATGAGAGCACAAAGGCCAACTGCCTTCCTTGGTCCACTGGCAAGTTTTCTGTGACGTCAATCAGGCTACAATCCTCACCCCCATTCCGCACAGCTTTCAAGCGCCAGTGTGGCGACCGCTATGCTCATGACGGAGACACCGCATTCACAGCGAGGGATTATGACGAAGCTATTTACCTATATTCGGCGGCAATTGACCTGGGTGCCGTAAATGATACTATTTTGGCAAAGCGGAGTGAGGCTTTGTTGGAAAAAATGCAATGGGAAGATGCGCTTCTCGATGCGCAAAAAGTGCGACAGCATTTGTTGTTTTGTGATCAAACACTCATTTTTGTGATACATAGTTGATCAAACTCAACCCTTCGTCGTATATTGGATACAGGTTGAAGTATGCAGCGCTTCGCGGCTTAAAACGCTTTAATGAAGCCATCGATGCCTTCGAAACCATGCATAGGTTGGGCACTGCTTCCGGACCAGAAATACGAAGTAAGTCACAAATGGCCCACCTATCAACAAGCTTGACTCTTTCTCCAGAGTTGCACCAAAATTATCTTGGTCAATTAGAAGCAAAAAAAGCTATTCGAATGGTTATTGACGATCAATTAGAAAATGCGCCGCTTCGTCTAATCAACACCACTGATGGGCTCTTATGTGATCGAGATATGCAGATACACGCCTTCAGCATGAGCCCGAAGTACAGTGAGCTCTTGTTATCCACAATGGAACGTGCAGAACATCGAACGAAGCGCATCAAAGAAGTGGTAGAGCCATACTTCCATTGTGTTACACTATCGCATCGGTGGGAAGGAGAAGAGAAGAGACTGGACGAGATCCAGGACAGGGCGATATACAGTTTTGATCCAGTTGGAACTTTCGTAAAGTTGCAGAAGTTCTGCAAAGTCGTTCATGATTTGGGGTATCACTGGGCGTGGATGGATACATGCTGCATCGACAAGCGGAACAGTGCGGAACTCGAAGAATCACTCAATTCCATGTTTGTCTGGTATCGCCACTCAGCGCTCACGATCGTATACCTGTCGGATGTTCGCGAGTCTGGCACACTGGAAAAGAGCGATTGGAACAGGCGAGGATGGACAATTCAAGAATTACTAGCTCCCAAAGCCATTCTTTTTTATCAGAAGGATTGGACACCATATCTCGGCGACCACTCTCCCAACCACAAACAGTCCGCTGCTATCATGCGGGAGTTAGAGGTTGCGACAAGGATAGATCAAGCGTCCCTCACCAACTTCCGTCCAAGCATGACAAACGCCCGAGAGAAACTCGAATGGGCGTCGATGCGTACCACTACGCGGAAGGAAGACATTGCATACTCGCTGTTTGGTATCTTCGACGTCCGCCTGGAAATTCATTATGGCGAGAAGGTGCAAGCCGCACTCGGGCGGCTCTTGCAGAAAATCGTGGCTCAGTCAGCTGACATTACTGCGCTTGACTGGGTCGGAAAATCATCGGTATTCAATAGCTGTCTGCCAGCTGACATCACCTCATACGAACACTCGCCATACAAGCCACCACATCTTTCTGAAGATGAAATACAGACATTGGTCTCGTCACTGCGAAATGTCGTGTCTGTAGATTCCGCTTCGGAACTGTATACCCTGCTTAGCAGACTGCCCCGTCCTCGTTTCGCGGATAGCCGGCTGCACCTACCCTGCATGGTATTCCGTGTCACAGACATCAGACAGAGCCACGCTCGGGGTGAACAGTCACATTTCACGTATGAAGTCAAGGCAGTTGGGTTACATGATCTCTCAATAACAACGAAGGAAAAGCTCACGGAGTTTTGGCCGGGACGGCGCATACGGCCGGAGGTATTCCTTGTCCGTCCGTGGAACCGTGATCTCCTCAAGCTGCCTGCGTTGGCAGATGAAACGCAGAGCGTCGAGGATGCATATGATCCCCAGTCTGCATTGCCAGATCTGTCCGGCGGGTTTCCTGGAGAAAAAGGAACGATTGATCTGGATTCTTACACACAGACGTTGCGATTGATTGTTCGCCTTCAGCAGCAATTCAATGCCTTGTTGTTATATGAGCAGCAGATCGGAGAATATAAGAGGACCGCATCAGATCGTGATATCATTGCGCACGTTACAGAAATGCAGAACATGATGGACGTGAGGACACTAGAGATATTGTAGATTCTGAAGGACAGATTACCTTCAAGTTGACAGTGCATGTACAATGACGTATTTCTCGTATCGTATTGTGACTCACGACATGTCTATATCATATGTGCATCATTTACACAATGAATGCACCTGAATCAGGATTATCTTCATTTAAATAGTGCCAACGTTAACTTAAAGTATGGTCGTTGGCATTCAAGTACATTCTCAATGATTCGCCGTGCGTGCCTTCTTCCTGGACACGTCAACGCAAGTATTAGCGCTGAACGAAATGCTTAAACTCACGAAATATTTGGTCCCAACTCATTAAAGAAAAGGCTTTGTTTGTAAATTCCAGATACTTGAAGTGTAATTTTTGTTTTCGTGATTTGCTACATTTTTCTAAATAGCATTCCCTGACTATTGCCGCGGTGTATGCGCCAGGAGTGGCAATCCGGCTTATTGTACAATGAATGGTCTCGGGTTGTTAAATAAAAGCCTTCGTTTGTAGATCCTAAATACGAGTCTCTCAATAATTCGCCGTGTGCCTTCTTCCTGGACACACGTTAGGGAAAGTATCAGTGCTGAGAGAAATACTCAAGCTCACAAAATGTTTGTATCTCTGGTCCCGACTCATTAGAGGAAATCCATCGCTTGTAGATTCCAGATACGAGCATACTCTCCCCCTTTCCTCATTAGTTCATCGTGCGTGCCTTGTTCCTGGAGGGATCCGTCCATGTACCTGCAAGCCATGTCAGCACGAGCATTGGCATTCAATATTCAAGAAAGAAAGACCAAAACTCACAAAATGAGATCCGCATGTCGGGTAAGTTTCGCGAACCGGTGAGTGGAGAATATCATGGTCTTGCTGCCCCTCAACTTTTGCAGGCGCTCGAAGAGAGCTGATTCCGGTAGTAACCAGTTCATTAGTCAAACTTGGCTTAGAAACAGAGCAGCGTACTATGTTCGGCTGTAGGGTCTAGGGAGGCACTCGGCTCGTCGAATAACAGCATGCCAGTGGAAGGCTCTGTCTCGGTAGGTAATGAGCGCATTAATGTGCGGGAGCTAGTCAAGCAATTAGCACTGGCATCCGAGAGGTCAAGAGATGTTCGCGTACACTGCGAGCCGCTGCATCTGCCCGCCACTGAGAGGTATATAGGAGTTGCTACGAAAATTCCCAACGCGATGCACAAGGGACAAGTCATCGAGGCACTCCGAGTCGGGCGACATAAAGGGTCCAATGTTATTATAGTAGTTGTCACAGTATTGTACGTGATCATCGATCCAGGTGTCAAATCCATCAGGCAGGTCGTCGATGAACTCTTCTGCGCCGCCGAGACGGGCGGCTTCGTGGATCTTCTCGTCATCATTTGCGAACGCGGGGTTGCCAAGTCCGATGTTCTCACGTATCTACGTGTGCATTACTGAGCACATTGCTTATAGGGTACTTCTGCAGGAACGACGCTTACGGGTACTGGGAAGTGGCTGTAGTCCTGGAAGAGGATGGACATGGCGTCCCGCAGGTCAGCTAGTTTGAGGGTTTTGATGTCCTGGTCGTTGATGAGGATGGTACCGTCTGTCGGGTCATAGAGACGGGAGATCAGTTTCAAGATCGTACTCTTTCCAGAGCCATTCACTCCCATAATGACCTGTGATCACGGTCAGAGAAGAGCACCACGAAAGGAGTAGGACTCACGCAAAGTTGACCAGCTTCGACCTTGAACGAAACATTCCGAAAAGCACACTTCTCGCTATCAGGGTACTGAAATGTCACATTCCTGGTATACATGTTTCAGAAACGGCTACATGAAGTCACCAATAATGATGGTACCTGAACTCGATAGAAATGCCACTCCTAAGAGACTGCTTGTCCTCGGGGAATGGTTTTGTCCCATCGACTATCTCGTTACGCACCTTATCTGCTAATTCAAACATGGCACGTATAGAAGAAATTTTCCCTGCAAGAGAAGAATGCCGCCTGAAGAGCGACTTGGAGGAGGGTGTGGAACTGAAAGAAGCTTGATACATTAGTATGAGCGACACAAAATAGAGGGGTGCGGTCATTGGTTCTTGCATGACGCGCAGAGCGAAGAGGATCTGGTTGACTTGGTCAGCTTCCTCCACTCCTGGGTCGATTCCGAGTACCTGAGGTAACGTGTGTATCATTTCTCTCAAGATGGATACCACGTTCAGACAAGAATGGATTCGTTCCACTTCTGAAAAATCAACTGCATCATCGCCAATGCGCCGGGAGGATTCGCAGAATTCTGGTCTCAAGATTGTCAAACTAAGGTTGCCCTGTAAGGTGCATCGACGTACGTGCAGCGATACATTCGCCGAGGTTTCCTGCAACAAGCTCCTTGCGGCATTTGTGGTCGAGAACGAGCCGCTCTAGGGCCTTCATACGAGAGAAATCTTTGTTGGTAGTTTTTGCAGCTCGAACTTTTGCAGCTCAGACAGATGCGGACACCATCAACTGTTAACTCACCTAAGGGTCTGACTGTTACGGTTTGTGTGCCATCCCAGTTACTAAGTATAGATTGGGAAAAGCTGAGAATTGCAACAATTATAACATCCTGTTGCTCCCGCAGGACTGTCACTAGAACCAATAGCTGAGACAGTAGACGGACAACCGCCATTGTGATGTTTGTTGACATCTCGACAATTTCGCATTGTAAGGTAAGATGGGAATCGCCGAGCTTGCCATTTATTAGATCCAGGATACGTGATCTACCATGGGTGGGCACGTCAAGGCAAGCAAGGGAGTGAAATACGCGCTTAGTGTTAACTCGTCTGATGGAAGTGTCCACGGGGCGAATTATACGACTTCGGGCATATTTGAGAAGACGCATCGTGATTGTGCATGCAAGATATACTACTGCAACGTCAACGAGCACCGACATGTCCACAGTACGCGTCTCCATTGCTGTCTCTACCTGGGTGTGAGATAAGCGGGCAGTGTAGATGGAAGCAAAGAGAGCCCTACAAGGCGGAGTAGTTGTCCAGTGTGCCTGCACAAAAGACTTATGAACGTACAGGAGTTGCTAACAGATATGCGACATACCATAGGGAAAAAGCGGGTATAAGGGCGCCCAGGAGTTCCACTACTAGGTACGCGGATATAAGAATAAAACATCGTGGGATGCTGTACATATCCTTCAACATGCGCACAACATAGGGCATGTTCTGGAGCATCTGGGCATATGTCTCCAATATCGATAAGCTTGATATGCGGATCTGGAGCCTCGAATGCCATGATTTGCGTGCCTCGTAGATATACCGATGCGCGTGTGCTTGACGCGGCGAGCATCCCCAGGCTGGAGGTCCGATTCTGAGCGTGTTGACATTCGTTTCTTTTTCTCGATGGTGGAAGAAAGTCCAAGACATGTTCTATTCGCATTACTTGAGTCAAGCGTTAGGCAAACCCCGAAATACACTAAACGTTTTCGGAGCCACCCAATTTTTACTTTGAACGCATGTCACACTCGTATCTCTACTAATCAGAAGCTCAAAATCAGCAGGTCGTAAGAGGTCGTAATAGCTTCGAACCACAATACTACTAAGCGTTCATTTCACAGTTTTGCTGATAGGCCACATCAGCAACCTGATTGATGCAAATGCATCAGCCTGTTTCAAGCGAGACTCCACTTCGAGGATCCATCACGAAGATATCGGAGGTTGTGCGCTTGTAAGATGATCGTGATGGGCAGTGTTGTGTATGATATATATGAAACCCAAGGGCTGCGCTGGACAAAATGGTGTTGATTTTCACAGAAACCTGCATGCAACAAAGATTTGAGTTCCAAGAACACCAAGAAAGGCAAAAAGTAAATGGTCCTTGGACCACTGTTTTTCTTCTGGAACTTGATGATCGGGCGAGAGTTATCCTTGGCGAGCGCCGAATCACCCTCAGCCACAGTTTCGAAAGAGGCGAGAATCACAGTACTAGATCACGGTTTCGATCACGAATTTTTGCAATGCAAGGCGGGGTATTAGGCAGATCGATGATGTGCAGTCGTCACGCCAGGCTCTCAAGCCTCGAATCTTTTTGAGGCCTGGTTGGTCGACGGTTGGTTTGATGGAGTGGTGGGGGAAAGCCTCGAATCTTCTTGAGGCCTGGCTGGTCGGACGGTTGGTCGGACGCAGTTGTGCGCAGGGAAATCCCGCGCAAGCCAACTCAAACACCTATTGCGAGTTAGTAACAATGTTGCCATGTTCAAGTACTAATCGCGCGCACCAAAAGATTCGAACAAATGTTCGGTGACGTCATCCCGCCTGAACCCAATGAGAATGCCAACGAGTCACGACTCTATCAAAGTCAATTCCGTCTGCACCATACAACGCAATATATTCGTTTGTAATGCATGCTTTACTCTACAACTCGTCGCAACGGTAGAAGACACATATACTAGTGCTATGATCAGGGTCCGGGAAAATAAAAATAACAAGTCGGGGATGGCTCGGGTACGCAACGTCAGTGTGATAAATTATAATACACAGCACAACGGCTTGACATGGGGATGCAAGCAAACTCCGTAGAAGTGAATATGACAGCATAGTAATCCTAATGACCGTTACTGGCACCGTACCTCGTAGCGAAGTGTTACAGCTTGCTTGGGTGGACACACCTTGAACAACTGATTTTCTACCTGTTCTGGAACTCTTCGTACCGGTTCCCCCCCATCAGTAACAATCTGAATGTCGAATTGGGATAGAAGGAGAATGAAGATGACCTTCATGAGCATTTGTGCAGCTCTTCTCCCAGCGCACATATGACGACCAGCACCCCATCCCACGAACGTAGTTCCATGTCGTCGCCGCTCTTGAATCGCACCTGCTGAAAAGTGCTCCGGGTTGAATTCCTGCGGTGTTGAATAGAATGCAGCATTATAATGAAGGTCGGCGGTTGGGAACATGACATAGGTTCCGCGTGGTATGTGTTTTTGGTCCACGAACATGTCTTCTACACTTCTTCTAATGAATGGTCCTTTGAAAAGCATGCGCAACGTTTCGGAAATGCAAATATCGAAGAGCGGCATCTGCGTTTCTATGAAATTCATTGAAAACAAGGGTCTGCCATCGTCGCATCCAGAGGTGTGCGAGTCTTTGTACAACTGTCTCGCTTCGTTCTCGACGAGTACTTTCCACTTCGGGTTGGCTTCTAGATGAAGGAGCAAGTAGGTGATCACGTTTCCGGTGTTGCCAATTGCAGCAAATAGCATGGTAGCAAGCATCTACGGTAGAACGTTTATGTTGTGAGTTATGGAGATATGTAACTGACTGACCACAGTGGTTTTGGTGGAGGAAAGACCTTTGTCTATCATGGCCTGCAGTGGGTCGTCTTCACGACGATCTTTCCTCGAAAGAACAACTGCAGAAATCATGTGGTGTAATTGCATCCCGGCAAGCATCCTCCTAAATCTGGCTGGAGTCGGGAACCAAGGAACTATGAGGGCATTATGGTCCGAGCCTTCTTCAAGCCGCTTGAAAATGCTGATCAATGCATGGATTTTCTTCGGGTCCTCAGAGAACTCGCGGCACATCGTCATTCGTGCAGCCAGGGTAAAAACAATCTGGGGATGTTTTCGATCACCAGTGACATTTAATATGAGAGACTGAAGCTACCTCGTTGAGGCTCTTGGAAATATCTTTTGTTCCGTGATTTCCCCACATTTCGAATGTTCGCAAAGCATCTTCCACCATCGATGGTAACACTATGAACGATTAGATTCTATATACGAGGGAACAGAACTGCAACTTACAATGTTCCAATACATCAGGGCGCGTACACGTCGCTATCACGCTTGCCATGTTCTCGTCTCTGATTGTCTCGAGTAGCGGAATCTGTACGAACTTCCATAAGGATGAAAGTCAGTATGATCTATAGATATTACTCCCCAATAATATGTATCCAGCCATAAAATCAAGGCCTATGAAGACGATCATGAGTCGACAGCGAATAATTCGCGCAAAGAGGTGAACCTTTTGAATAGAACGCGTTTCTTCCAGTAACGCCCCGCAAGACTACAACCGTACTCTGTTGTTTTTCGGTACCATTGTAGTGAGCTGCGACGGAACGAATAAATGGAAACACTTACATTAAAAATGCGAAAGGAGAAAATGGAATTGTTTGCCCTTTTCATAGAATCTATCAAAAATTGCGATGGATTCATGAAAAAGCTAGCGCTTCCGATATACCAGATGGCCCGTTGACTAGGGATATCGGAAGACGGCAAATGTCCATGGCCATCTGCTCCAGGGCTAAAGTATAATAACAAGATCACCAGTAAGGCGAGGGGGATGATGGCTAGTAGTGCAATCATACGAAGTCAAGTGAGTGCTCGTCAAGAATTCAAGAGTGTTACCCAGACAATGATAATCAGAGCGAGTTTTGAGGCATCTTATAAACAAACGTCACTTATCACGGTTTTAATTCATCAATAAGTGTGCACAGATGTGAATGGACTATAGAACGGTCATCAAAGCTTGATCAGTTACGAACTTGAAGCGTTGAACATTCATTGGTGAAGCGAATCAGACCTCCCTTCCTGTAACTGACTCCTGGCAACGACTCGATGAGCCACTCAAAACTTCCTACTGAGTTAGTGAAATAGACTGCCAGAACTTATTTGTGCCTACCAGTGTCAATGGCCATTCGAGATATCATGACTTGAAAGCTCGGTGTATTGAAATACCGACTCGGAGTTGATGCAGACTGCGGCGTACTGCACAGCTGCATTGTCACATCAAGTCACAGTCTTCTCGCACAAAAATCACTCTAGTAAGCCAGACTCAAGATGTAAGGCAATGTATGTATACGGGAATGCCACAGCATGAGTACTAGTGGCAGTGACGTGGCACACCATGCACATGCATCATGATCGTTGCGTGAGCCTTTTCTTCGAAGCATCTACATTTCGCCATAAGTATTCCCATTGTGGGGTGACAAAGTAGCTAATTTGTGTATATTGAGATATGGTCGTCGGGAATCATTTAGTTGACGAATGCTTGTAAACCTGCACCTTTTTGTTCTTCGAAATGTTACGATACACTGGTCGCTACAATATCTCTAGTGACCTAACATCTATCATTTTATGAATAGAAGTCATGTCTTTAATTTGTGCAATGATGTCCTGATCCGATGCCATTCTCTTGTATCCTCCACCACGTTGCTGCATTAGCAAAAATGCACTGAACTGCTGCCCAAGGCGAACAATCAATCGCAAATCTCGTGAGTAAGAGTCCACATCAACCGGCCCCTTTTCGTTCTGTGAAGCGGACTGGGGAACGAGCCCATCTTTAACGCTCTGCATATCATCTAGGAGAAGATGATTCCACGGACGGACCAGAAAGACTTTCTTCTGGATGGATCGTGCCGGTGAAAAGGGAATGAGTTTCTCCCTCGTTTTGATCAAGAGATCATGCAGCCCATCTGCTCTGATTTCATACGACTGTTGGTCTCGAGTCTCGCTCCGTTTAACTTCTGTAACAGGGAATACTATGCAAGGCAGGTCTAGCCGATGATGCGCGAAACGAGGAGTGCTCAGATTGCTAAGCAGGGTATAGAGTTTCGAAGCCGAATCCGCAGTCACGTTATTTCGCAGCATGGAGATTGATGTCTGAATTTCATCTTCAGACGGAGATAATAGCTTGCATGCCGCAGCTTCGTAAGACGTGATGCTGGCCGGCAGACAACTATTGAACTGCGATGATTCTCCGACCCAGTCCAGGGCAGTGATGTCACCTGACTGAGCTACGATCTCCTGCAAAAGTCGCCCGAGTGCATTTTGTTTCGTCTCGCCATAGATCACAGGTAGGTGGATGTCGAAAATGCCGAACAATGAATACGCAACATCTTCTGGTAAAGTGGTGTTACGTGTCGATGCCCATCGCAATTTCTCTCGGGCGCCTGTCATACCTGGACGGAAGGCAGTGAGGGTCCGTGCATCTATTCCCGTCGCATCCTCCAACTCCTGCATTATTACAGTGGACTCCTTGTGGTTGGGAGAGTGATCGTTGAGATATGGAGTCCAGTTGCTCTGATAAAAGAGAATGACTTTGGGAGCCAAGAATTCTTGAACCGTCCACCCTCGCCTGTTCCAAGCACTCTTTGCCAATGCACCAGCCTTGGACGAAGGCGGAACATCCGACAAGTAGACAATCGTAAGTGCTGAGTGGCGATACCAGACAAACATGGAGTTGAGTGATTTTTGGAGCTCAGTATTGTTGTTCTTGTCGATGCAGCACGTATCCATCCATGCCCAGCGATAATGCGCTTCGCGAGCAATTCTGCAGAATGACTGCAATTTCACAATGCCTCCAACTGCCTCCAACTCGTACACAACTCTATCCTGTAAATCTTCCAGCTGTGGCTCCTTCTCTTCCCACCGGTGTGAGAGCATGACACAACGGAAGTATGTCGCCACCACTTCTGCGATGCGCTCCATTTGGAGGTCTGTATGCCTTATTGTCGATGAAACGAGCTCTTTGTATTCTGTGCTCGTTTTGAAGACGCTTATCTGCGCCTCTCGATCACACAAGAGCCCAGAAGTGGTGTCAAGTAGACGGAGTGGGGTGTCGGCGAGTTGAGTGTGAATGACCTCTCGGATATCACGTTCTACTTCGGCTGGACTGCGATACTGCTGGCGCATTTCTGTGCAAAGAAGTCAAGTATCTCAAAACATGTGTTTATCTGGGACTTACGTCGTGTTTGCGTCTCTGGGGTATTTTCTAACTGAAGAAGCATGGTTTGGAAGGCCTCGATGGATGCATCATAGTGTTGTGCACCATGAAGTGCTGCATGCTTCAACTCGTATCCTATATGAGACGAAGGGTTGAGTTCGATGACCTATGTGTCACGAAAATGAGCATTGTCCACGAAACAGTAGATGATTCTCGCACTTTTTGCGCATCGAGAAGCGCATCCTCCCATAACTTCATCTCCAACTTTGCCTTACAGCGTTTTATAAAGATGGTGTCGCTTGTGGCGTCCAGGTCAATAGCCGCCGAGTATAGGGTAATAGCTTTGTCGTAATCACTAGCACTGAACGCGGCATCTCCGTCAGCATGATAGAGCGCACTGCATTTTTGTTTGAAATCTGTAATGCGGGTGAGGATTGTAACGTAATTGGCATTACAGAAGACTTGCCAGTGGACCAACCAAAGCAGTTGGCTTTTGTACTTTCGTCACACTTGTCCATCATGTGTCGGTGTGCTTCGGAGGCTTCTCCAAGTTTTCTTGCCCGAAGGAGTGCAAAGCACCGTTTCTTATTTGCGGTTTCCCACAAGGATTTGAGATCCCACCCGAAGAGCTGCAAAAGAGCATGAAGTTGGTCGTGATAAGGATTTTTGGCTATCTATATCAACGCACCACGACAAAATCCTCATATTTGGAATGAATGGCTAATTTAGAGAAGGAACTGCTGGTGTTGACAGCGGCAGTGAAGTGGTTAGCAGCTTCTTTGTGACGCGCATCATCCGAGGCATGGTTTCCGAGTTGAACATGTAGATATGCCTGGTGTGCAAAGTTTAGTCGATGCACAGGCCCAGGCTTGAGTAAGTAGATGATACTTACCTTCACAATCCAACACGCACGAGTATCAGCACTCGGACAAGCTTTGGCCAGCTCTTGGACGCGCATCATTGCCTCCTCGTGTTGATCTGCAATGAAAAGTGCGGCAGCCTGAAAACAATAAATAATAATGAAGTAGTGTATGTAAGAATAATTTAACTTGCCTTAACCAAGAGAAGGAAATGATTGGCCTTGATGTCTCCGTCCGTGAACATGGATGCAAGATCAAATGCTTTGATCGCATCTCGGACCTGCTTTCTCCCACAGAGAGCAATGCCCTTGGAGATATAGCCCACGAACGAGGGTTGAATGTCGACTGACTATGTACGATCAAAATCAGCTTTCGGCAAGGGGCCTCGTAGGTCCGTCTATCTAACCTTGGAAGCATCATGAAGCGCCTGGTCCCAGTTATGCTTTCGTGCCATTACAAATGAGCGATTAGCATAGGAGTTGTAGTTGTTGACAACAGCGTCGATCTCTCGTGTTAGCAGTTCTTCAGCTTTAGACAAGTCCCCAGTTATGCATGCATTGCGTGCCATTGTGTGCATAGTGAGCATCTGCATGAAGAAGGTCACAATAAGTCATATAAGTCAAGAATAGACACATACCTTGACACCACCTGCAACGTGCTTGGGTACTGTCCACTCCGAGATCTTGTCGTCACTTCCGCTAAGGATACGCTTGCCATCCACAGAGAAGGCGATGCAGCGCACCAAGCTTGAGTGTCGGAATATATCGATGGTTTTTCGATCCCAGAGCTGCCAGAGGCGAATATGATTGTCTGTAGACGCGGAGGCGACCAGAGTACCATCAGAGTTCACGGCAATGGCGTTGATGTCGTGGTTGTGGCCCCTCCACGGATCACCGACTTGCTGCCCCGTGATTACATCCCATTGCCTTATGGTTGGGTCCAATCTACACCCGCCTGAGAGAAGCTGTGTGCCATCGGGTATCCATGTGAGTGGCAAGGTGATCCCTACATAGAGTTTGTTCATGTGGTCCTTGAAGTGTGCTATGCGATTTCTTGTCCCCAGTAGATTCCAGATTTGAATATCAGAGTTTGTCGCGATGGCAAGTAGCTCGCCTGATGGCGAATATCGAACGCTGTAGACTTCTGCATCACAATTGATTGAATTTCCTTGTTGCTGCCACGTCTCCGTGTTCCACAACTTCACTGTATGGTCCATCGAACCAGTCGCCAACATCATGCCGTCTGGTGAGAAGTCTAGCGAGCGGATGTATGTGGAGTGGGCTTTGATAGCAGGGGTGAGAGCTTCGTCCTTGTCTCTATCCCAAAAAATGACCTCTCCGTTGTCAGCGCTGGCTATCAATTGTCTGTCTTGTGATGCTGTCACTGCCACTGCCCGCACCCGACCGCGATGCCCCACTATCTTCTTCAACACAGTGCGATCCTTCAAGTCCCACAGACGAAGCATCCTGTCCGCCGAGCCCGTCACCATATGTTGTCCGTCGGGAAAGACTGAGAGTGCGAGTATGGTACCCGTATTTTCATGATCTTCAAACGTTTGAACAGGTTCGGTCTTTGGGATGACAGGCTGCTCTGCTTCTTCTGCCATTGTGGTGAGCTCAATGGTGTTGAGCGCGGACGATAAGCAGTACTAGTGTGGGTATCTTGAGCTTCGCAGCGCTAAAAGGCTGTTTCGTTATACGCACAGCCATGAGGTTATCATTTTCCTTTCAAGCCTCTCATCACGTATCGGGACCAGAGCTGTATCTATGGCGTATTCTTAGTCTTCCAACGCTCGGTCGGCTGTGGTGATCAGATGATTGGGTGCAGTGTTGGGATACCGCCATTTCTCGCGGATATTAAGTAAGGGTGGTCGAAATAACCTTGATATACTTAGGGATTGTAGGTGCTGTGCTCTGAGCAGTCATGGTAGAGGTGTATGCATTGCGTGACCGCTTAATGCAATGCTCGACGCTGAGTGTATTCCCACGATCGCCTTCAGTCCTGCGGGGCTGCATGAAATGTGTCCCACTTAATTCGAGGTGCTACTCTACGCGACTCCCTGTGGCAAAAATGACATGCACCACTGGACTATCGCCTCCGTCATTTTGGTCTGCAGGTGTATGGTATCAGATGCAGAGTCTCGTTTTCCATATTGATCGGGAGTGGAATTGTGAATTGTGACCACAGCTGCGCGGGATGCTCGGAAAAACGGCCCAGCCGGGTATGCGCTAAAAGGAATGCATGAACAGTTTCAGGAATATCGTGTGAAATGTCTTTGTGCGCGTTTGACTTGCGTGAACGACTGTGTGGCGCACTAGGATAGGATTCACTGACACACTGCCATGGGTTGGAGTCTGGACAATTCCATGTATGGGCGCACGCACGAGTGGTTCCATGATCAATCATGGATAGCGTGCAGTTCGTCTCTGGTTCGTTAAATGAAAGCTTTCGCTTGTAAATTCCAAATACGAGCATACTCTCCCCCTCTCTTCAATAAATCGTCATGCGTGCCTTCTTCCTGGACAACAGATTCGTCCATGTACCTGCAAGCTATGTTAGCGCCATCATTGAGATGGAAGCAGACTAAAATTCACAAGATGAGATCTGCATGTCGGGTGAGGTTCCCGAACCGATGCGATGAGAATATCATGGTCTTGTTGCCCCTCAACTTCCTTAGGCGCTCGAAAAGATCTATTTCGAGAGAAGTTTTAGTCATCCCAAATTGGGCATGTTGCAGCGCACCGTGTTCAGCTGTAGGGTCTAAAGAGGCGCTCGGCTCGTCGAATAACAGCATGCCCGCGGAAGACTCTGTCTCGGAGGCCAAAGAGCGCATGAACGTGCGGGATCTGTTTGAACAGTCAACACTGGCACTCCAATTCTATTCAAAACAAATACACTGCAAGTCGTTGCATCTGCCCGCCACTGAGACTTGAAGCCTCAGAAACACGGAGACCCCCAACACCTCGTACACGAGAGTAGTCGACCGATCTACCAAAGAGCATCGTGGTGCCTTCAGGGAGGCCTGCGTAGTAGTCCTTGACTGGACGGTCGAGGTAGGTGTCGAACCCGTCAGGGAGCTCATCTATAAAGTGTTCTGCGCCGCCCAGACGGGCGGCTTCACGGACCTTGTCGTAGTCGTGCGCAAGGGCAGGGTTACCAAGTCCAATATTCTCGCTTATCTGTATGTCCGTCAGGTACTTTGCTTCTGGGATATGCGAGGACGAGGCTCACCGAGAGGGGAAAGTGCGTGTAGTCTTGGAAGAGAATGGACATAGCGGCGCGGAGGTCTGCTAGTCTGAGGGTCTTGATATCACGGTTATCAACAAAGATAGTGCCCTCCGTCAGGTCGTAGATGCGGCAGATGAGTTTCAAGATTGTGCTTTTACCAGAGCCGTTCACCCCGACAATGACCTACAAGCACGGTGAGGAAGAGCATCACAAAAGGCGCGATACTTACGCAAAGCTGACCAGCTCCAATTGTAAACGAAACATTCTGGAGAGCATACTTCTCTGCACCAGGGTACCGGAACGAAACATTCCTGGCATACATGCATCAGAAACGGTTGAAGAACATAAGGAATAGTGATCAACCTAAACTCAACAGAAATACCACTCTTGAGAGCCTGCTGGTTCTCGGGAAACGATTCCGCGCCATCTACTACCTTATTTTGCACGTTCTCGATTTCATACAACTTGCGTACATTGGCAAACTGCTCTGCGAGAGAGAATGACTCTCCGAACAGTGAGAAAAGCGTGGTGCTGAATGAGTTAGATGTTTGATTGATTAGTGTAAGTGACGCCAGCGAGAGAGGAATGGTCATTGGTTTTTGTACTGCACGTAGGGTGAAGACAATCTGGTTGGTTTAGTCAGCTTCCTCGACTTCCAAGTCGGCATTAAATACCTGGGGTAGTTCCCGCATTGGTTCGCGGAGGATGGACGCGATACTCAAACGATCCTTGATAGTATGGGCTCGACGCAACTCTGGGAACTCGCCCGCATCATCACCGACGCGCTTGGCGGATTCACGAAATTCTGGTCTCGGGACGCGTCAAAATGAGGTCGTTCGGACAAGATGCATCGACATACGTGCAGTGACATATTCGCCAAGGTTACCTGCGACAACTTCCTTTCGGTGTGAAGGGTTATCGACCAGGTGTTTAAGGCCTTGCATGCGAACATAATCTTCGTTGCTCGTGGTAGCCGCCCAAACTATATGTCTAGCTCAGTGATATGCTCACAGTATGGGCTGTTGGCCTACCTAATGAGCCAAACACTCCCTTGCTTGTGCTGTACCACTGAAATATAGATTGCGAGAAGCTGAGAATTGCAAGCAAAGCACCATCTTGCTGCTCGCGCAAAACTGTAAATAGAACTGAAAACTGAGAGACCAAACGAATAACCGTCATCACGACGTTCGTTGAACTCTGGACGGTTTCCCAAGCTACGCTAGTGCCCCAAGGGGACGCCCACGCGGACTCGAGCTGCCTTTGAACGGCAGAGTCTTCAAATGTAGGAACGTCAAGACGTGCCATGGAGTGGAATATGTGCCCAGCATAGAATTGTTTAATGGACATGTTTATAGGGATGACGATGCGGCTTCGGGCGTATTGGAGAAGACGCGTCGCGACTGTGCACGCAACGCGTCCTATTGCAACATGAATGAGAACTGTTGTGTCCACAGTACGTGTCTCAATTGCGGTCTCTACCTGGATGAGAGATTAGTGGGCAGTGCAGATGGAAACAAAGAGGGTATTACAAGGCGCAGCAGTTGTCCGGAATACCTGCACAAAAGCGTTTTAAATGTCTAAAGGCCACATAAAGCTTCGGGGCATACCATAGGGATATGGCGGGTGTGAGGGAAGCTAAAACTTCCACTACCAAGAATACAGGGAGTAGTAGGCAGCACTGTCTGATGCTGAGTATATCCTTTAACATGCGCAGTACGTGGGGCATGCTTTGAACTATCTGTGCATACGTCTCCAATCTTGATGAGCCTGGTATGCGTGGCATATCAGTCTGGCGATCCTCGTAGAGGTCCCATACGCCGATGCGGGTGTGCTTGACACGGCGAGCATCCTCTGGGTCGAATGTGCCTGGACGTGTAGTTATCGTTCGTCTCCTTCTCGCCATGCACCGTAGAAGAATAGGAATCAAGTCAGAGACGCGTTATAAGTATTTGTGGATTGATTAAGTTATGTCGAATCAACGTTGAACCGACGCGTTCAACTGCGGCACAACTACTACAACTCAATTTGACGTGTGTGGTCCCGTGACATGTTTTCATACTTTTGTTCCCGAACATCATTTCCGGCGATTTAGCAGGCGTTGACCGTACTTCCATCTTTCATACGTTGGAAACTTGGAGACCTAAGGAAACCTGAAGCTCAATCAAGAATTGTCTTGATCTAGTACGCCACCGAGCTTGACAATACGAACGATGGCTTCCGACCTTTCTTCATTGCTGAACTCGTCAAGAGCTCTGAATTCGCATCTTTCACGGCCTGATCTTCCTTCTGTCAACCTTTCACTCGATCAGATAGAGGCACAGTCGCGTCGACTCGTATCACGACAACCTGGAGCATCAAGTGATGCTGACCGAGCGTGAGCAAATAAACATCGAGCAATATTGTTCTAACGTCTATGACAGAAACTACCTTCTGGCACAGGCTCATGTTGATGCCCCTGCCCTTGCCAACTCCATCGCACACTTGAATACCTCGTCGACTTTCTCTCCCCTCCAGCCCCTCCAAGACACGGATGTCTCAGGCTATCTTCGTCATGCTCACGAACAGAATCTTATTTCAACGATAGAAGAAGGTCGGAGGGAAACCCAGGAGCATTTCTATCGTCTGCTTGAGGAGCGCAGCCACAAAGACTGGGAGGCCAAAAAGAGACGCGTGTTCGAAGAGCTGGGAGGTCGTGCTACTAGTGATAGCAAAGCTCTGGCTGAAATGAAAAAGAGTTTCCATGGAAAGGCAGCGCTGGCGGTCAGCTAAACTCCGAATATGTGGTGTTCACCTATTGACAATGCGAAACAGGCAAGCACAGGACCTAGTTTGACTCTCCAGATGCAGAGCAAGATGATGGCATATGACCGTGCAATCAGCGAACTGAACGCTGCAAGGTTGCGCGGAACATCTTGTCCTATCATCCATCTCCTTATGCAAGCCGCTGCCAGCTTGAACTCAGAGGCACGTATCTCTCACTGTGTCGAATGCGAATTGTCTCACTTTTGTGCATACAGCCTTCCTCACAACAAATACTTCAAAACTTCCACGTGCTTGCAAAGATTACTAGTGAACCCCCCGCTCTACCTCCTGTGGAGCACGCAGGCGCTCACATATTGAACGCCCCGCTTTTCGAACGCAAATATGCGCGGGTGTATCTGGGGGATAGCGACTCCAGGGAGGCTGCAGCTCTGCGGATACAGATTGCCAAAGGCTCACGAGAAGCGCTTGAGGACCAATTTTGGGATATCATTGAACGCACGATCCAGTCGAGACCTATGGAAGCCCGTCTTGGAGGAGACCCTAGTGTAGCAAATAAAATACGCGCCTTCCTCCTAATGAGATATTACAAAAACGGGCAGTGGGAAGATCGGATAGAGGTCGGTGCAATTTATATTGAGCTTTCATCCTATCTGACAGTCACGCAGCTTGTCGCTGGTCAGCCTTTGTGGGCTAAGTTGTACTACCTTGTACGCACCGGTCACGCACAAGAGGCCCTTGATGAAGCCTTGAAGTCACAGCAAGCTATTGAACATCGCGAAGACAGCTTCATGAATCACTTCCGCTCATGGGTCGAGTCGCCAGAAAGACGGTAATTTTTTTCCATGAGAAACAATGTCTTTTATATATCAAGCACATCTCCAGGTTACCCAAACCACATCGTGACCACTTGCAGACAGTATACAATGCACACATGCTGCATTCTGCATCTGCAGATCCGTTCAAGCTTGCACTCTATAAACTCATGGGCAAGCTCGAGCCTTCGCGGCGAACAGTATCACAAGTGACGATGACGACCGAGGATTGGTTGTGGTTCCAGCTTGCAATGGTGCGCATTTTTGTAGCTCTTAAAGGATGTAAGCTAATACGTAGAAGGTTGATGAAGAGGAAGAGGGTGGCCTCCGTGGGCTCACAGAAGTTCTTCTAAGTTATGGAGAGCGCCACTTCGACGGTACAAAGAAGGGTGTGTGGCCTGGTGTTCTGCTCATGTGCGGCCAGTTTGAACGTGTGAGCATAACATCACGCATATCCGAGTTCTATCCTCATCACATCCTAGTCTGTGGCTGCACTATGGGAGCACCCAGAAACAGAAATCGAAGCTGTTCACCTTGCTATTGCGCTTGCATATCATGGGCTTCTACGCGTCCCATCTCGTGCTGAAACATCTGACATCAGTCCTTGTACGTATGCACTCAATTTGCACCTATATGTAACCCACCTATATTTTCAGTGACCTTGTCCCCACTCTCACCTCCCGCACTCAGCTTGCCGATGCTCATTTGGCGATACGTACGCCAGTTCGTTAAGATGGACGCGAAAGAAGCGCTACAGTATGTCTACTGCGTCTGTCTCTCGGCGGATCAAGGCGACGGCGTCGGCAGAGAAAATGTGGAGACCGCTTGGGAACTTGTGAGGCGCATCATCGTTCTCGCTCACTCAGGTCCTGCTTGGGAAGAGCTTGTCGGTGGATTCAGACCCGATGGCACGCGTTTCGTATGTTCCATTTCTTAACTCACTTACCGTTAAACATGGCTCACCTCTCCTACAGAGCGGCATCATCGAACAGGGCGCTACTCTTCTCCATCTACAAAACACCGCCCAGTACAACGAACAGATTCTCATTCGCGCCGCCCGCGACTCCGAGGAGAACGACCGCATCCCGGAGGCGATCAAGCTCTACAACCTCGCCGGGGACTACGGCACTGTCATTTCATGTCTCGCCCAGGCGCTCGGCAACACCCTGGCGCAGCCAGCAGGTGAATCAGATAAGGGCAAAATCATCGAACGCACTGCCGTTGAGATTTTGAGACACTACGAGCGTACAAACAGGGCAGTAGGCAAGGATCGAGATGCTGCTGTAAGACTGTTGCGTATCAGGGAAGCGCTCAATGCGAAGAGCTCTGGACGGTTTGATGTTGTGCTTGAGGTACGATCTCATCTTGGTCTTCTGAGCCCACCAAATGCTCATGGTTATTGTAGATTATGGAGTCCACAGATCTCATTCCTCTCGATGGGGATGTTGCAAAGATTACGCGGAAGGCCGAGGACTTCAAAGACTTGCATGATGCCTTGCAACGCAATCTACAAGTCTATTTGCCGCTCACGATGGAGGCCTTAGCGGCAGTCCACCAATCCATCAAAAATTCTGCTACAGCAGAAACTACGAGGCAGATGGTTTGTGCTCAATAGCTACATCATCCTTCGTATCCTCACTATATTTTCGTTACAGACGTTGACAACGCTTAGGAAAAAATCGAGGTCGCTGATGGTGTTTGGTGGTATCCTCAAGTATAGGATGTCGCCTGATGTGTACTCGTATCTGGCGAGATTGGATGTCGAAATTGCTCTGTAGAATATGGTAAATCAGGTCAGAATAGTTCTGTATGTCGTTGAGATTTTGTTTATAATATTGTGATGAGACCGGGAAGACCGGACCACGCGCGAACCAGATTGCTGAAGCGTTCATGCATCATACCTGCCACACATCTCATCGATCTCATCACACGCTCAACGTCAGTCTGTGGTCGATGGCCTGAGGTCCATTAATGTTCAAATCTAATGATGATGCCATCATATGGAGGCCTTTCAGGTCCATTTTCTTATATTCCTAAAGCACTGCACTTTTTTTTATCTCATCACTTTCAAACACGCTATGCTCATCCACTCGTTGCGATGATGTCGTTGAATTGCTCATTAACATGCCACAGCCTCAGGTAGCACACATTGAGTAGTGAATGATCCGTAACTTTGGGTTCTCACCTTCAGTTCCTTAGCATACCAGTTCTGCACCTTTCCAGTGACTACTTGGCAATTACCGTTGGGTAGGTACCAAATCTTCAGTATCATCCTCAAGAGCTTCTTCATCGTCTTCGTATTCCTGATGATCTTGCTCCTCGACAGCCTCCTGAGAGGGCTGCTGATTTTGGCACTGCAAGCAGGTTGATGCGTAAGTAGTACCCCGCAATAAGCTCGCAAAAAGGACTTACATGGTATACTGCAGTCCAGTATCCGCCCCAATACATCGCACTTAGCGCACGGCTGAAAGCTTCATCGCGGCTTACCATAGTAGTTGAAGGTGCAGGTATGAAAAATGAGGACTCGGGTGCCGCGGGAGCCTCAAACGGTACTGGCAGCGAAGGATCATACGATGGGACGAACGTGTTGAAATCAAGCGGAGCAGAGTCCTCCTCTTCAGCTGTGGCAGCCTGACTGATGGCCTCTGCAGACGCCGCTTTCATTAAATTAGGTGTTTTGGCCTTCTCCTTCGAACTATTATAGGGGACGTTGTACCATCTGAACACGATTAGATTATATTTTGCATGAGTAAGGTTACGCACAGCGAGGATTTCTTGACAGCGGTCGATTTCCAGTCTTGCGTTTCCCCGTGGAATGCCTTGTAAGGGTGTCAAGAGCGGCAGATGTAAGAGCACTTGCTAGATGTACCTCATATTCTGCTGTAGCAGAGTTCCAGGCGTCGATGAGCGCAGAGTCGTCCCATATTTCTTGGTGTGTGAGCTCCCGACTCTCGCCCTCTTCAACTTCACCATCCTCACCATGGGCACTGGCGTCGTCGTAGTTCATTTGGTTGTCTCCTGGTTCATCCCAGTGGGCAGTTTTTCTCGGACGTTTGGCTTTTTGATTTGACCTTTTGCGTTTTTTGGATGGAGGTGATTGACGTGAACGAGATTCAGAAGCTACTGCTGAGCTGCTGGCGCCATTGGTTTGTTGAGATTGTTCTAGGTCGCCGTACTGGACGAGCTGACGGTGCGAGTTCATGGCGAAGTGGGATGAGCGTATGGTCAGACCGCCGCCCGTGTATAACCGTTACACCAAAAGGTGAAATACTGAAAGCTTAAGTATGGGAACTCAGGTAAGCCAGGATGCTTACAACCGGTAATACAAGACCATACAAATTCGTATTCTATGCCGCATGCGGCAACAATATTCTACATATCTTCTATTTCTGGTCAACTTGCTGTGCATCGAGCACCAACCCGTGGTGTACATCGACTGTGTACCACCACCATATATTTGGCGAGCTTTGAAACATAGTACTGCGACCATTGAAACATCAATTCCGATAGCTCAGGCGCATCAAGACAGACTGCGTCAATTTCACCTAGCCCAAATAGCTGAGGCGGAGATGAAGATGAAGATTGTAACGTAGAAGCCCGATGGAGTAGCGTAAATCAGTAGGTATATCAACGGCTACTCGCCAAGATATTCCTCCACCAGGGCTAATAACACGTCCTCCATTTCCTCTCTAGTCGGAAGTGTCAGTGGCATCAGGTCTTCTGGCGACCAAAAGCCCAGGTAAGCAGCAGCTGTGTTCGCGTATGCGCGCATCGAGTCTGCGCCTCCATGAGGGGATGACATCTGCCTTCGCTGTTCCGTCTGATTCGGCTTTGCGGACTCGGAGTCGTTTTGCTGCCTCTGAATTCGCCATATCTATTTTGACATCTTCCTCCTGAGCTTTGCGTTTAGTGTTTAATAGACGTCGAGGTGGAGAGAGCCCGTCTGATGGGAGTGGTGATGAGCTTAGCGATGATCCACGAGGTATTTTAGGTGTTGGGTCGTCAAGAGGGAAGTCGAGGATCTCGCGGACGTTCGAATATTCGTCTCTCCATTCTGCAGGATGCATGTAAGAAAATGAAACTATCTAGAATCGTAGACACGGCATACCTTTTTCCTCTGCTTGACGCGCGTGCTCCAACAATTTTCCATCTGCTTCGTCTAGGTCACTGAAGCATGCGGGGCCCTGATTCATAAACTTCGTCTAGAATGAAAGCGCTTGGTTTTCCTCCTTTTGCTTCTGCTTTCTGGGCTGAAAGAGTCAGCGCATGCCTGTGAAATCTTTCGCACGGCCAACATTTTATCAGCAACAATTTCATACAAAACTTAAAAGGACATACTTGTATGCTTTTGTCCCAGGTACTTCCTTCCCATCATCATCCAGTATGGCTACATTCCGGCGATAGCTGGCATCTCCAGCGCAATGATATGGTTCTCCTAATGTCTCTTCTCCCGCATCAATTTGTTGATCTCGTCGTTTACATCTCGAACTTCGTAGTCGGTCTATTGGCAAGATTCATGTCAGCCCATCCGAATTCTGACTCTCCTGTGGAATGACGTACCGTCCTGGATCTTGGACATTTTCGAACTTAGCTCCCTCCTCTCCACCGTTCGCACTCCCTTAGACTTTTGCAGGCGCTCACCATTTTCGGGCGACGATCTGCGCGCGTCCCGAGGTCAAGTTCAGCTGCTTGAGCTTCTCGGAAACAGTATAACATTGACTATGCATTAAGCAGGCCTTGTGCTAGTGACAAGTATACAGTGTTACGATGTGTGCGAGTAGCAGCCGTAGTACGGGCGCTGTTTACTATTTTTCGATTGCTAAATATGAAGTCAATAAGTGAAACGAGCAAAAATAGCTTACTTTGGTGAAAAAACGAAACAGATGGAGGAGTGGGAGAGTGCCGTGGAAGACTCGGATCTGGAGATTTTGACAGACTGTCATCGTCGATGTTGTCATGCTGACATTCAGAAGGACCTGCTTGTGGAAAGTTGTGATTGGACTGGAAGAAAGCAGTGAATTTGAGAATATCTGCGGCAAGTAGATTCAATGTAAAACAAGAGGCACTTACCATCGAAGAACTTGTATCATCTGCTGACTTTTCTCGATCAAGATGGCGAGCCTCTCTCTTTCGACGAGTTTCTTCTCTGGCTTCTTGAGCAGCTCGCCTCACGATAGCCTGCTGAGCTTGTCTGCGACGTATACTGACAGGCAGAGAGGAAGAAGGCCCAGCCTCGGCCTGAGCAGGGTTTTTATTCATAGTACTAGTAGTAGCAGTAACTGTAAGCAGGTAGGAATACCATGTAATGTAATCGCACTTACGATCTCTTGCAATGAAGGCAAAAACAAGTGATGCTACGACAGAGATATGGAGAGTTCGATATACAAAGACGCAGAAATGCAATCACTTGCAAACGAACGCATGCAAATAACGCACACACGAACGTTAACGTGCAATCGCAGAACATCACACAAATTTCCATTTCGCGGTCTACACCATATCTGACCTTATCGATTCTAAAATTCTCTTATATCACCCGTTCTCAGCCTGTGCAGTTCTGACTGGGGATGACCAGTGATGTAGCTGCGTTGGTGAAACGCGTTGATTGCGGTAGATAGAACAATGTATAAGGCACCATGTACGTAAGTGGGGTACGAAAGCTTTAGTAAGGTTAGCTTTGCATATATTTACATTTCCGACTGTCCGTCACCGCTTGCTTGAAGGTCATATGAAAGTCACAATCAAATACAGCACGAAATAACCATACGGCCCTTTATAATCCTCAATCCCATTTATGATACAGACATGTATCATCCTATATAATAAGTGAAGCCTGAATTCGCTTGATGGGAAACATCTTTGATGAGGTTGTAATTCAGACTGGAATGATGCATCTGAGACATCCGTTCTATTCATCGATGGTGCGACATTCAAGTTCCTACTACCTTCTCTGCTCCTATACTCTATCCTCGTCAAATCTCGTAGCTGGTTACTATGATCGGTCAATTTGACACCTACCATTCTTCAGTCTGCATCTCTCCCTCGAACCATGGCATCGATGCTCAGGGAGTATCAGAACCTTTGTTGCGATATGCCGCAAACCACTGGGTGAGATATGCCCCACAGAACTTTCGAGAACTTCTCACTTATCATCGTTAGGCGGACCTAAAGGCTAAATTCCTTTTAGTTTACGCAGAAGAGATGTCATGGACTCCATCTCAAACCTGCTATCCTTCAATTCTGAGATCAAAACGTCCCTTGAGGCCACGCTCACAAAATACGCATTTTTGGACACTCGAGGACAGGATGAAACGTATCCAGTCCCGCGCCACCCTCCGGCGTAAATCTGCTTCGCCAAACCTTTCTCAGCGATCGACAATACCAGACCTCAAAGCTCTTCATGCGCACTATGCTCGCCAGCGTATGCATGGAGAAGCATATGACGAATACGAGTGCGGAAATTCCAGTCCAAAGCGCAAGCGAGCTGTTATTGGCATTCGCGATGTGGATAAAACCTCTCTGGAAATGTTGCCCTTCGTGAGGCCTCGACGCTCATACCAATGCAGCTACGGTGAGCGACAACCACAATGGTCACTAGGTGTCCAGAGTTTGGTGGATCCCCATATCGATGCTATAGTGGATTACGAGATGGTAAACGTCAAGGATGAATCTTGGTTGCAGTCCAATGCAACACCGAGATTTTTGATCGGCGCAGATAGCACTTCCATGAAGCACGTCGTTTATGGCGATTTTGGTGTACCTCGCACGTTTGAGAGAAGGCTGGCGTCGAAGAAGACGACTGATCCCCGTCCGCAACCTCGTCCTACCGTAACTATGGTCGACATTGACATGATTGCAGCTCGAGAACCTCCATCTACCAGTCATCACCGAAACAAATCTTCAGAGTTCATCCAAGCTTCTGATCCAATGGAAACCACTGCAGACCTGATGCGGGAGATTTTTGGTGATGGAGAAGTGGACGACGCGGACAGCGTCTTGTCTATGATCAGATCCATGAATATCATGTGAACGAGCAATGAACAAGCAATTTTTACCTTCCAGATGTTTCTATGAAATGGAAACGTTGCAACTCGTTCATGAGAATCGAGCTCTTACACGGCTATAAAGTAGGCTTCAACATATTTGAACAAGACGTAAAATAGATACCATCACCATGATGTAAAACAGGTTTGCTGCGCCAAATACTATTCTCAACTTCCCTCCTCCACAAAAGCCCCTTTGGTCTCAGAGTGATGGGAAATGCAAACTAATGCGATGCGCATGGTCTAAGGGAACAGACCCCCGACTCAGTCCCTGAACATGCGGCAAGGAACTTACCAGAGTAAAAATGTAATGCCAAGCGTATCGCCGATGGCAAGTCGAACAATCTAGCGCTGGTGGCAAGCCCGGCACCCTAGTAGCTCATGGCCCGGGATGCGGAAAATGTGTGGGTAGTGCGTCGAATTGTTGTAAACGTGACTTCTCGGAAATGAGCACTCCGAGTCGGACTCAAAAACAGAAATGCCAGCAGATTCAACGGAACAGCGAACGTTCTAGCCGTTGTGAATACTAAAGAGAAAACAAGCCCACGACGATGCGAGACCACCACCGTAACTGCATGATACGTAAAGCGCCTACCTTACGGGAGCTGGCCCACGCTGCATACCTACTTGTGCACTCGGGTGTTTGTGGAATGGCAAGTGGACCAACCAACGCGTTCTCACGGGCCATTCCGTATCGCCACACTTCGGACAAGTTTGATCAAAGTTTTCACGTTTCAACAGAGATCATCAACGTTACTTTTGGATCCGCCTGATCGCTTATGTGCATTTCAGTATACAATAGTGTAATAGCTTGGTGATCTTTTAGCCAAGTTTACGTTCCTGACATGCACTGCAGTCTGTGCGCTGGCAACACTGCGTGACTGGCTCAGATCATGATGATTTATGACACAGCACTAACACGTTCTAGGATGATCTGGACCCAACAACCGACGGGAAATTAACTGCGTGTATTCGAGACCTTGTGGGTTTGCATACACGGCACTCGGTCAACGAATGATGGGCATCTGTGAAAGAATGTTGGCCCAGGTTTGGTATATAATACTACACCTGGCATGCTCAACACTCCTCTGTGACTGCATATTGCCTCATCGTAATGGATGTCGTTCAAGCACACCAAATGTGAGTCGTACACGCGTAGATTGGCACCATATTTTGATAAGCTGATAGTGACTCAATGATACTCCCAGGTTGATGTCCCACTACGCCGTTCTAGTGCCAAACAGTACTAGGATTTTTATCTTTGCCGTCAGGATGTTAACACCATAATTTACTAGCTATCCTGATATACGACCATATGGCGACTCTCACAGAAGAGATTGTTTTTATTTGGTGTCGTCCGAAGGCGTTGTCTTCAGCGTTGTTTCTGCTCAATCGCTATATTGCTCTGCTGGGAAATATCTATGCATCCATTGATTATTTACTGCCTGCCTCAGTTGTGAGTCTATATTTCATCATACATATACTTACATAGCATGCTTATGACTTTCCTGCAGAGGTCCGATCCTGGTCCTTGATTATCTGTTCTTTTGCTTAACAGAGACTTAGCTGTTCGACGTATCGACTATCAAGGCAAGTACTCGCTTTTTTACAAGTGTTTATCGTTTCTTGTGAGTAGATGTTTATTTAGAAAATTCATTTACTGAAATTTTCAGTCATATTGGCTCTTCGCACTTATGCTCTCTATGACCGAAGCAAATGCTTGCTTGCTTTGTTGGTAATCATCATCCTTACCTTCGTGGGAGGAGCTTTTGTGCGTGTTTACATAGAAATTTTGACTCTGGAATCTACTGATTGTTTCTAGACGGGGACATTTGGTCGTCATTCAAGCACTGGGACCAACTTGCCAGGAGGAGGCTGCTATCGAATACATTCAGCAAAGATGTACGCCATCCTAATCTACGTGCCTGCAAAAACTTGAACGTTATTGCAGAATCATTCGTCGGTGAACTCTAGATGTATTTGCACATAGCTTGATGTCAATTGCAGGTCTTGCATGGATGATCCCACCTGTTTATGGATTGCTCATCTTTGTTCTCACGGTGACTAGGGCTTTAAAAATCAGAGGATTACTGCGGTTATCTCTGACAAAGTCCAGAAGAAATATCATTGCTGTCATGTTTCAGGACGGTAAATGTTTCGCTACATTAATATAGTGGACGCTGAAACCAACCGAATGCAGGTGTTATGTTCTTCGGGTGAGATTGCTAGTGAAATCGTGATTCAAGTGAGTCTGACCCTCATTCAAGGGTGATGACACTGTTCGAAATACCGAACATCCTGACGTACTACGTGAGTCAACGGATGAATCGTTGGTTGAGTTGCACACTAACAGCTTGATTCAGCATGGTTCGGTGAGCACAATAGCCTGTATTATACATTTATAATGCCTGTTTACGAGTGATCTGCAAGGATATCGTCAGGGGCTCTCTGCGCACATTTACTAACTGGTGAGTGACTGGTGCGATAAACACGAATGGAGTCTAAATATGCCTTCGGAGCAGCATGTCGGTTACTCTAATCTCACGGCTGATGCTTAACCTGCATAAATCGGTCGACGCTGGCATTCTCTCCGCTCCCACCCGGGACGATGACGACAGCCTCCTTGTCCTCACCACTGGACTCGACGTACGGTCCACGAATTCCTCTCACTATTGGTAGACTTAGCTGGATATCAAAATGGGTATATTCTTGTTGGAAATGCAAAGCTGGTTTTAATACTTTTATGTCCTTTTTTGATGATCTTGGTGCAGTGCCCTATGTAAGAATTACGTCTGTGTTCCTGGTGGTAGGTATGAGGATGAGGAACATGTTCAAAACGCAGGTTCTGGGGAGATGCTTATGAAAACCCTTTTGCTGGTACATGGAGTTAATTTTCGTGTCAACCTGGACGAGATATACGGCAGAAGATATATCCTACACAAGCGAAAAGTTTTCCGCAGAGCAACTTAACCTCAGCCAAAAATTTTAACAGGACATGTAAGTGTTGCTTCTAGTCGAATCACCACCAGTTTTTTAATCTTTGATCTCTCTCGTACAACAAACAAACCAAACCCACCACTCCAGCGGGATCACATTGAGCGGTGAATCAAATGCTGCAAAGAAGTAGCAGAAGATAAAGACTTTTTCAACGGCAGACCGCAGCTGTGATATGTGATACAGGGAGGTAAGGATAAAAGGAAGACAGTCGCTCTTTCTGTGTCATGACGAGTACACAATCGTCCCAGTACTGCTTTTACGGCTAGCCTTTTAACTTGAAGCCATCCAGCAGTCCAAGAGCTTGCCGATTTCTTGATGTTTCCAGTGTTCCTGGCTTTATGAGCCTAGTATCATTCCACGTCTGCATTCCGGGTCAGACATTGTGTTTTAATTACCGGATGTAGAGACCATCCATGCTATGGTGACATTTGTATTTTGCCAAACAGGATCGGAGTGGATCAGCTTTTGACGCTCTGAATTACACATGTCATAACTGGGTCCGTGCATCCACGCTCCTCTGGAATCGCCACCTCCTCTTCTGGCTTACTTCAACGAAAGGCAGCGAGTGATGTTTGCCAAAGGGCTTGCGATCCTACCTTCATTCGAAGGGCAGAAACCTTGCACAGGTAATTAATACTTTATATGTAGAATCTGTTATTCTTTTACGTTGCTCTAATCTTGCCAGCTCTCGTGTATTCGCTGTATTTTTTCTGCTTCTAGATCCCGCGCCTCCATGTCAATAGACGAGAGAATAACAGTGTCGCTTTCATCATCCCCTCCAACGCGAGTAATATGGTAAATGTCTATTAGATTGTCAGCGCCGTGAGGCACGCGCACTCCTCGCGCGCTGGTTCTCAAACTGTTGTTTGATGACCGCATAACCTTCCCTGTCAACTCGATGTAGATAATATGAGCCACCTCCGCTGCCCCATGAAACGCTGCCGGAGCGGTAGGGCCGCTCAAATACATCAAAGATCGCGCTTATATCATCCACCTACGGGGTTCATATGAGATAAATGTGTGAAGCGGATATACATCGTCACTCACGTTGCGTTCAGTAACGCGTGCATTAAGAGAAGAGACAAACGGCTTTAAGGAGACAACAATGGCGCCTTCTTTTAAATCTAGAAATCGTGGACGTAATGCTTCGTTTACTGTAACGTGATCAATATATTTTGCCACAAACAAAAGAAATGGACTGACACGACTGCTGGAACACCTTATTATTGACCAATACAACATCCGCCTGAGGTAACAACTCAGTCACTCTCTGACTGGTCAGCATGTCTCCTTCCTCTAGTTCTACCTCTCCCATCGAAAGTCCCCACATCCTACAACGCTTCTTCATCTGCCTCAGCTGCCCTCTCCCCACCTCCGCAGGCGTAGGCATCACCTCAATTCCGTAGCTTCTGCAGCACGTCTCTAGGCTTGCCTGCACCAATACATTTCCAACCCCGCACCCTAAATCCATAAACAAGGAATCTTTGTGGAGACGCGTGGCAGCAATGATATCTGACGTGAACGAGGGCATCAATTCGCCATATACCTCGCTCGAAAATGCCTCGTAGCGGTTTAACTTCAGAGCATGTGGGCCTACGGAGCGTTGATACGTCTCGTCGATTATGCGCATGAGCACCCGATTGGGGATTTCGTTTGATGGCCAACCTTTAATGGCCTCTATAAGTACATTAGGAGGTGCAGGTGCAAACGGGTCCGATGGGAGTGATGGGTATTTCAGCGCACGGAGGAGTTGGTTAATGTTTTGCATGGTAGAAAGGAACAGTGGTCCATCACGCCGTCGGATGGAACGTTGGAGGAGACGCAAGTGATTCATTCCACGGGGGTCGTACGAAGCGAGTTTTACAGGACTTGACTGTTCTGAATCACCCGAAAGTTGTGTGAGTGGTGAGGACGGCGGCGTATTATCGACATCCTGTAGAAAATCTGTGGGTAATGTTCCAAATAGCGCTTGCTGCGTGGGAGTAAGGTAGCCTGGTATTGCATCAGAATCTGTGCTCGCGACTGGTGACGGTAGTAACGCACATTCGAAGATAGTATATAATGATTGTTCTAGGCACATGATGGGGTTGTAGTGATCTGGGTCCTTAGGAGCCAATATGTAATAGCTACACGCAAGGTAGATCAGCAAGAAGCAGTACAAGTCACCGCACAACACGTACGTCTCACAGGCGTTAGCATTAGGATACTCCAGCTCAGTGGCAGGATAAGATTCAGCTTCAAATGACGTGTCACTGGAGTCGTCCAAATTCTTGAAATCTGCAATGAGTATAAATTCGAATGAGATCTGCATGTGATACATGGATTCTCACAAGTTTTGTATGATCGCGATAATACCGTTACTACAGACGCGGCACTGACAAAGTTCTCACCTGGCGAACCATCCTCAGTGATCCACAACTGTCGACGAGGGAGATCGGCTGGAGGAAAGGCCGACGTCGATCGAGAACGACTGCCTCGATATATAGACTCGATATCGAGAGTTTCGGAACGTTGTCGACTTTGAGTACGCGACGAAGACGCGCTCATAGTCGCGCGTTTCTTCGACTTCGGGGGGCGTAATGTTGGCTCGGGTGCGACTGACAATATTCTAGGTCGCTTTGAAGGACCTGCTATCTGCGCGAAGTGAGTTGGCTCATCAGCTTCTGGTGACGTCTCGGCAGAAACTGGGGTAGGCGGTGATAGGTGTGCCTGTGAACCTGCAGTCTCCTGTTCACGTATCATTTGTGACTTCCAGGCGTGGCGTGTAGTGACACATATATCTGGGACCATTTGCTGTATTTTTTTCGAAGAGTTTTCAAATGGAAAGTAATGAAAGTCTGAATACGGGGAGGAAGGAAGGGCAGATGAGAGCATTAGAGCAAGTCAATGAAATCCTTAAAACCTACAAATGGAACTAGTAATCTTGTCGGTGGCGATGCCGCAACACCGCTTTCGGTAATTGCCAATCTCTTTCTCCGGACTAAACTTTGCAGTGGGACGACTTTGTTACTTGTACCATGTCTGTCAGCTCTGGCCCCATTCTTACAATCAACTGATACTACACAAGCCCAACAAATGAGATACACGGATTACTGAGCACTAGGCCATTGTTCATTACTTTTCTTGCATTTTCTTTGCTCCCTAAGCCCACAGCGCTCTAATATTGTCTTTGTATGCAGATGCAATATACAAAGGGTTGGTCACCAGAACTACGGAACGCAGCATCGTGATGAAATGCATGCTTCTTCTCTGAGCACCTAAGAATGTACCGTCTACGCCCGGGCCCCGCGTTCGTCTCTGCCAAAGTCTCCGTGAATGTGATTGCCCAGTTGGAAGCTGCTCCTCCGTCACGCATCACAAGTGATCTATCCGGTACGCCCGCCTTGTCCCCAAGGAGCATAGCATTAAGACATGTTCTGGCGCATCTGATTGGTATGCTTGTGCCACGTACGGATATCTATGGGCAGCCCGAACTTGAAGGTCAGATATTTGATTCCTGACGTCATATACCATCATGATCACAGTGCCGTTGATCATGTGGTAGGTGTATCCGTGACAGCTTCAAAATGTTCAAGTTGTTGCCCTGTCGTGATTCATATGACAATGTAGTATCGCCCCGACGAAGTCGAACTTTACTCGCAGTCGCAATCGGTATGTACTTTCCATCGACCTCTATGTCTCGTACCTTGAAGTAATCTATTTGGGACGCCCAAAGTTGGGCACGCACACTACACACCACTAACCAGTACTTGACCACGCGTACTATACTGTCTATACAATCCTGGCGATTTTAAAAAGGAACATTCCGGGCTGCGCGGTTCACTCGAACTTCGTAGCGTTTCAATCGTCACACACAACTTGACACAACTTGAAGAGTCCTTGAAAACACAAATGCCCGAGGAAGCTCAACTGTGGTATGTATTTTTCTATCTATTCCAGCTTTTGATGCGCACATCTTATGCTTTTCTTTCCCTCGACGCCCAACCCATCCAAGTCCATAGCGGCTCCCTCCCGCATACGGACACCATTTGCCACCTCCGGTAACTCCTTATCACTTGTCAGCACAACATTCTATTTTCTGTCAACGGCTTTAGCGCGAATGGTCTGAACGATTGTCACCATCTCCATATACTTCCATCCGTCAAATTTGTCAACTCGCTTGCTCGGATTGTCCTGCCAGTACATGTGCGCTGGAGATCTGTGCTACTCCGATGCCCGGCTTGCCTCGTGCCTATGTTTGTTTGTGTATGTTTTATTCGGACTCTTTGGCTCGTCCATGTGCATTTCGGCTTATTATTCAAACTTGCCTGCGCTTGTCCCTGCTTGTTTGCATCAGTTGGCACTCACTTATCCTTGCTCATTTGCATCTCCACCATCTATCCGTACTCAATTGCACCTGTTGCTGCACATTTTTCATTCATATTTGCTACTACTTGTTGGAGATCGTCTGTACGTGCCCCGCACACATTCACTTCTTTCTGTCTGCTGCCATTTGTCTTGCATTGCCTGCCTTTGTAGTACTACTATGTACCTGCCGCTATACATCATTGCTCATTTGCACATGTCGCTACTCGTTAAAGATCGTCTGCACCATCGAGAATAGGTGACTTGTCCATAGATGGAGTTGTGCAGTCATTAATGCCGAACAGCAAGATACTATGTCTAAGTAGCATCTTTTGGAGTTGTGTGCAAGTGTGTGTAAAAAAGCTTGCATAATACACAAAATACAATTTAATATATGTGGGAACGATGACCATACTGGCGCAGATGGGGTTTGGAACTTCGGATGAAGTGTGAATCTACGTATGCAGTCGTGCCAGTGAGCGCATGTACCGTCGTACCCTCATTAGTCGTTTTTGTCTCTACTCCAAGTGGAAGTTGAGCTTAGTTTGGTGAATACTGCCGTATATCTGGATGACAAGACCAATGTGATAGCACAGATGCAAATACGTCCGACAAGGATTCCGCGCGAGTGTAGATCCGTTCCGATACTAGGGCAACGATAGGGTATCACCAAAGTGCGTATTATCTTGGCACCACTAGGAACACCATAGATAGACAAGGAGATGCTGCATTGGGATTCCAGACAATGGGCAAGTAAGATCACGGTGGCATGCGACGACACGGCCGTGATTATGCATAATGTGCTGTCTCGGAAATGAAAGGAGCCTGATTAGAGAGTACGTGCGAGTGAAGTTAGAAATGTCAACTCAACTGTGTTTCTTCCCTCAGGCTGTAATGAGATTAAACGAAAGATTGGCAGACAATAAGATCGTTCTCCGACTCGGAGCATTGCCGCTTAGACCGAAAAAAAAGTCCTGGGATGCCCAGAGAGCCTTTGCCAATGCACAGAGATACGTAGAATGGCCCGCAGGAGTTCAGGGCCAAATGAGGTTTTGCAGATTACTGACGTGGTTGGGGTCCAGCAATATACGGTACTGAGTGTGCGTTCCGAAAATGACAGTACTAATAGGTACCTGGGGAGCACTCTGCTCCGGAATTTAGATCTCCTAAGCCTCAGCTGCTGATCTCCCGGTATCCCGGTATCACGTTTCCTCATGCATAATGAGACTCTAGATTTATCCTAGTATCCATGAGAACCTTGAGCCTAACTCTAGGGATCGTGTCACCTATCGTGGGCTGGATACAACAGCATCAGCGGGTTAGATCGTGCTACAGAGTGCTACGGAGCGCTTCGTAGCACTCTGTAATGAATTACGTTTCCCTGATGAGCGGGTTGGAATTACACATTAGCAGCATCGCCTAGTGTTCTGCTCCCAATAAAATGTTGAGGACGGATGAAGTCAAATCTGAAATCTGCTGGCAATGTGGTGGCATTAATCCAAACGTCGTCTGTTTAAAAGATGTATTTCAGCCTTCAGGTGGACAGGTTTTGTATAAAACACTTCGAATAGCAGGACATAAAAGCAAGCCTTCATACCGTCCCCTTCTAAATTCTTTTGAGATCCCATATCGCATCTCAAAATGATGCGTCTCTCCTTCGTTCTCGCCGTTGTTGCTGCTTTCAAGCTGTCAGTGTCAGTGCCTCCTCCCAGTATTGACATTCCATGTCCCATCCTCTGCAACACCACTGCTGATTGCTGCGCTGGCGATATATGCCAGCCAATAGTATATGACCGCGAAGTGAGTATGAGTAGTTTTTGTCTCTATAACCCCATGACTCACTGGCTTGGTAGGGCGATATCTATTATATCTGTGGGACATTGGGCCCGCCGGTATTACCGTGACAGTGGGTCGTGTTTCTGCTTTCGCATTGGTGTACACGGTGTGGTTGACACCACGACGCGTCAAGCAGTTCTTGAGTACTTCGCTGCTGAGCGCCCAGTCGTCACGGTGAACAAAGTTCAACAAACAAGTTCACCCTGCTCGAATATCGAATATCGTAAATTAGAGGGACATCTCGAACACAGATAACATGACTGAAGTACTTACGACGCGTTGTTTTTCGTTCCGTGCTTGCAATATATATATGATTGATAAAGGCCTCACATAGAATAGACAGTCGGACTGCGGAACCAACCCGAGTGAAAACCCACTACGGCGTGGCACGACGTGATATGTTTTTTTTCTCACCTATGCAAAAAATCAGAGACAAACATATGACGTCAGTAGGAATCACATATATTGCATGATGGGGCACGACCTCCGACGACGACATAAGTTTTTCGTTCGATTTTCAGATAAAATATTATCACACCATATCATGTAGTACAGTAGAAACCATGAATTGATATGACGAGAAACGATGTGCTACGACAGTGCATGATATTAGTAGTACTAGGTATCGCGGCGGCATAAAAGCAGGTGCAGGGCGCACAGCAGCTTAGCCTAGGAACTGCATGGGTAAACCCGCGGGTGTGGGCAGTCGTACCCGCACCCATACCCGCAGTGCAGGTACGGGTTTCCCTGCGGGTATCAACACAATGGAACCAGGGTATTACCCCCGACGGGTATACCTGCGGGTCACTGTGGAGAGCACAGGAAACAACGCGCGCGTGAATCTGTCGACGATAGATGGTGGAAGCTCGGTGCTGAGTGAAATGGATGGTAGAGCACGAAAGATGGGGGAACACTACACAGAGAGCCAGAAAGCGATGGCCGTGGCACCGTCAGCGTCCCCTAAGAAGCTCGGAAGACGAGATCATGCACCATCTGAGAGCATGTTATGGCCAGAGCACTATCAGCGTGGGGTAAGCAGGTCAAAAGACGAGAACACGCACATACTGAGAGCAGGACGTGGCCAGAGCACCATCAGTGTCGGGTGAGCAGGCCAAAAGACAAGAATACGCACTCGCTGCGAGTGGGACGCAGCCAGAGCACCATCAACGTCGGGTAAGCAGGCCAAAAGACGAGAACAGAGAGTCCTCTAATGGCTCACATGGGACTGGCGGGCACCGATGTGCACTTTTCGAACGCATATACCCACCCTTTTGACTCGTGTTAAAAATCAAGTCTGTTTATGAATAATAACAATACTGCTTACACCTATGGCCTCAGTGGGAGACGAAAAATCGGCAGAGAGGTCCTGTAAAAACTGAGATGGCGATGATGAAAAAGAGAGAAGACAACATGATTGTAGTACATAGTAAGAAGATAAGACGAATGTAGTTGCAGGACTCAGATACAATGATGATATCATGTCACACCGTCACACATTGCGCGAGAGCAATGCACAGTTGTGTGCGTGATACGATGCGAAGCTTCGAAAGATCGGAAGAAACGATAAATTCTGATTGGTAAAGGTACGACGATACGAACGACACAACAAACAACACAAAGCAATATTGTGACTAGCTACAATTTGTATTTCATAATCTGCCCTAGATTTCACCACGTTACAAAGAAAATAAACAGATTCTAGATCCCGGAGATGAAAGCGTTGAGCCTGATTAGCTAAAGTACATGCGAGTCAAGTTAGAAATGTCAAATCAACTGTGTTTCTTCCCTCAGGCTGTAATGCGATTAAACGAAAGATTGGCAGATAATAATATCGTCCTCCGAGCATTGTCGCAGTTAGACCGAAAAAAGGTCCTGGGATGCCTGTAGAGCCTTTGCCAATCCAGAGATACGTATAATGGCCCGCAGGAATTCACGTTCACTGGGGCTAAACGAGGTTTTGCAGATTACTGATGTGGTCGGGGTCCAGCGCTGCAGCACTATACGATATTGCATATATTGTGCGTTCCGAAAATGACAATACTAATAGGTACCTGGGGAGCACTCTGCTCCGGAATTTAGATCCCCTAAGCCTCAGCTGCTGATCTCCCGGTATCCCGGTATCATGTTTCACGTTTCCTCATGCATAATGAGACTCTAGATTTATCCTAGTATCCATGAGAACCTTGAGCCTGGCTCTAGGGATCGTGTCACCTATCTTGGGCTGGATACAACAACAGGTTGGAATTACACATTAGCAGCATCTCCTAGTGTTCTGCTCCGAAGGAAATGTTGAGGACGGATGAAGTCAAATCTGAAATCTGCTGGCAATGTGGTGGCATTAATCCAAATGTCATCTGTTTGAAAGATGTATTTCAGCCTTCAGGTGGACAGGTTTCGTGTAAAACACTTCGAATAACAGGACATAAAAGCAAGCAGTCTTCATACCGTCTCCTTCTAAATTCTTCTGAGATCCCATATCACATCTCAAAATGATGCGTCTCTCCTTCGTTCTCGCCGTTGTTGCTGCTTTCAAGTTGTCAGTGTCAGTGTCTCCTCCCAGTGTTGACACTCCATGTGCCATCCTCTGCAACACCACTGCTGATTGCTGCGCTGGCGAGATATGCGAACAAGTAGTATATGACCGCCAAGTGAGTATGAGTAGTTTTCATCTTTATAACCCCGTGACTGACTCACTGGCTTGGTAGGGCGATGTCTATTATATGTGTGGGACATTTTGATTACTGTGACAGTGGGTCGTGTTTCTGCTTTCGCATTGGTGTAGTGTGGTTGACACCACAACGCGTCAAGTAGTTCTTGAGTACTTCGGTGCTGAGCGAGCGGTCGTCACGGCGAACAAACAAGTTCACGAACATCGAAGATAGTAAATTAGAGGGACATTTCGAACACCAATGACTGCATGAAACATGACTGAAGTACTTACGACGCGTTGTTTTTCGTCCCGTTATAAGCTTGCAAAATATATGTGTATGATTTATAAAGACCTCACATAATAGATGATAGAATGGACAGTGGACAGATTGCTTCCGGACGCGGAATCAACCGCCTCATATACTGGTAAGTGTAAGCACGCATTCTGATCACCAGATTGGTCCATAGACAATAGTCCCATCACTCAATTCGGGCAGTCATAAGTATGTTCATCCTAATTAGAACTTCGGCACTTGAGCACTGCGCAACGAGTCAAAGCAACACTTGCTCCAAATACTAGTGAAGATAATTCAGTCAATAGCACCGTGTCATGTGGTAGAACAGTATTACATGGAAGGGGAATACGGAGGTAACATGAAATAGTTTGAAAAAAGATGAACAAAAGAAGCTCGGATTGTACTAGCGTCCAACATAGGTGCTTATGAGCAGCAACCGATCGACGCTGAAGTCGCAGGTTGGTTGACTTTCACTGACCCATCTGCGTTGGAAGCACCTCCCACTGAGGCAGCCGAGTCTGCTTGCGAGTCGATGAGCCGAGTCTTGCAGTCTCTGTACAGTCGGGAATTGGAGTTAACTCCGCAAATGCAGTACAACGCGACAAACCTTGCAAGGGTGAAGAAGGCCTCTTCTACACCTTCATTCGCCTTGGCAGACGTCTCCATAAACTTCATGCCAAGTTCATCGGCAAGTGCACGTCCCTGGATTTCTGGTACGGCTCGCTTGTCTGTCCAATCCGACTTATTACCGATCAGTATCTTGTTGACACCCTCTGAAGCATGTTGTTCAATGTTAGCATGCCAAGTGCGAATACCTAGAGATGATTGTATCAGGGTAGGACAATAGTGGCGGAGATGATGCTAATAGCACGTACTGTTGTATGATCGCTCATCTGTGACGTCGTACACAAGAAGAATGCCCATTGCTCCACGATAGTACGCAGTAGTGATGGTTCTGAACCGTTCCTGGCCAGCAGTGTCCCACTGTACGACATAGGTCAGCTTTGTAACAAACAGTTCATGACTGTATTGGAATGACAGCACGTACAATTTGAAGTTTAATGCGTTTTCCATCTAGCTCGATTGTGCGGATCTTGAAGTCAATCCCGATTGTGGTGATGAACGATGGTGTCCACGCATCATCACAGAAGCGGAGCAAAAGACAGGATTTCCCAACACCTAAGCGACAACTTAAAATTGGAACACACCAGAACCGCGGAACAAACGCACCTGAGTCGCCAATCAAGAGAAGCTGCAAAGCAAGTTATGTGCGCGAGGCCTGGAGTGTGTATGCAGCGTGCTTACCTTGATGAGGAAATCATAGTGTGGGGGAGGCATTCTAGAATATCTTTCCTAGGTAATGAGATCCACTTGTCCGTCTATAAGGTTAAGAAACAAACCAGGTGAAGTCTTGAGTAGATGACCAATGAGCAAGGATTCTTGACGATATTTGCTAGTGGGTCACTGCGACCTGCCTGTTGCTGAAGTTCCCTTGGAAAGTGCATTCAGTGCCACAGCATCTGCGGGAGTAACCGCAGCACCTTGATTATGTAATATAAGCGATTTTCATTAAATAATATAGTTGGAAAATTTGGACATTGGACTTTATCTTCACCTACGTGAGCGAGACTAGTACATAAACTTCTACTAGTAATACGTTTGGTGAGTCACAATCCACGAAGATCCGGTCCAGACGCGTGTTTTACACGTATAAGCTGACCCGCGAGTCAATCTATTTCGGAATGCTAACAGGTCAACCGGTCACACATCACTCTATACTATTCCGCACGTACGTAAGGGTTGAGTTCTTGTCACAATCTGGGATCATTTTGAGGGTTCAAGTTTGTCGCTCATGTACAGCTTCAGGTTGCCCACAGGAGTCAATTTTAGGCGTACTATTTGCGCCCCAACCTGTTTGGAAATTCAGACGAGCGCTGGCTCGACAATATAAGGAGAGCCTCGTTGCAGACTTGTTGCTTCGAGGCCTTTGTACCTTTGTATCTCATTGACGCAGCGCAAGCCTAGTAACTTGTTCCCCAGCCTTTCATACAAACACAAGCTCCTCTTGTTCAACAGACCATGTTGGACTTACTCTCCAAAGATCGGATAGTCGACGAGGCAGGCCTCAGAGCCGCCTTGTATCATCTAGGCACAGTCTCAAGTTCAGGAGCAACCGCATTACAAGCCACGGTCGAGCATATGTTATCATCACCCCATGTTTTTGCATATATCATTTCTGGTATCTCACAGACTTTCTTCGAGCGTCATCAGCTCTGACTCGGTAACAGTTTGGGATCGCCGTGAGGCAATGATCTCCCAGATCATGACAGACTTTCCAACGAAATCTCAAGAATATCCAGCATCCATCGCGAGAAAGATGCTAGACAGTCTGTCTATGTACTTTTTGGCTTTGCCTGTTGAATCTTTAGCGACGGATGTCTCGAGGAACATCAGCCGCCACAGAGGCTTCATCGAGGGCGCTTTACCAGTACTTTGCGCGTTGGGCACTATGAAATTTACTGGTACAGGGTCATCTGAAGACGAGATCGATCTCTTCGATGTCGAATCGGATTATGGATTCATCAAGAGGAAAGTCCCTCAGAAAATGCGCAAGCGTAATCGCCTGAAAGTTCATACGGCCATCGACACATCGCTCTTCGTGAGGCTCGGTGTGGTTGTACCTCTCACGAGCGAGGCTGCCGCATCGTTGTCTACCCACATTCTTGCGGAGCTGAAAGATGCTCTCTCAGTAAGTGAATTCGCTACTTTGTGTGACGTTTCCCCTGACAGCTCTCCGTAAGTTCTATTTCTCGCTTCTGCGGAGGACGGAATTGGCAGGCGACATCAAAGCCTTACTCCTCCCGAACGTGGGAGAGTCTGCCAAAGATGTTGCGCCTGAAGTTTCGTCAACCGAGGATGTCGTGAGCCCAACAAAGCGACCCAATGCGTACCCAATGGTGCAGCCTATGAAGGCTGCGCTTTACTTCGACAACGCGGACGGGTTCGGAGAGTGGCGAATCCTCATATCTACGGAGGCCTCCAAAAATTTGCGTGAATTCCGTGGAGCAGATGAGAAGATATTCAAGATCATTGTCAAGAAGATCAAGTCTGTCTTTTGATGAACTTCGCTGTGATGATCTCATCGTTGCCACAGACAACTATCAAATGGTCATTTTTCAGAAGATAATCACAAGCGACTTAACGGGCCGGATGCAGGTATACCTATCCACGAGGCCAAGATGACAAGGGACCTACGATTAGTAGTAGGTGTAATTTCACATACGTGGCTTGGAGTAGGAGACGAATGACCTTTTTCACAGTACCAGATCGATTGTGTCCTTGACCAGGATGGAGAGGTAGGCCGTTCTTACATCAATATCGAGCATGATACTGAGACTGGAGTCTTGACAGTCCGAAAGACAAGGTGAGCTATCAGGAGCAATTACATGTGTCTGCCATTAGCGCTCATGTGAACTCCAGTAATCAAGGTATACGGCATTTATACGCATGCTCAGCTTGGTAGAATATGGGATGCCCTGGGTTGCCATCTCGCACGTAAGGGCAGAGAGTATCGTAGAAGGTGACAACATTTTCCAGCTCTGATGCAATTCAGTGAATTGTTGCTTGCGCAGGTGTATCTTCCGGAACAGACCAGTCATTTCTAATGACAGCGTGATTCTGCCTGCGTCATTCCCACCAGCTGAACTTGAACCAGAATTCTCAGGAAGTCCACTTGATCTTAGTGATAAGGATATGGACCGCGTTGAGTGTTTTCAGTTGTCATTTGTGCCATCATTAATACATGACATAGCTTCACTCTTTGCTTGTGTATGAATTTTTGCCATCCTTATACAAGTTGGTTTCCATCTAACAATTTTCTAGTTTGGAGAAATATGTTACATTCTCGCAAGTAAGCTTATTGATATGCACGCGAATATTGACTTGACAACCTCTTGTTTTAGGCGTTCCTGCAAGGCGAGTGGTCGTGTAGTTGTGCTCGTCACCTCTTCTCATCTTTGCAAAAGGTCTCATCGCAAACCAAGACGTACAGCACGTCTTCATACTCACGTGAGTTCTGCCTCAATGAGACGAATTTACTCATCAATGTTGGTTCAGACCTCAAGAACAAAAGATTGTCGAGTGTACCACATCATGTTACGTCTTGGGTCGCAGCGGCACGGGGTAATGGTCATGCTCTTGATATGAATAGCTTATTTATCACACTCAACTAGGAAAACCACGACGATGCTGTTTAAGATTCTCGGCATTCAGCGAGCTTGGGAGATGAGTGCCGTTGACATGCCGAAGCCACGCCAAATCTTCGTGACCAAATCCAGAGTGCTCGCTACGAAAGTGGAAGAGTATTTCACGAAGCTTCTCGAATCTCTGGCGTTAGCAGGCTATACCCTGGAGGAACTTGCAAAAATGAAGGCACAAAGCGTTCAGGAGGGCCTTGTTGATCTCGACGACTTGCCCGATTCACAGATGAATATACCCATGAAATACAGCGAACTTGAAGATAAGCACTTTCCTCTTTTTGTGACTTTCGATCGAGTATGTCCCAATCCGTCATCCGGACAGTTCTCAAGCTAATCATTTATGTAGCTGTCGAAGATGATCGCGGCAGATATGTTGAGCAAGGATGTCCCCGAAACGAGAGATAGCGCAGGACTTTTCTTCAATGTTGACGATGCTGAGGCGCATGACTCTTTCGTCACCTATGACGTATTCGCAAATCAATACTGGCCTCATTTTCCGCAGAATCTCACTAAGAATCTTAGTAATGTTCTTTTATCTTGTGACGACAATCAAGTACTGACATACCCCATCAGACCCGTGGTTGGTTTTCAGCGAATTCATGGGTGAGTACCAATTTGTATTATCCTGACACTGACAATTTCTGAATATACCTATAGGGATCGTCAAAGGCTCCGAACATGCACTGACCTGTCCTGAAGGAGTTCTCGATCGCCCGAATTACCTCCGTCTTCCTCATCGTTCTAACCCAAACTTTGCGAATCAGAGGGGAATTCTATATGACATCTTTGAGTATTATACGAAAATCAAGAAGCAGCGACGTCATCACGATGTTGCAGATCGGTATGACCTGTTCCACCTTCTCATCCATGTAATGTCATGATATATGCCCAAACAGCACGCATGCGGTACTTAAGGTCTTGCGGAGCCAGAGGTTCCCTGGCCAACAGATCGATTATCTGTATGTGTTATCCCAACAATGTATCTCACCTCTGACCACCTGCACTAGGTATGTCGACGAAGCACAAGACAACCTTCTGATCGACGCACTCTGTAAGTAGCCACTCCATCCTTTGTCGATAAAAAATCTTTTTAGAACTTTCTATTGTAGTTTTGAGGCAATTATGCAGGAATCCAGACGGTTTGTTCTGGGCTGGGGATACCGCACAGACAATTTCTGCAGGGAGTTCCTTTAGGTTCGATGATCTGAAAGCCTTTCTCTACCGTGTGGAGGTCAGCAAATAGTAACTTAGCTTGGGCCTGAATTGATATCTCAGAGCAGCAGCAAAATACCTCGGTCAATTCCGCTGGAGCATGTCTTCATCAGCCTACGATGTTTCAATTGGCGATCAACTACAGATCGCACGGTGGCATCGTCAACTGCGCACATTCTGTGATTGAACTCATCACAAAATTCTGGCCCAACACAATCGATAACCTTCGGCCAGAAAGGGGGGTGGTTGACGGGCTGAAGCCTGTATTTTTCACTGGTTGGGATAAAGACACTGTCCGTTATGAACAGTTCTTGTTCGGGGCAAGGTAAGTAGGCCTGGACGATATCCCTCTTTCCTACTGAGGATTCCTCTAGCGGTAGTCACATTGAGTTCGGAGCGCAGCAATGTAAAGGAATTAATTGAAGGCTTCATTCATACACTGACAAGGTATCTAGGCATCCTCGTGCGTGACGATGCGGCACGTCAAAAGTTGCGAGAACAAGTTGGTGAAATTGGACTGATTATGTGAGTCGTATCAAGACTACCTTTTCTCCGTGTTTTCATGTTCACATATATATGCAGGACGCTTTACGAGAGCAAAGGCCTGGAATTCAATGATGTGAGAAAGCTAAGTTGACTTTCTGGTGGATGTCTGACCTCGGTCAGGTGCTTTTGTACAACTTTTTCGAGGATTCTGTGATAGATCTGTCACGATGGCGCATAGTTCTCAATGGAGTAGAGGGTCAAGAACATGCGCCGAACTTCGATCGTGATGAGACGCGATACGCTGGGGTTTGTAGCGAGGTAGGCACACCGATCCTCAGAATAAACTTTGGCTGACTTTTATTAGCTCAAACTTCTTTACGTGGGAATCACTCGAGCAAGGAAGAACATGTGGATCGTTGACAAGTCTGATAAATCAGACCCAATGCGTGTACGTTTAGAGCGATGTATTGGCTTAAATCGATCTGATAACTTCTTCCCTTCAGATATTCTGGACGTCTCGCAATCAAGTCCAGAATTGCACACCCGGCACCGATGTCCCTCATCTAGCCGTCTCCTCGACTCCAGAAGAATGGGCATCCTTCGGGCGCTCGCTATTCTCGCACAAGCGCTACTCGCAAGCTATCCACTGCTTCGAACGTGCTAACCTTCGTCGTGAGGTGAATGTCTGTAAAGCATATCAACTGCGAGAAGTCGCACGTTCTAGTGTCGGGGTGGCCATACTCAGTGACCAAAAAAGAGCTTTTAACTTGGCTGCTGATGCCTTTACTGATTGTGGTACGACCGCAACAGGAAACCAGAAACTCCAATATTATCGTAACTCGGCGGATTGCTACATTCGAGCAGGGGATGATATCAAAGCTGCTGAGGCCTATATCAATGCTGAAGAGTTCGAGCAAGCAGCGAAAAGATATCGCAAGGCTGGACGGTTTGACAAGACCCTTCATGTTCTTGGTGGCCATAGCATGAATATACCTGAAGAGACCAAGGCGGAGTTATGGACTGTGTGCAGACTGTTTTACTGCAGCAGAAACAACACTAAGTAAGTCTCAATATTAGACTCCACAATGCTTTTAATCAATAGCAATTACGCAGGGCTCCCTTGCCTCTCTTCTCGACATTTGATGAGGAACTCGAATTTCTGGAGGACTATGATCTTGATTTCGCTCGAGCCTCGCTGCTCGAATCCCACTCAAGGTACTATGAGGCCGCAGAACTCCACTTGTCAGAGAATAGGCCCTTGGAAGCTGTCCGAGCGTTCATTAAGGACAGCGACAACGGCAATTCTACTATTCGTGCGGCCGAAACTATATTGGAATACTTCTGGCGCAAATGCTCCTTTAGAATTACTGCAAAAACTGTTGCTGATGAGCCAATGCGGCATTTCATCGCTCTCGCTGATCAACTAGAGACGAACAAACTGACGCTGGCGACCCGTGATCTAGTATGTATTAACAGTCTCAAAGTGACCAGCTGGACTGATTGACATTCAGATATCGATGTTTCGGACCATCCTGTGCGGAAATCATGAGCCGTTGAGAAACCTTGCGCTTAGCCTCCATGGAAATAATAACCAGCCAGCAGCTCTCCTTTGCCTGGACCATATATTCTCTCGAACCACAGACATTCGAACGTTCGCGGTCGAAGAAATGCAACGGTTCCTTCAGCAATTCCATGCCTATGCGCGACTGTTGTATCTGATTTTGACGATCCCTGACCCCATGGACTCGGAGCATAGGGGTATACAGAGACTGTTCTCCATCGTGCAGTTGTCCGGTGACGAGTTTCTCATACCAGATGGAACGTTCCTCCACAACTGTGTGATGGAAACCCGCCAAGGCATCACTTGGGTAACGGAACATCCGTCTGGGTACACAGCCTCTCGTAGAAACGTCACCCAGCTGCTGCAAGGATCCATTCGAACGATCTTGAAAGACAAAGTATCGGAGATCGATGCTATGTGTTGCAAATCTCCTGTTTTCTCGCAATGCCTGCCATTCTTGATGTCTGGAGTATGTCGAAGAGATAACTGTCCCCAAGAGCATGTCACAGTATCGAAATTGGATCGCCAATATTACAACAACCGTGTCGCGATCCACATCTGGCAAATTCTTATCTTGCAATTCATGTATTCCGCTCATCCATACATTGAACGACGCAATGGGTACGTCTGGAGGTAGCTTATGACCGAGTGCTCAAACTAACCACTTCATCAGCATGAGGGACTGGCTCAAGCATCTTTACGAGGCTATCAATCCACCCTTCTTCATTCAAGGTTCCCCCGCAGACCTTGACATAAACCTGATGCCTCTTCGTCTAGATGGCATGAAAGTGGTGAAGCTCTGGATCCGCGAATCCTTCTACTCGCTCGACCCATTCTATACACAGGCTGAATTTTTGACGGCGTTAATGGGGATAACCAGTCTAAGTTTCGCTTTTGACAGGAACGACGCACCTGTCTACATCTCTCGAGCAAAGTGTACGGTCTCCGGACCGTTAGAACTCTTTCGCAAGGGGGACAATCGCTATATGGTTCATGACCTGCTCAGTTCTTACCAAGGAGCTACCCGCAGCAGCATCTCATCGGGAATTCTGTATCTTCTGTATGTGTTCTTCTTGTCTCTACATGCCATGAACTAAGTGCAATCCAGGCATGTTCTCGATAATCGTTTATATGCCAACCTCTCCGTGTTGTGCGACTGTATCGAGGATATCTGCAGCGCTTTTGTAATCAAGTACCGAATGGACCCAGACTTTAATAAGTTTCCCCTCCATGACGTCGTCCTTCCATGCAGCTGGCTATTGCTTCCCCACAAATTCACTGCTGAGAAAGACACTAAGCTGTTTTTGATGGGCAAGCTTCTGGATGAGATAGCGAGGCTGGTCGAAGCATTGCGGGTAGAAGTCGGCATGGGTGAGTCTCTTAACTTTTCAGAGATCCAAGACTACAATTAGGCAGAATTCCTCTGGCTGAACCATACCAGATTTACGCCCATTCTCCGCAATGTTTTTATTTCCCGGATGTGAGTCCAGTTTAGTATCTGTTCGTCGGCGATGCGCATACTGATCACCTGTATTGTAGCTGCAGGGTTCTCTGCCTTAGTACGTGTACTGTCTCTTTCTCTTTTCAAAACGGATTGGGTACTGAATTGGATTCATTAGTTGCTCATAACATCAGGAATCGCTTCATGAGAGAGAAAGTAGACAAGATCATTCTTTCTCTGCACAAGAACAACCCTCCTTGGCGTCCAGCTAACTATCGGAAACTCGTGGATGACGTGGCCAAGTACATGACACCAGGACGGATGCCACCCTCAGATGTTTACCTGCGAGCTCTCCTGGCTTTAGACAACAACAAAGGAGTGAGCAACCTGGTGCATCTTGTCCACAAAACGATGAGCCAGTATGGTCGAGGTGTAGTCCCACGGCTCGTATACGAGAAGATCATCGAGATTCCCCATCTCCTTTCATCGTACGCAGTGATCGCTCAGTCTACTCTGAGAGTAGAGGCCCCAGCCTTCGTACCTCGCATAGGACATTCCAAGGATCAAGCAGAGGTTATACAGCATGATGAGAAAGAGATAACCGAACACCAACCGCAGGAATTCGACGGAGAAGAAGCAAAGGAAGAGGAAGATATCGCGACGAATGTTGATGCTGAGACCCGTGATACGTTAGAGAGTGTAGATGAGGCGGTGACGTCGCTTGCACCTGATTTCGACGAGTCGCTACGCTCTAACGGACCATCGGTGGAAGAACAAAAGGCGGCTTACAATATTCAGAACGCATACCGCCGTTATGTTGGACGTCGCTCGAGTCGCGCAGTGAATGCAGAAATCGATGCGATATTCACGACATGCCTCAAGGAGACGCGGTCTTCTGAATGTCGTCCAGGCTATTACCAACTTCTTTTCCTTGGACCACTGCCTCACCTTCTGGTATGCCTAGAACGAGGCATTTCTCTGACTCACGCTGCCAAAGCGAAGATGAAAGGCCTTCTTAACAAGGAATCCCATGAAAAACTTGAGGAGTTGGGCAAGCAGAGAAATGAGATAGCGTCCGTCCTCACTTACTCAGCAACATACAATAACTGACACTGTCCTATTACAGAACGCTCTTCAAGAAAGGATTAGAATTACGTAAGCAACTGGAACCTTCCTCACCAGCTCATCGTGCCCGTGACATTGACGCACTTAAATGTGGAGTTCAAAAGGTCAAGGAATTCATGCAGAGGGTTCCTGGCAGCATGCAAGATATGCAATCTGATTTTCAAATAGCCTATAAGGGCATCGTTGCAGAGAAGAAAGTTCACGCACGAAAGGAGAAAGAGAAACCTATTCTCAATGTCGAGGATATCGACGACTATTGATTTGATCGATTGGAGTCAAGACCGCCATTTCGTCAGTGTATCATATATCACATTGTACAGTACGTATTTCCGCAAATCAATGCCTGTGTGTGCAAGAGAACAAGTGTCAACAATGAATGAGTACTCCATGATCATTATCTTAGGTGCCCGGGCCAGGCCAGTGGGCGATGCACTGACCAAGTATTACAGAAGTAACAAGTCCGCGGCTATTGTTTCAAAGTCCGACAAGTTTGAAATGTCGGCAGTATTAGTGTATCATCGCCGCTTGCTCTGTACTTGCACTTCGGGAGTCGCATCCAAGTACTTTGTATCGATGAATATCGAACATGTCACTAGGTTCGGACGGACCTCTTCTTTCCAAAAAAAACTAGAAGTACTCTCAACATCCAGATTTCGTTGGTTCATTGAAGTTTGTTTTGCGAAGGTCTGGGCCACATATGACGTCAACGCCTTAAACAAGCTCAAGCTAAGCTTTAAATTACGCTTGAGGAGCTTGCCTTTGCACCTGGCAACCTTTGGTGACCAACCATTCAAGTGCTCAAGTTCAAGTTTAAGCTTCACATTCTGTGTTTTACTTTTTCCTCCACACTGCCCATGTCGGAACTGTTTTCAACCAATCGATTGGCTCACGAAACAGGCCTCAGAGCCGCCTTGTGTTACTTAGACGCTTTAGGAGGTCACAGCGGATTACAACCTGCAATTGAGCATCTACTCTCTCACCCTCGTGTTTTTGCATACATCGTCTCTGGTATCTCGCAGACTTCTTTTCCATGCCATCAACTAACTTCCTGAATAGTTTGGGATCGCTCTGCAGAAATGGTGTCACAAATAGTGGATGACTTTCCCACAGATGCTCAAGAGTACCGGTCGTCCCTTGCATGCAAGATGCTGGACAATGTGTCCGTTTACGCTCTCGCCCTGCCAATCGAGTCTTTGTCAAGGGAAGTTGCGAAGGATATCGGTCGCTACCGGGCCTTCGTTGAGGGCGCACACCCCGTGCTTTGTGCATTGAGCGCTATGAAATTCGCTGATGTACAGTCGCTTACGAGCGCCGAATCTGACGATAGAGTTGTCAAAACGTCTCAAGTCATGCGCAAGCGTGATTGCCAGAATGCTCGTGTAACTATCGATGCATCACTCTTCATCAAACTTGGCATGACTGTGCCTCCCACGAGTGGGGCGGCCACATCATTGTCCTTCGACATACTTGAAGAACTGAAGAAAATCCTCTCGGTGTGTATTCTCATGATGTACTTCTCGACGTTCCTGATAGCTCCCTCAAGTTTTACCTCTCGCTTCTGCGGAGGACGGAATTAGTGGGCGACATCAAAGCCTTGCTCTTCCCAAATGTGGAAGAGTCTGCCAAAGATGTTGCGCCTGAAGTTTCGTTCCCCGAAGACGCCGAGAGCCCAACAGAAGAAAGTGCGTATCCAATGGTACAGCCCATGAAGGCTGCTCTCTTCTTCGACAATGCGGACGGGTTCGGCGAGTGGCAAATCCTCATATCCACTGAGGCATATAAACATCTACGCGAACATCGCCGAGCGGACCAAAAAATATTCAAGATTATCTACAAGAAGATCAAGTCTGTCTTTTGATGACCTTTATATTGCCGATCTTATAATCACCACAGACATCTCTCGCATGGTCAATTCTCAACTGACAATTACAAGAGACTCAATGGGCCGGATGCAGGCATTCCTGTCTTCGAAGCCAAGATGACCAAAGACTTACGACTGGTGGTAGACATCATTTCTTAGAACCTCTGGGCAGGAAATAACCTATTTTTGTAATAGTACCAGATCGATTGCGTCCCTGAACAGGGTGGGGAGGTATGTGATTCTTGCATCCAAGACCAGTGCATGCTGAGACCGGTTCTTGATAGTCTGAGAGACAAGGTGCGCCATCATGCATCACGAATAGACATCACTCTTCATCATCGCTCACACGAATACCAGTCATCAAAGTATATGGGATATACAGACACTCTGAGCTCGGCAGAATATGGAATGCCTTGGGGAACCATCTCGCACGCAGGGGTGCGGAATATCGCAGACGGTTGAGCATACCTGTCAGCTATTATACAACCTACTGAGTAATTGCTTTATCAGATGCATATTTCGTACCAAACCTACTAACGATGTTATCCTGCCGGCCTCATTCCCGCCGACGGAACCCCAACCAGAAATTCCGGCAAGCCCACTGGATCTTGGTGCTGAGGACATGGAGCACGTTGAGTGTTTGCATCTTTTGGTAGAATAGCGATTGATCTATTGTGCAGCTTCACTCTTTGCTTGTGTATGAATGAATATTTTGCACTTTGATGAATGATGATTGACAATTTTCTAGCCTGGAGAAATATGTCACATTCTCGCAAGTACGTTTATCTGTATGTTTTTTTTTGATGTAGAATGAGTTGATACTGTGCCCTCAGGCATTTTTGCACAGTGAGTAACCTTGTACTTGGTCGTCCACATCGTCTCATTCTTGCAAAAGGTCTCATCGCAAACCACGATGTACACCACGTCTTCATGCTCTCGTATGTCCCCATGCATTGAAATGAGTTTAGTGATCGACATTGCTTCAGTCTTCAAGAACAAAAGGTTGTCGAATGCGCTACGTCATGCTATGTGTTAGGTCGCAGTGGCACAGGGTAAGTACCTTGTGTTCGACATCGCTCACTTATCTATTTCATGGGCCACCAGAAAAACGACGACAATGCTGTTCAAGATTCTTTGGATTCAGCGAGCCTGGGAACTGGGTGCCAATAACATGCCCAAGCCACGTCAAATCTTTGTCACCAAATCTAGAATGCTGGCGACAAAAGTAGAAGAATACTTCAAACAGCTTCTCGAGTCCCTGTCAATGTCAGGCTATACGCTGCCCGAAATTGCGAAACTTAAGGCACAAAGCATGGAGGACGATCTTATTGATCCTGACGATGCTCCCGAGTCGCAGATGAATGTACCAGCGAGATACAGCGAACTTGAGGACAAACACTTTCCTTTATTCGTGACTTTTGACCGAGTATGTCATCATGTATTTCACAGATCGTCTTAAACCTCATTTTGTGTAGCTAGCAAGGATGATCGCAGCTGATATCTTCAACATGGACGATCCAGAGACGAGGCATAGCGCTGAGCTGTTCTTCGACACTAATGATGCAGAAGCGCATGACTCGTTTGTCACCTATGATGTATTCGAAAAGCAATATTGGCCGCATTTTCCGCAGGGTCTGACCAAGAACCTTGGTAATACTGCTTCCTTTCTATCAGATGATGCACTCACGCGTCCTACCAGATCCATGGTTGGTTTTCGGCGAGTTTATGGGCAAGTCTAAACCCGTATCCAACCAAGCAGTTCCTGAGCTTCCTCGTAGGTATCATCAAAGGTTCCGAGCAGGCGTTGAATTTTCCGGATGGATTCCTCGACCGTCCAAGTTACCTTTGTCTTCCCTGGCGTTCCAATCCAGTCTTTGCATACCAGAGACACACTCTCTATGATATATTCGAGATCTACATGAAATTCAAGAAGCAGAAACGCCACTTTGACGTAGCGGATCGGTGCGGGCCGTTTTGCTCAGACTCGTTGGACCCCACAATTGATTCCACACAGTACGCATGCGATACTCAAGGCCTTGCGAAATCAAAAATTTCCTGGTCAACAGGTTGATCATATGTATGTTTTCTCTCGTCCGGCTAATTCTAGATCCTGATCGACTATACCAGGTATGTCGATGAGGCGCAAGACAATCTTCTAATCGATGCGCTGGGTAAGTCATTTTCCCCTTCTTCAATACGAGAGCATGAATGACTTTTTTGTTCTAGTTTTGAGGCGACTGTGTAGGCATTCAAATGGTCTTTTCTGGGCTGGTGATACTGCGCAAACGATCTCTGCTGGAAGTTCCTTCAGATTCAACGATCTGAAAGCATTTATCTATCGTATGGAGGTTAGCAACCAGTGATTGTATCCCAAAGTGTGACTTGATATCTTCCTACAGCGCAACAGTAGCTCGGTAACCCCCACTGGAGCTCCTGTGCATCAACCAACGATGTTCCAGTTGGGTGTTAACTACAGATCACACAATGGCATCGTGAACTGTGCTCACTCTGTCATCGAGCTCATCACGAAGTTTTGGCCAAACGCAATTGATCACCTTCAACCTGAGAAGGGGGCAGTTGATGGAGTGAAGCCAGTATTTTTCACGCACTTGGATAATGACGCTCACTTCAAACGGTTTTTGGTCGGGGAGAGGTAAGTACATTGCCATAATCATCGTCATTCCCCTGCTGAGATTCTCGCAGTGCTAGTAATTTAGGGCTTGGAGCCCGCCAGTGTAAACGGTCTCTGCTAAAGGTTCCGCTATGTTCTGAAAAGTTATTTTATAGGCATACTTGTGCGGAACGAAGCAGCGGTCAAGGCTGTACAAGACAAAGTAGGAGATATTGGAATGATAATGTGAGTCGTCTCACAAGTATCGGTGCTCCATGGTTTTTTAAGTTCGCGTCTGCTCAGGACACTCTACGACAGTAAAGGCCTTGAGTTCGACGATGTGAGAAAGCTGACGTTGACTATTTGACGGATGACTTACTGCCGCCAGGTTCTGTTGTACAACTTTTTCGGAGATTCCGCCGTAGATGCCTCACGCTGGCGGGTAGTTCTCAACGGGGTGCAGGGTCAAGGATATGCGCCTGATTTTTATCGTGACGAGACTCGGTACGCTGCAATATGTAGTGAGGCAAGTACATCGCCCATCAATCGAGGAAAACATATCACTTACTTTTATTAGTTGAAACTCCTCTACGTAGGAATTACCCGTGCAAAGAAGAACGTATGGATCCTTGATACATCTGACAAATCTGATGCTATGCGCGTGCGTTACCACCCGCATCTTGTGCGCTACTTGGTTTGATGATCCTCTATTCTCAGATTTTCTGGGAGTCTCAAAATCTGATCCGCACCTGTGCCCGAAGCACAGATGTTCCTCCTCTAGCTGCCTCTTCTACTCCGGAAGAGTGGGCATTCACCGGGCGCTCGATGTTCTTCCACCAGCACTACTCACAGGCTATCCATTGCTTCGAGCGTGCTAACCTGCATCGCGAAGTGAAGGTTTGCAAAGCTTATCTACTACGGAGGGCAGCGCGTTCCACTGTAGGAGTGGCCTTGCTTAATGTTCAACAAAGGGCTTTTACTGCGGCAGCAGATGCCTTTGTTGAATGTGCTGCAGCTGCTACGGGCAACGAGAGACGTCAATATTACCGCACCTCGGCGTATTGCTACATCCGAGGAGGACAAGACCTCAAAGCTGCTGATAGCTATCTCAAGGCTGAAGAGTTTGAGTTAGCTGCAAAGAGCTATCGCAAGGCTGGATCATTTGACAGGACGCTGCATGTCCTTACTGAGCACCGCGCCGTGATCCCTGAGAAGACTGCAACAGAGTTGTGGATGGTGTGTCGGCTTCATTACTGCAGCAGAAGCAACGATCAGTAAGTGACCACAAACTTACTATGATTTGGTTGAACGGTAATTGTGTAGAGCCCCTGTGCCACTATTCTCTTCTTCGTTTGATGAGGAACTCGAGTTTTTGGAAGAATACGACTTGGACTGTGCCCGTGCTTCCCTTCTGGAGTCTCACTCGATGTACTATGAGGTCGCGGAGATACACCTATCAGAGAACCGCCTCATTGAAGCAGTACAAGCGTTCCTCAAGGACAACAGACACATTGATTCAGCTGCTCGTGCCGCTGACACTCTTTTGGAATTCATGTGGCGCAAATGTTCATTCGGGATCACCCCAAAAGCCGCCACTGTTGACGACTCAGTCCGGCAAGCTATGACCCTCGCTGATCAGCTGCAAATGAAGAAACTGGAGCCCATAACTTGTCATTTGGTATGTACCACACATTGTTGAAATGTACCGACCGAATTGATCTGTATGTAGATTTTGATGTTTCAGGGCATCTTGCGAGAAGATCATGAGTCGTTGAAGAAACTTGCCCTTACCTTCCAGGAACACGATCACCACACTGCCGCTCTCCTTTGTCTGGATCACTTTTTCACTCGATTGACAGACATTCGTCCTTTCCAACTGCATGAAATGACAAGCTTTCTTGAAACATTTCATACCTATGCGCGACTACTGTATCAAACTTCGACCATGCATGACCCCTTAGGGCGCCGCGAATGCGATGTACAAAGACTATTATCAATTGTACCGCTATCGGGCGACGAGTTTCTCATACCGAGTGGAACGTTCCTGCACGACAACGTAACAAAAACTCCTCGGAACCACCGTCTGGTCTCGATGCATCAATCCGGATATAAGGTCTCTCGTAGAAACGCGACAGAATTGATCCATCTGTCCATTCGAACTGTCTTGAAGGACAAGGTTTTAGAACTCGATAAAATGTGTTGCGATGCTCCAGTCTTTTTGCAATGCTTGCCATTTATTGTCTCCGGGACGTGTCAAAGACAGCAATGCCCCCAGAACCACGTTGCGATATCGAATATGGACCACGTGCAGTATAACGCCCACGTTGCAATCCACATACAGCTTATTCTTATCTTGCAACTCTTGTACTCCGCGCATCCTAGTACGAAACAATGGGAAAGGTGCGTCCAGTGTATTGTCTGGCTGAAATATACGCTGATACTGTTATTAGCATGAGAGACTGGCTCGAACACCTTTACGAGGCGCTGGCTCCTCCTTTGTTCATTCAAGGTTCCTTTGCGGACCTCGACCTGACCCTCATTCCACATGGTTTAGTTGGTTTGAGAGTGGTGAAGAACTGGATTCGCGAATCTTTCTATAGATTGAACCCATCCAAGAGCCCCCAATTTCTGACGACCTTAATGAGAATCACCAGTCTTGGTTTCGCTTTCGACCGGAATGATGCTCCCACCTACATTGCTCAGGCAACGCGTGTCGCCAAAAATACATTTACCGAGCTCCTCCGACAGCTAGATAATCGCTACCTGGTGGTGGACATGTTCAATTCTTACCAAGGAGCTACTCCCAGCAGTATATCATCGGGAATTCTGTTTCTACGGTGAGTTTACGCCTTGTATTTGTATGCACACGCTCAAAATTCCTCAGGCATGTCCTCGACAACGGTTTACGTATCAATCTATCCGTTCTATGCGACTGCATTGAGGATATCCTTTCCTCTTTCGTTATAAATCACAGAATGGATCCCATCCTGGACGAACTTCCACTGCATGGTGCTGTTCTTCCATCCCACTGGTTGATCTTCCCCCATAAGTTTTCTGTGAAAAAAGACGTCGAACCGGAGTCAATAAGCTTGCTCTTGGGTGCGATAGGGAATCTAATACGGAGATTGCGCGTAGGTGGTGTTATGGGTAGAACTTTTGCACGCTCCGCAGACCATGTTTAATGCTCACGAATCAGCAGGTTCTTTGTGGCTTGCCCATATTACCAATATCACACCGTTACTTCGCAATATTTTCATCTTCCGGCTGTAAGTCCAGTTAACCGCCTATATAATAATGAGCCATTCATCTCTACACATCCACAGCTGCAGAACACTCTGCCTTGGTGCGTCTGCTCCAGCTGTTCGTCATCCAACAACTTTTAATTTATTGTAACAGTCGCTCACAACACACGATACCCTATGATCAAGCGCAAAGTGAATACGATCGTGCTTCATCTGCACGCAAGCAATGAACCTCAGCGCCCTGCATACTATCAAAAACTCGTGAACGACGTTGTTGAGCATATGGCGCTTTTGCCCGGCAGAGGAATGCCTCGCTTGGATGGCTACCTGCGAGCTGTTCTCGATTTCGATACCAACAAGGGTTCGAGCGGTCTTGTCAAACTTGTTCACAAGACGAGGCAATCTACTCAAACTTCGTTGGTGCGACAACTGTTTTACGAAAAGGCTAGCGACATTCCCTATCTTCTTTCTTCACATATGGTTGCTGCACAGTCTATGCTGAGGGCGGAGGCAGCTGCCTTCGTGCCTCACATACAGCGTCCCAAAGATGGTGTAGAGATTCGTCCGGCCCAGAAGGAGAACTTAAATCCGGTGCCCCAGGAGGCGGATAGAGAGGAAGTAAAGGAGAAAGAAGTTTCAGTGATTGTTGATTCTGAGGCCACTGATGACATGGAAGATATGGATGAGACAGTCACATCCCTCACATCCCTTGACCCTGTGCCAGACGAGTCCCTTCGCTCCAACGGGCCATCGGAAGAGCAAGTCTTGGCAGCTCGCATGATTCAGTATGTATATCGCTATCATGTTTGGCGACGTTCAGGCTCTGCTGTAGATGCAGGACTCCGTGCGATATTCACGACATGCCTCAAGGAGACGCGGTCCTCTAAATGGCGTCCAAGTTATTACCGTCTTCTTTTCCTCGGACCATTGCCCCACCTTCTGGCGTGCCTGGAACAAGGCATTGCGCTAACTCACGCTGCCAAAATAAAGACGAAAGACCTTTTCAAAACCGAGTCTCATGAGAAGCTTGAGGAGTTGGGCAGGCAGAGAAGCGAGATCACGTCAGTCAAAACTTACCCAGCGTCATGCAATGATTGATGTGGAGTCTTGTTTACAGATTGCTCCTCAAAAAAGGCATGCAATTGCGCAGTAAGCTAGAGCCTTCCTCACCAGATCATCGTACCCGGGACATCGACGCTCTCAAACGCACGGTTTTAGAGGTCGGGGAATTCATTCAGAAAGTTCCTGGCAGCACGACGGACATGCACGCTAAGTTCCAGATGGCTTATAAGGGAATCATTGCAGAGAAGAAATTATTTCACGTGCGAAACAAGAGACCTGTTCTCAACGTCGAGGACCTAGATCCCATTGTTTGAAGACCGTAAATATTTGTGTACCCATTCCGTGACATGCTTAGTCTTAGTCTCCCGTAATAGTCAGCGGTCCATGCCTGTGCGTAGCTAATCTCGCCCCATAAGTAGTACTTCGAAGGGTAACTCTATAAGTCCTTACAATAACCACCAGTCAATGAGCAGTTTGATCACGTCATTGAGCGAGCGATCATTCTGTCACTCTGCTCAACTACCGCGTGTAGCGAAGATAGGAGTCAGCAAACTAGGTATACGGAGAGTTTCGTCAACGTCTTTTCATGTCATTTAACACAAGTTCGGGATAGAATTTTGCAACTGGGAACACCAGCATTCAATATTTAACATTTCAAATTCTACATAGGCGATGTGAAATAAGAATATCAATGCGAGATAACAAGGATCTGAAAATACTCAAGCGACGGGAAAGAAAAATATCAACGCGAGATGACAAGACAGCATGATATCCGGTGCATAAAATCAACAGTTTCAGACCCGGGACTGAGATGACCCTGTAGCTTCAATGAGACGTTCCTTCGTGCGCAGGTCAGGTGCTGAATTCACCAAAATCATCGAGAACACACCTGTGCAAGTTTCTCTCCTTCGAATAACATAGGGAGGCAGGACTGCAATCCCTTCAAACACCACTGCCTTTCAAGCCAGGAGAGGAGGTGGCGATCCCAGAAGACCTTGAATGCACAGTTGAGCCTGTCGTCCGTTATACTAAGAGCTCGCGAGAGATGGAAGACCCAGTTTTGACATGCGTACTTCAAGGCGTCAGAAGATGATCGACTTCGATCCCGTGCTTCGTTTGCAAAAATTGTGAACGCAGTCATAGCGTGGATAACCTCGATGTCTGGACAATCTTGTAGGGATGCGGAAGTGGAGTGATCCTGGGGCCTTAATACCAGGAACACCGGAAACATCAAGAAATCTGGTAAGCTCTTAAACTCCTGGATTGCTTGAAAAGCTGGTGAGAAAGGCAATCGTGGGGTGATTGCGTACTCGCGGATTGCTTCCAACGTGCTCGAGAAGTCTTCCATTGTCACCCAGACGGACGCCGCAGGGGTCAACTGCCATGCTTGACCACGGGGGGTCTGTAGCCACTCTCGTCCTCTCTCTGTCTGCAGCCACTCTCGTCCGCCCATGATCTGCAGCCACTCTCGCCCGCTCAGGGTCAGCAGCCACTCTTGTCCATTCTTCGTCTGTAGCCATTCTTGGCCATGTTCAGTCCGCAGCCCACCTGGGGTGCGCAGCCACTCTTGTCCGCCCGGAGTATTGTGCAGCCATTCTCGCCCTCCTGGGCTCAGGAGCCACTCTTGCGCGCTCTGGATCAGTAACCACTCTCTCCCACTCTGGGTCAGGAGCCACTCTCGCCCGTGGAAGGTGTGTAGCCATGCATGTCCGATTGGATTTTGCAGTTTAGTTAGGGTCTGCAGCCACTCCCTCGCGCTTGATGTTTGCAGCCACTCTATCCCGCTCGGTGTCTCCAGCCACTCCCTCGCGGTCGGTGTCTCCAGCCACTCCATCCCGTTCGGTGTCTCCAGCCACTCCCTCCCGTTCCATGTCTGCAGCCACTCCATCACGTTCAGTGTCTCCAGCCACTCCCTCCCGTTCGGTGTCTCCAGCCACGCCCTCCCGTTCGATGTCTGCAGCCACTGCCTCCCGTTCGATGTCTCCAGCCACGCCCTCCCGTTCGGTGTCTCCAGCCACTCCCTCCCGTTCGGTGTCGGCAGCCACTCCCTCCCGTTCGGTGTCTGCAACCACTCCCTCCCGTTCCATGTCTGCAGCCACTCCCTCCCGTTCGGTGTCTGCAGCCACTCCCTCCCGTTCGGTGTCTCCAGCCACGCCCTCGGTGTCCGCAGCCACTCCCTCCCGTTCGGTGTCTGAAGCCACTCCCTCCCGTTCGATGTCTCCAGCCACTCCCTCCCGTTAGGTGTCTCCAGCCACTCCCTCCCGCTCGGTTTTGTCAGCCACTCCCTCCCGCTCGGTGTTGCCAGCCACTCCCTCGCACTCTGAGTTTGTGACCACTCTCGCCCACACTTGGTGTGCAGCCATTGTCGCCCGCTCTCGGTGTCCAGCCACTCTTGCCCCTCATCCACATCCAGCCATCGTTGTCCGCTCTCGGTGTCAAGCCACTCTCGTGCATTTCTCTCCAGCCATTCTCGTCCAGGCGTGCTCTGCAGCCACTCTCGTCCCCTCTGAGTCTGCAGCCATTCTTGGCCACTCGGAGTCTGTTGCAGCCACACTCGTCCAGTTGAAGTCTGAAGCCACTCTTCCCCGCGTCGGCTCTGCAGCCACTCTCCTCCAGTCTTGGTCTGCAGCCACTCTCCCCCTTCGTGGGTCGGCAACCATTCTCGCCCAGTCTCTGTCTCCAGCCAGCGTTGCCCGCTGATGGTCTCCAGCAAGGCATTTCCGCTATAAGTCTCCGGCGCGTACTCACTAGGGTCTCCATTGACTTGTCGCTGCCTTTGAGTCCATAGCCACCCTGGCCTACTCTGCAGCCACCCTCGCCCCCTCTTGGTCCGCAACCAAGTACTTCCTGTGTGGGTCTGCAGCCAATCCCCCCCGTCCCGGGTCTGCAGCCAGTCTTCCCCCTTTTGTGTCTGCAAATAGTCTTCCCCACATTGGGTCCGCAGCCACGCACGTCCGTCCCAAGTCCCTAGCCAGGACCGCAAACCCGACCCGCGAGCTCCCCAATGCCATAACAGGCCCATGAGAACTTGCAGCGGCTCTGGTGGCTCAACGATGAAGGCTAACGATTGTTGCAAGTTTCGGGGGTCATGGAGTTGCATAGCCTGATTCTGCGACTTCAATTCTAAGAGCGCATCCATGAGAGCAGTGTGTTCTGGAATGTCTCGAACCATCAAACGGAAAGACGAATAAGCGAGCAGGGAATGTGGTGGGATGGGCTGTAATCCATGGAGGCCGCAGTTTGAGAAGTCTGAAGCATAATCCCGAATGGACGAGTGGTAGATATTCACGGGATGGCTGCTGTCAATGGGGATATCCATGAAAGAACGTAACTGTTTCAGTGTGATCGCGACATCGTTGCCTTGACCAGGACCAAGGAGCTTCGAAATCTGTGAGATTGGCAGAGGGTCTGCGAGGGCAGCAACAATGGACAAGTGTTGGTATGCCCGATTGGGGTTTGAACAGGTGGAGAGGATGCGGTTGTACAGCTCGTACACTTCTGTCCCAGGTAGCAGTTTGGCGGTTAGATCGAGCATGAGTTCAAGGCGATCCCGGGGGTCATTGTATCCGTCATCGACGAACTTCATCATTGTAGATGCCACGATGAAACGTCTGCCAGCTCGGTTCGCCAGCCGCATAAGATTATCCGCAGTGGGCTGAGGGAAATCAGGATGGCTATTTCGCAACTCCGTGAAGGAATGCTGGAAGAATGTACAGATGTCATTGTCCACATCTTCGCCGTCTAATGAAATGGTGCCAGCAACGCCCTCCCCAAAAGTATTCACCGGTATCTCATGCACCAGCGTGCGCATCTCTTCTTTTTGAATGGCTTTACCGATGTGTTCTTCAAAGCGACTGGTGAGCAGAATGTGGAACACGGGAAGTTCAGGATCACGAAGAGCTTCCCCGAGGAGGGAGATCAGATCAGCAACCATTTCAGGCGTTTCAGGTTGGCATTCATCGAGGGCATCGACAACAAACACCGGAGGCGGACACTCGCGCAGACTGGATTGCAGGTGCCCGAGGGGTCGGCGAAATAACGCCATCATCTGGTCGCGAAGAGATTTGCTGGAGTCTAGAACCGCAGGATTCTCGTGGATAGCTTTGTTCACGTCGCTCTTGACGCTAGGAAAATTGCTCGCAAGCTGGTAAGCAAGGGTCGCAAAGAAATGACCGGTCGTGGTGCGTTTCGTGTGCTTGCGCGCGAAAAAGAATGTTCCCGCGAGCCTTGTTTCGATTTTCGTCCTCTCTGTCATTTTCAGACCTTTCATCCTCTCGGCCACAGTGAACGCCACGGCAGACTTCCCGACGCCTGCCGTGCCATGCAGCCAAATGATCTGGCTCGTCTCTCGCTTGTCCAACAATCCGTAGATCAATTCGAGAAGCTTCACTCGGGTCTCTTTCAAACATTTTGGATGAGGCTGGCGTTCAGGGGAGTCATATTCAGCACCCAGGACAGCGACCTGGGACAGCTTCTCCCAAGTTCCTTCGGCCATTGCTAGAAGCTCGCCAGGGACTGTCAGTCGGGTCAGAGAGCGAGAAAGGTGATAAGAGAAGGAGATACTTACATCAATCTCACAACAGAGGTTGACGATAGAATGCGATACGAAATGGGAGTCAGAATAGGTGAAGTTAAGGAAGTAGTACTAGTTCAGTTCAACGGTGTGATTAGAAATTGTAATGGCGATGGCTATCTCAGAGGGGACAACATACGACGTTAATTGAGGAGTCGATGTAACTTCGTTTGAAATCAAATGACTGGTGAAGTTGAAACGATCGAGCAACAAAGATATCACAGGATGCTTGCGTACTAGGATGGACGATTGCTTGCGATTATATTCGAAGTCGATAGATGGCTCGTGGTTGAACTTTGCAGTCAAATTGAAAAAATAAGCGGGTGCTTGTCTCGCTGCAGGTCCGACCAGCCGGAGGGCACGAGGCTGCGGTAAGTTGCACAGGAAGTTTAGGGTAAGTACTAACCAAAATTCAACTCGGAGAATGTCAAAGTTGAACTTTTCCAGACCTACGTATACGGTACGCGTACCGTCGACCATATTAAGGAGTCCAAATGGATCGCATGCATGTCATAAGCGGTTGCTAAATTGCTGAACGTTGAACACCTGCGCAGCTGCAGTGAGCTTGAATGCGTTCTACCATGATATAATCGCATTCCCACAATTATATCCTTGAAGCGTCCTGCACCCGGTGTATTTACACTATTGATTGAAGGGTTCAAATCATCATCAACTAGATCCTCGATGTCAAGAGCAGGCTTCCGACGAGTCGTCTTTCGCACTTAGTGGTGGTGGTACCATTCTGATTCAAGTTGTAAATCTCATACATACGTGATATTGTGTACCAATACAAATACTCCACAAAAGGATGCTGTCATAAAAATGGAGGCAAGAACAAAACGAAAAAAAAGACAAAGGATGGTGTATCTAATCATCATCACTCGGCGTCAGGTATTCATCATCGCTGATCACCTGTTTCCGACCAGCACTCCGAGCCCTGCCCCGCTGCGGCCGCTCATCCTCATCCATGGGCGTAAGCGCAGAGTCATATGCTGCGGAACTTGAGGGTCCACCTAGAGCTGGTGAGGCGCCAGGTAGCCCCGTCCCTGCAGTGACTCTCTCCAAAGTGCTGTAGAACACCTTTTCCATCTCCTCAGCGTCTATGTATACCCACGAACCCTCCTGGTTATACGTCCGTGCATTGTTGAACATGAGCTTCCAATCCTCTTTGTAGTGCGTGATGCTTTTGTAGTATCCAGTGTTACCCCGCTTTCGAAGTGTGGACAAGGCAATCGGATGTGTGATTAACTGATAATAATCGGGATAATCCTGATTGTATCGTCAGTATATCGCTGCAGCATGAAACCGGATCCCTTCTACTCACTCTCTTGTCGGGAAGCTCCCGGAAAAGATCGCAACGTTTCCGGCCATCTTTGTCTTCACAAGCCTGAACCGCTTTGAGAACCTCATTGAAAGCCTTCTTCATCTTATCCCTTATTGCAGGCGATAGGTCGCCCGCCTTCGTTTTGCGTCGTTTCTATATGCCCGCGCCATCATGAGATTTTCTTTTGGAAAAACACTCAGGATCAACTCACCATATCACGCTCTTCCTCCTCATCATCGATTACCGAAGGCGTCACGGACATTGACTTCATCCCACGTTTTCGCTTGCCAGCCGCACCAGGTGTATCGTAGTCATTGGCAGTCATCTTCCCCTTGCCCTTCTTGCCCTTGCGCCCGACACCCACGTCTGACGCTGGAGTATTACGACCAGGTGTATCGGTATCCTTGAGAAGCTTGTTGGCAGCTCGTCGTTCTTTCTTGCCACGGGCACGGTCAACGAGTTCTTGCAAATCCTCGCCGTCCTCCACAGCCTAAATTCCTAGTCAGTATGCGTACCTCGCAACATCCTAAAAGACGTACCATCGCCCACTGCTCATCACTCAGACCATCGTTATAATTGACGACATTACGACGGCGCTGACCACGGCCCTCGATAGCATCATCAATTTCCTTCGGCTCGAACGGTTCATCCGTCTGATAGCACTCAGGTAGCTCTTCAAGCTGCATGAGCGGCAATGGCGGTTTCCCCCTGTTTCCGACCGCACGCCACGCGTCTAACGCATCCCGTTCCCGCTGGAGATCCATCTTGCGGAAAATCTCAACCTCCTCGTCGTTTCTCGCCAACATCTCGTTAAGTTCATCGTCGTTCATGTCACCAGCTTCTTCGTTCTCCTCCTCTTGGTCTGCTTCGAGGATGGACCGCTGCATACCACCCATTTAGTCATCCGTTACAATGTGTAAGAGAGCTGGAACACCCACCAAGAATTCTTCCTGCTCTTCCTGCGTCGACTTGTTGTCGAAACGACCGGCTTGAATAACCTTGTCGTCGATATCGAGTTTGTACCGCGCGCGAGCATACATGGCTTCTTCGACACTCTTCTCCGTGATGAAACGGAGAATCCGGACAGCCTTGGTCTGGCCGATACGGTGAGCACGATCTTGAGCTTGAAGATCAGCATGAGGATTCCTGGGGCATTATCATCAGTACTCCTGTCCAAACAATAGCCAGAAGCTCATTCACCAGTCACTATCGAAGCTGCAAACCTACGCGTCAGCATAGAGAACGATGCAACCACAAGGAATAACACACATGATGACCGTATCTGCAGTCTGCAAATTGAGACCCAAACCACCAGCTCGTGTTGACAAGATGAAGACTTTAATCTCCGAATCCTTTGCATTGAACTGCTGTACATGCAAGGCACGCTCATCCGTCTTCGTGCCACCGTCAAGACGAAGATACTTCCAGCCCATCATCTTCAAGAAATCTTCCATGATATCCATGACCTTTGTCATTTGGAAGAAAATAAGGACCTGATACATAGATACAGTGATCAGTACAGCGCGGGCGATTATAGAGTACGACGCACCCTGTGACCCGTTGAAAAGAACTTGGGGAGGATACGCGACAAGAGCTCGAGTTTGCCGGCCGACCTTACCAATTTATCATCGATAAGTCCGGTGGGATTGACCTTGTCCTCGACGCTCTCGAACAAAAACGGGTGTTGACAAATCTTGCGCAACTGCATAAGCTCATTGCTCAAACCCTTCACACCTCCAGATTTGCTAGAAAACAAAGAAATCAGCACTATGGCCCGCCGTTCCGCCGAAAGCAAAAACAACGTACCCCTTCGCGTCCTTTCCATTGGCGATCATCTTGTGCTTCTTCATCTGCCTATACAGCTGACTCTGCAGGGCACTCATGCGGACTTTGATCACCTTCTCCACTTTATCTGGAAGTTCGCTCTCCACGTCTTTCTTCAACCTTCTCAACAAGAACGGCCGCAACACTTTATGCAACCGCCGAATGATGAGCAGTGCCTCTTCTTCGTTCAACTCGATCTTGTCCCCTGTACCCGAGTTCGCGAACGGCGTGTTGAACCATTCATCAAATGATTTAACAGAGTTGAAGATCTTGGGAAGGACAAAATTAAGGAGGGCCCAAAGTTCGGGAAGGTTGTTCTGCAGGGGGGTACCAGTGAGAATGAGGCGGTAGCGGGAATGATAGTATTGCGTGAGCGTCTGCGCAAGCTTCGACTGGGTGTTCTTCATGCGATGTCCCTCGTCTGACACCAAAGATGAGCACCCAAGAATCGACAAAATGCCCAAACCCACTCACCGATGATCATGTGAACCCATTTGAGCTTGCTGAGAATAGGCCGGTCCTTGATAATGTACTCGTATGTAGTGAGCAAAACCTGGAACTGGCCCATCCGCAGGTCGCCTTGGAGGTTGCGACGTTGCGCAGGGTTGCCCTTGTACGAGATCATTTTCACCGCTGGCGCCCACTTTGCAAATTCGCCAGACCAGTTCGTCATCGTTGACAGAGGCACGATGACAAGATAAGGGCCGCGTTGTCTCTTCACCTCAATGAGGAAGGTAACTAGCGAGATGGTTTGGATGGTTTTACCGAGACCCTAAGATCCTGTGAGATATAATATAAAGAACCTGAATGACATTGCTCACCATCTCGTCTGCAAGGATGCCATTGAGCTTGTTGTTGTAAAGACTGACCATCCATTGCAGGCCCTTGAGCTGGTAGTCCTTGAGCTGACCGCCGACAAGAATGTTAGGCTGCTTCATGACCTTCTCTGAAATGCGATGCGCGACAGCATAGTAGTCCACCTTGCCCTTGTCGTCCTGGGCATCAGCACTGACCTGGGCACCGAACGTGGCCTCGTTTGCGGGGCCTTCCTCTTGGTCAAAGTTCGTATCCAAGGGACCAGACTCATTCTGCTGCGCCACGACAGCCTGTGCGAGCGAATCAAGATAGGTGTCCGTCTGCCGCAGCAAGTGGGTGATGCGCGTATCCTTCGCCGTGTCGATAAGCTTCATATATGCCTCTTCATCATCCGCCTTAAGCGCCTTCAAACGCTCCTTCGATATCCTCTCGATACGCTTCTGCTCCTCTTTCTCAGTGAACGCATGGAATGACAACACAGCACGCCCAAGCTTCACGACACGGTCCTGCGCAGAACGGTTCACACCGATGAGATCCCTTCCATGTTGACAGATGACGCCGAGCTGCTCGACGTGCTTGTGTTTTGCACGCCTCTCGCGATCGATACGTTGCTTGCGTTCCGCCTGCTCAGTCATGCGTGCATCTCTAAGTGTGGGCTTGCGAGCCCGTCTGAAGTCCACACGGTTGAGTGGGAGCAGGGTACCTTGGATCAGGCGCTCTGCAACAACTGCACGCATGGCGCGTTGCTTCTCAAGCACCTTGAGGGACTTGAGCTCGATCATTGCGCGTAGCTTGCCGTGTGGGGACAACGTTGAGAGCTGCTGGTTGTCATTAGCGGGCTCCTGCTTGTGCGAGCCTAGGATGACGTCCGCCAGAGAATCAAAGTTGCCATCGCCGATGGTGGCTGGGATCTCCTCGAGCTCTTTAATGCGCTGTTGTACGCGTGCTTCGATGAAGC